ACTTCGATTAATGATACCCTCAATGTGTTTGTGACAAAACAGCGACGTCCCTAACGATACGTTGGCCGAGACTATCTCTATGAACCCATAAAGGATGTTTTATATTGCCTCATCGGTCTCAAGGTTAAGGGAATCCAAAAAAGCATGACTTGGGTTCATGACAATGCCCATGTTGACTTTCCTAACATGCCCAAACGATACTTTTTCCCTTGGTGCCATTGAATCCATTGCAAGCGACAACAAATCCGATCCCGAGAGCTTCCTTGCCAACCCAGGCGACAAAACAGCCGACGCAATCACCCACGTCGTAGTCCGCGTAACTGACGCCATCGAAGACGGAATTCGCACTGAAGCCTTAATTTCTAGCTTTCTAATCCTTCTTTGGTTCGTTCTCCTTTTCTTCGCGATTCTCCGTGCCATCACTCTCGCTCTTCGTCGAGATAAACCCCGTGGCGAAGGCGGAATCGACGCAACATACCATCCCCCCACACCGCCCGCTCCACACGCAGTATCGTCCATGGAAATGTCAGACTTCTATAACGTTCCTCTCACGGCAATCCAGAATCCCAACGGAGATGGTGGTATGGCGCCAAAATATAGCACAAGGCCGAACGTTCGAGGTGGGTCTCGAAACTCAGATCGAGATGAGGAGGAGTATCAAGCTCAAAAGCTGGGGTATGCCGGCCAGAGAGACTACGAAACTGCTTTAAAGAAGGACGGCGGGCCGATGAGCCGGGAGAGCAGTTACGGGCAAGTTGAGTATGGCAACGAGAAAAGATGAGAACAACGAGATTCCTGGCGGAACATCTCTATTTATTTGTACTTTTATTCTGATATCCCTACAACCTGAGCGGCGAATTGTTTGTGCGACTGATTTATGTACCTCTGCATTTCTTTTGTGAAATACTTTTTTTGAGTCACGTTTATCAAGGATTTAAAGGCGAAGAGTGCATAGCAACGGAGTCATAGCGGGGAGCATTTTGTATTTATTATAGTTGTTTTGAACTGAGGATATATACATCGTTCTTTATTTATAATGTTTTCTTGGTTATTAAAACTCGCAAGTGAAACATATATAAAATCCAACAAAGTTGGAAGGGTATAATGACCGCTTGGTTTGTAAACGATACTGGGTTACATAGAGCAGGGAACATCGAAGAAGTGAAGAAGGCTACATATCCGCCCCCGTATCCCGAGTGGATGACTCCGGTGGAAGAGTAACATCACTCTTATAATCGTGAGGCGTCAACGACTCCATTTCATGGGCTTGGTTTGACGATGGAGAATGCAGCCCGGTTTCAACACTCCATCGCGACCTCCCCAACCTCGTAACATCTATATCATGCTCAAACCTTCTTAATTCTTCCTCGCTGCTCGTCGGACCTCTATGGAGTGCCTGGTCACGTCCACGTGCTTCAAACGGAGCATATTGGCGTAATCTGCCATCGCCAGCGGGGAGGGCAGCTGGAAGGGTATCGGCGGCAGGACTTTCTGGTGCAGGCTCTTTGACGAGGGAAGCTAAAACCCAAAACCGGGGGAAAAATCGAGAAACAAGTGTTTTCAAAGCCGGCGCGGATACCGCCCAGAATCCGACGTTGATTTCTATGACACCGAAGATGAATGTTGAGGAGAAATAATTGCCACCAACCCAAAATGAGCTGAGTATTACCAGACGGGCAATCCCAATTATTGTTGATCTGTCGGGGATAAGGCATATTGTTAACCAGGTGGGTTTGAGCAAAGGAGGCAGAGATTTACTCACACGGCGCCCATACTTAAAATAATCACGACAATGATTTTTTGTTTTCTGGGCATGTTTATTCCTCTCACGATTGCGCTAGGAATGTATATGACCCAGAAATCTAGCATAATATTGATGATTGACACTGTAATAAAGAACGCTGAACGTACGATACATCGAGGCATTGGAGCAGGGTCGATTGTGAGAGGAAATTCGTATCCGTAGCGAGGCACAGGAATACATTGGAAGATGTCCGCAAACAACGTGGTAAGACACAAAACTGAACTGATGGCAAAGAGAGCCCAAAGCTGTATTCGAATTGATTTTTGAAGTTGCTCGAGCCGAAGAATGAAGAAGACGATGGATGACCTAGTGAAATAAAGACAGGTGTAATATGCCGCTTGACTTGCTATATTGAACCTTTGGGCGTGTGTAAGGTAGGCAGTGGTGACAACGGGGACATTCCACTTTCGATAGCCAAGGAAGAGTAATTTGATAACTGACAGTTCCAATGATCACCGTTAGTACTTTTCTTATCAGGCGACAAGGAGCGGGTAGCACAGACAAATATAATAACAAACGCTATCCGTGACTGCTAACCCCTATGTAATGTATTAGAAGGCCCGGGGTCCATTTATGCAATTGACTGCAGCATACAAAAGCTATAAGAATGAAAACGTCGTCTGTTGAGTGACTCCTAGTTAGCCAGATAACATAAATCAGCAGGTGGAATGGGGAAAGCTGTCCAACGATAAAGAGCTCAATGCATACCCCAACTAAACGCCCTCGCCAACCCTCGCGAGAGCATTCGCAAGGCTAGGACCCCGGCACTGATACTCGGAAATACCACAAGGACGGCCAGTGCCGCATCCTGCCGGGTTTCAACCATCTTTTGTTGGCAGTTTCGATGACTACCGCACAGTGGCCTGTCGCTGGAGAGCTCATTGTCTGGAAGAAGTGCCGGAGGTGACAATAAGCCGCTGAGCGATCAAGTAGTTGCCATCAAGAATTGAGCCTGGGTTGCAGTTCAAGACACTCAAATAGGTCAAGATATGAGGAAATAAAACAGAAACAGTCGCCAGAGCACCAGGAGTTTCGAGGATCATGACGCAGTAACCGGGTGTGAGAGAATAGACTTCACCTGAATAGACTCAACTACCGAGTCTTGATCCTGAGGTCCATTCTTGTTATGGTTTGCCGGCAGCTTGGATTATCTGAGTTTGCTAGTTCTTTCGCACACGCACTTGATCGATTATGTCGTTCAAGTCTTTTGTAGTCACTCTATTCCGAAAAATAATAGCTTGCAGCTACTGCTGCAAAAGCCCCAACGGCAGGCGTTCCATGAGTCCTTTTGGCTTATAGATTTGTTTCATCTAGATAGGCGGAAGATTCAAAAGGGTTAGCTAGCTCTCCTAGCTTATTCTTACCAAGTCCCTCGTACCTTGTGAGAAGCTTTCCTGGGTAAAAGGCCTTCTTCATTGCTACCATTGCTAGGTGATTCACGGATATCAGGCCATGAGAATAAGGGAGTCGAATCGAATTCAAGCCCCATCCTCCATTACGAAGAGCCTGGGAAGCCTCATTGAGGATTATACTTTGGCATTGAACCAAAAGTTGAAGGTTGATAATCTAGAGTTGATGAAGCAAACAACTGAGGTCGTCTGCGCTGAGGTGAACTTCTTGGCATTGACGTTAACTTATCCTGAATATAAAATTCTAAACCACTAACTACTCCGTCATATTAGATAGCAATGAAAAAGCCATCGCCCTCGTTCTTCACTCTCCCTCTCTCCACCAGCGGATCACAACAACTGGTCCGTATTCTTTCCGGTGTGGCCGGACTCTGCAAGCTCAAAACACCATCCACACCCCACTGTTTCCTGGCCGCCTTGAGCGCATCCCGAATCGCAAAAAACACCGCACTTCCCATGAACAGAGGCGGCTCCCCAACGCCCCGAGAGCGTTGGATGGTGCGCAGATTCTCCCATTCCACATCCTTCAACAAGCTCACATTGAAAATCTGTGGTATATCTCGAAATCCCGGGATTTTATACGTACCGGGACCCCGAGTGAAGAGCTGACCCGACGCACGATGCCAAAGGCTCTCCTCCGTCGTGAAAAGTCCCTGGCCCTGGATGAAAGCGCCTTCGATTTGCCCATAGTCAATTGCTGGATTGATACTCCGTCCGACATCCATTTTGATGTCGGCTCGAAGAGGAGTCCAGTCACCAGTTAGAGTGTCAATTTGAACCTCTGCAGCTGTTACTCCCTGGGTGAAGTAATAGAACATCTGTCCCGTATTCTCGCCCCATTTATACCCAATATCTGGAGTTTTGTAAAATCCATTCGCAGATAGATTGACACGGTCGTGATATGCCGCATCCACCAGTTCTTTCATTGATGCGTTAGGCATTTTTTCTCTGTAAGGCTGGAGGCGGTCATTGAGTTGCTGGCAGGCATTAAAAACGGCATAACCATTCAGGTCTGAACTTGCCGAAGCTGCTGTAGGTGAAGTATTCGCTACAGTGTTTGTTGCTGTCTCGGATATATGGACATCCGACTGGGGGATTTTGAGTGCCTCTGCTGCTATCATCACAAGCTTAGTATGGAGCCCCTGCCCCATTTCCGTTCCACCATGTGCAACTAAAACACTGCCATCTCGATAGAGGTGCACTAATGCTCCAGCTTGATTTAGAAACGTTGCTGTGAATGAGATACCAAACTTTGTTGGAATGATGGCCAGGCCCCTCTTAGACCATTTATGGGACCTGTTATATTCTGCAATCGCTTCGCGTCTCGAGGCGTAGTCTGACTCCTGGAGAACCTGCTGGTACATCAAAGGAACATGCCAGTCTTTCAATTCTTGGTTAAAATGCGTCGTTTCGTTCGGCTGGTACATGTTAATTTCCCGAATTTGCTCTACCGGAATATCCAAATGATCGGCGATCTCTGATACGAAGCACTCAGCAAAGAACAGGCCCTGGGGACCACCGAAGCCTCTGAAAGCCGTGTTGGACATTGTGTTGGTGCGACATAGATGGCCTCGAACATAAACATTCGAAATATTATAGACCCCGTCTATATGCGACAAGGCTCTATCGACCACAGCGGCAGAAAGGTCCTGGGAATAACCGGCGTTGGCATAGACATCGGCATCTAGGGCCAGTAGCCTCCCTTCCCGCGTCACGCCAACCTTCCAGTAACACAGGAAAGGGTGACGTTGCCCGCTCGTAACCATGTCTTCGTCCCGATTAAGCATGCAGCGAACAGGCCTTGCCATTTTCTTTGCAGCTACCGCGCAAATACAAGCCAGCTGAACTGACCTCGACTCTTTGCCGCCAAACCCTCCGCCAAGTCGTTTGACTCGGGACACAATCTTATTAGCTGCTACACCCGTGACTTTGGCGACATATGCCTGGCTAGTCTTACTGTCAGCTCATGCCTCCTATATTTTCCGCTCTTGACACTCACGTTTCTGTAGGGTTTTGAGTACTGCTCCAAATCTCCATTTCTCCATCTTCAGGCTTCGGAATAGCCACACAAGCTTGGGTTTCCAGATAAAAATGTTCTTGACCTCCCATCCTGGATACACCACTGAACACTTTATCAGCTCTTGCAAAAGCGGCTTCAGTGTCTCCTTTCTTTATGTATGGTTTGTGATGATCATAGAATGATTTCATTTCAATGGCTTGCTCAATGCTCAAAATCGGGGGCAGTTCTTCATATTCAACCTTTACTGCCCTGGAACCCTCCTCCGCCCGTCGTGGGGAAGTTGCAAGGACCATTCCAATCGGTTGCCCTGCAGTAAGTACTTCGTTGACAGCAAAGAAAACCTCATCTGATCGCGGCTGTCCCCACCAGTTGGCTTCTGGGTTAGGCAAATCTCGGTGGTCCACAAAGTCCACTACTCCAGGTATATCCAACGCTGGGCCAAAATCAACAGACAAAATCTTCGCGTGTGCCTTTCTTGAGAGAACAAGACAGCCAAACAACTCGTTCTTCTGTGTTGGGATATCGTCTGTGTACTGGGCCGTTCCGGTGGTATGCTTCAAGGCTGAGATGTGAGGAGTCTCTTTTCCCAAAATGTTCTGTTGATAGGCAATTGCAGCATCATGGTCCTTCTGACCCGTAGAGATTACTCTCTCGATTTCGGGAACAGCATCCACATCGCCCAACGCCTCCTCATTTTGAAGGTCCAAGCAAACATCATGGTAGAATCTATAAAAGAATCCAAAAGCAAGCGTTTTTCGATATGTTGGCATCCCTCCCAGGACAGAGGATGGGAGATTGAAATCCTTTTCTAGGGAATCCATCGCACCTTCAAGAGTAGCGGGATCATTCCACTTTTTGCCGATCAAAAACGCTTCAGCTTTGCGTGCTGGCATAGTCAGCGGCGCCATACCGCCGTAAACTAGGTTAGCAGCAGTTACGCTGTGAAAGTCATCCAAAACAACTCGCAAAGCGGCATTGACAATAGCAATGTCATCATCCTTTCGCTTAGCCTGCTTATAAGCTCGAAGATATTCGCCTGTATTTTGGCTCACAGGGATTCGCAATCCGGTCACAACCTCATTAGGCTCTAGAGCAGTGTGCCGATAGCCTTTAAAAAACTCACCCATGGGTATGTCACGTTGGTTATTCAGAGATTGTGCCATCAAGGTAGTTCCTGTGGCTACAAAGACAGGGTTTAGATCTGAGATAGGAGAAGCAGTGGCAATGTTTCCCGCAGGGGAAGCGACATTTCGTATCTGCCGCCCGGCAAAATAGTGAATCTGCTTCTTAATAGCAACGAATGGCTGTCCCTTGACGGGTCCAAAGCGCTTAACCGCTTCATCGCAGATATCCTCGAGATCAGTCAGGGAAACGTTCCCTCCTAATTCGAGATAGCCGTTTGTGAGAGAATACTGCCTTAGTTCCGTTATATCTCCCACGTACACTGAATCAGAGTATTCCATAGCCTTGAATTTAATTTCGATTTGGGTCTCGGTACTTCCTCCGATGATTTTGGCATCGGGGCATATATCCTTGATCTCGAGAAGTTGTTGTAAAGACACAGGCCGGTACCAACGTTTTCTCTTATTTCCAAATGCCAAAGGGCGAAATTTATGTTTGTGGAGCGCAGGTGGAAAGATTAATTGTGTGTCTGGAGAATAAGGGATGAATTCGGGCGAAGTAAATGACTTGTTCAATGCAGAGTCAATGTTGCCCCTTCCTCCATCACTTTGGCAATTACTGGAGCCATTGTCCATACAGCAGCCTCCACTTCTGCGTAATTGGCAGCAATTTGGATTGGAGAAGGACTGCGCTGCATCTAAAATTGAACGGTATCCGGTGCATCGGCAGAGGTTCCCGTCAAACGCTTCTTCCACGTCGTTCTCCGAAGGGCTAGGATTATTGCGAAGCAGAGCATACAAGCTCTGTGAACTAATTAGCCCGCAATACTAAACGCAAATAAATGCATTCGCATACCATAACAATTCCAGGTGTACAAAAGCCGCATTGACTCCCATTTCCGACGGCTATTCTCTGTTGGACTGGGTGAGGATTCTTGACGTCGCCAATGCCCTCGACAGTAATGACATGCTTGCCATCCACACTGACTAGCGGTGCAAGACAAGCATTCACAGACGCGTGGTATATCTTTTTTGTTGTCGGATTCAAGTACGAAACGACCTTCAATCAATGCGCCCTCATTAGCCAAACGTCCGAGAGCCACGGTAACTATCCCAAAAAGTCCCTTACCACAGTGCAAGCGCCACACCCCCCTTCAGCACATCCCAGTTTTGTTCCCGTCAAACCGATGCCTCGAAGATACTCCAAGAGTGTTGCCTCCGGATCTACCGAGTCCAATGTAACCTTGGTTCCGTTCAAGTAGAACCGAAGGGTGTCGTCGTACGGCGCTGTCAATGTAGCAAGTGCAGCGCGCGCTTCTCGAGCTACCTCTTGCTCAGGCAGCTGTACTGCGGCTGGTGCCATGACATAGAAAAGGTACTGAAAGTTAATATAAAGGGTCTGGCAGGCAAAGCGGTGTTCAGGGGGGCAGGCCAAAGGGTTTGTGTATTTCAGGTAAAGCCATGGCTTTGCTCTTGGGGTCCGGAGCTCAGAGCATTAGTAAATCATTCGTCCTACATCCCCAGCCTGACAGGACGCATTCCATGTGCCTTATTCGTGCCTGAAGTTCGCCTTTGTCATGTGCCCCCGCCACCTTTCGCGGAGAAGTGAAGCTTACCTAAGGCTAACTGTGGGGTGCGGGGATCGCCACAGCCCGAGGGGCATTGCGTCATCACCAAGGGATCAGGGGGTTCATGGAAAGGGCATCTAGATATTGAATATGGCTTTTCTATCCTACACGCATATATTACAAAATAGTTATCCAAAAGCGCTGAAATGAGCAGTCAAGGGGTGCAAAATTCAAGGGATCTTGCTTCAATAGTGAACCACAGCCGTATGGCATCTGAATGGCCTTGTTAGACAGCATATAATGCGTCTCTATGAGCCCGCGTAACCTTTCTCTTCTTGCTCCCATTGCTTTCGCTCGACGATACTTCTAGCTCTAGATAAACGTTAGGGTCTTTATGTAGGTTAAGGGGGTCGAGATTTTGGGGTACCTATAAGCTCGCACAAATCTCCAAACTTCCGTATCAGCGAGGTTCCAAGCTTCGCTGACTTCTTTAATATGAAAATCCTTTTGGTCGGTCCTCAGCAAATTCCTCGCTTTCTGGATCAAGGCAAGTTCTTTGTCCAGTTTGCTGTGTTTATCCGTGCTCTTGTCTTCCTTGGACAGATCCCTCTTGGGGGTTTCCTTGGATGTGTCCTTCTCTTTCGATCTTTCCAGTCGCGTTTTCCGGGGAATAACAAATCCAAAATACCAATCCAATTCGTCCAAAACAGTTGTCGGTAGACTTTGCTCCTCGTCCTTGGCCGGGAGTGTCTCAACCGTGAACCATAAACCGCGCGAAAGTCCGTGATCTCCCGCGACGACCTCCTTAAATGGGACCACCCTAGACATGGCACCACGCTCCGTGCCGAGAAATTGTTTGGTGGAAGAGGTTAGCCAAGGATCCCGCTGGGTTTCGCGCCGAATATATGCTGCCGTGATATTATCGTCGCCTTTTCTCAATGTGGTAAGGGTGTAGGGATGCGGAAGAATCCCGATAGTGAATAATGCCGAGTCGTTTTTATATGTATCAGGCTGGGCTATCTTCATTCGGCTTGCGTCGGTGCATAACTGACATTTTGGGTTGTTTGGAGGGCAAGATAGAGGCGAGTGCAACGGAAGGCATTCCGCAAGAAGCGTGGCGAGCCGAACACCAGGGCCGACCAGAGCTGTAGTGTGTTCGGGAAACGGTTTGAGTACGGAGATTCCAGAGCTAAAGGCAGTTTGGAAGGTGATTTGTAAGTGAGAATTGATGAGATCGAGAAGTGCAAGATAACCCTCCGGTGCTGATTTATTGAGTTTCTCAGCGACAGACGGGTATTTTGAAGTGATGGCGGCAGAACTGTAGTATGCAAAAGCTGTGGTGTTCTCTGCTATAAATGTCTCTTCGTTGACAAGATCAATCACAGTTTTGGCTTCGTTGAGCTTTGGGCTGCTCGCAGCCTCTTTGATAGCCTTGTTAATGTGAGCTTTCTCTCCTGAAAACAAGGCAGGGCCGAGATTGTTTATTCGGGTTAATTTCTCAGGCATAGACCCTCGCCGTAGATACGAAATAAAACTGTCGCTGTAAGGGGCCATGGGAAAACATCGCCAATCCGCAAAGACTCCTGTTCCCATATGGCCCCATGCCAGCCACGACATGAGTTCCATAGTGACGTTTCCGTTCAAGTTCGTGGCATCCAACGACTTATATAACGGATTTTTCATCGCATCTTGAGGTCCAAGAACCATTGGTCGAAACCCCTGCGCAAACCACGCCCTCCGCCATGAAAGAAGTAGTTTCTTATCAACTTCAACAAGCGCCTTGTCTTTCTTCGTCACGGAATCGTAGTAAGTATAGACAGGCATACGAGTTCCGATCGGCGGAAGCACGGACCTATCCTCGTCTAGTGTGACGGATGACGAAAATGGATTGAGCCATTGCCAATGGCTGTACCATTTGGAGCCTTCACCGGTGCTGTTTTTCTGTTCTGGAGGTTTGTGCGCGGCGGGTGGAAGGAGGTTAAATCTGAAATCGTCGAGTTTAGGTAATTTCGGCTTGGGCACATATTCCGAGATAGCACCAGCCGTATTTTCTATATTCGCGGTCAATTTTGCCGGCTCGGGGGAGGTGGATAATATCAAAAGTAAGATTGCAAAAAAGACAATGACTGTAAATAGCCCTGAGCTTCGGGAAGAAATCATCTTGAAGGCGAGCTTCTTAGGGGTATTGAATCGAGCGAATGAAGCCGGCCTACTGCCTATATCGACGAAAGCAGTTATTTAAGTATCATAGCGGAAGTGCGCCTCAGAACTAGAGGACCCTGTAGCCAGTATTCACAGTCGTGGAAAGCTCATCTCGTCGGTTGATTTCTCAAACTTCGCTGGCTTCGCTGCACTGTTTTGTGTCCCTGCGAGAGTCTGGACGCATCATCGGTGGCTAGCCGGATTGGGTTAGACACCCGAATTCGGTATAACTATTATCCACAGGGGTTTCGGAAATACTCTCGCCGAGATTCCGGGATGCTGATTAGGTACAACTTAAGGCTCGGGGGTCAAACTGTGTTTGGGAGCTTTCCCGGCCAAATCTCGCTTCGGACAAGGATTCACTGCAAAACGAGCTCCAGGATGCTTATGAGGGTGTTTCCTCCCAAGTCCTTGACCTACATTACTCTCTGGAGAAGCATCATCACACTTGATCCCAGCTTCAGTCGTAGCCAGAGAGACTCAGAATGAGATGATGGCTCACTTCGCCAGCCGATAAAGCTTTGGACAACGACCCTTTGATTCAAATGACCCAACAACCAGTTGCATCCCCGGCTCCCGAAAAGCGCTCGCTTTGCAGAAGTATGCAAGGGGTTCATCCTCGGCTGCGGCGCCGCCCAGGACAACATTATTCGCTGGAACCCAGAAGGCCTGTGTCACTGAGTTGATTCAGATCGGTCCTCGCCATCTTTGGTGTTTGAGCAGGCTTGGGGGCCAAAGTCACAAGTGGAAGGCCAAAAAGTGGCTTGCAGATTTGTTGGTGAACCCCCTCCCAATCATGAGGTGACAACCTCAATACCGAGAGAAGAAATCTTGAAAAATCAGACAGCCAAAGCTTTCTTTTTGACGGGAATGAGTTCGACTCTTTAGTTAATAGTTGATGAGCCGATTATTCCCTGTAGCTCCTCCACCAACATCTCTCATCCATGATCCCATAGCCAGGATACTGTGTTTTGCGAACAAAACACGAAGAGAACTAATCCCGATTTATCCTAGATGAGATACCACAAATAACAATGAATTATTGGGGTCTCTTATTGGCCCTGGGGGTGTTGGGTCGGCGCATAAATACAACACTGTCTCCAGTCTGCAGAGTACTCCGTGGTGATCACCCCTTTCGCATTTCTCGCCATGCTCCGTGCCTCTCACTTTACTGCCCCTCTCTATTCATACCGGTTCAACGGCTCGAGCGAGACAGAGACTGAAGGGACGGGTCCATGTGGCATCACATAGCTATACCAGTCTTATTGCTGGTCACCCACCAGCCATATCCCGTGTCAGCACAGCTATGCTACACTCCTGACGGCACGATCTCCAATGACCGTCCTTGCAGTACCGATGGGGGTGAGAGCATATGCTGTACCCAAGGATTCCTATGCACTTCAAACAAACTCTGCCGAGCTCCCGAAGGTCATCCTTGGGCGAAGAATCCGAAACTGTTCATACGGGGAACATGTACAGATAAGACGTGGAAGTCCCCAAATTGTCAAGGCCACTGTGTGAAAGGTGAGATGAAGCTCAACCGCTCAGCACCACCATTCACACTCTGACGGTGTTGTCTGAATTATTTTAGAGAATCCAAGTTGGGGCGTGTTCGTGTATCGCTGCGATTCGACTCAATACTGTTGTCAAGATAAGGATTGTTGCTCCGACACGTTTTCAGTCTTCGAGCTGGGGGAGCCGAATATTGTAGCAACAGCTGGAACATCGGCAGCGTCAAAACCAACGACATCAGCATCGACTGAAAGGACCAGATCGACGGAATTGACAGCATCAACCAAAACGACTGGATCGACCGAGCCGGCAACATCATCACAACCCTCAATATCTTCGGACACGAGCGTACCCTCCCCCGATTCAAGCAGGGGCCCGGTTTCGGCACCTTCAGACAACCCAACACCCACTTCAAGCCCAGAGGAAGCCGGCCACTCTTCTGGTTTGCGTATTGGAATTGGTGTCGGTGTGGCCGCTGGGGTTGCTACAGCCCTAGGCGTTGGTGCAGTTGCATGGTTTATCTCCAGAAGGAAAAAGAGGCGGGAAGCCTCTGGCAACTATGATCAAGTTGACAGCAACCAAAGTGACAGCAGTGTTCCCAGCCGCTTTGCTGAACTCAGAGATTCAAAGAACGACGTGATGATACCAATACCACCAAGGGAACTTCCGACCAAGGAACCAGCAGCGTCGGAACTTGAATAACTAGCGGATTGGTATGCGTATAGGATATTAGTTGAAATAGGGTGTCAATAGTAACTGATTTCTAGCATATGGCAGGGCATCAATTGAGCAAGGGGCTTCATGCATTCTTCAAGGCGTTTGAACTCTTCAAAAAAGGATTCATGTAGCTTGGTAAACCGCAGTTTCAGTTTGATTTCAATTGACCAAAGCTATCCCTCCGCGAGCACTGTATGACGCATAACTATGCTAGCAGTCTGCAAAAGGTGACTCTCTTCCTCGGTTGGCAGATCTAGAAACAAAGAGCCTCTTCCCGATCCCGGAGCCAGGCTGGGCTTAGATAAGCAGGAACGGTGCCGGCGGGAAAATTATCAACTTCGAACCCCGCGGTTGAGTCATTGCTGCTTGCACCGACAAACCAACAAGAAGCGAACCGCAATCACCTCTGCGCGAGCTACCATCATGGGTGCCGAGGGGGCTCCGGTGCAAGAGCGCCTGAACAGGTGGGCGCAGAGACTAAGGAATCTAACCGTATCACCTCTCACGCGAGACTATCCAGAGTCCACCCCGTCCGGTCACGATGCTTCGAAGAGGCCAATTGAAGCATTCGAGTCGTTGCAGCTCTCCTCCGAGGTTCAGTCAGCTATCAGCAAGCTTGCGGGACCTGGTGACCCAAGTTTCCTTGTTTTCCTCACCGCATTCGTCGTTCTTGTGAGCCGGTTGACCGGAGACGAAGATATTGCCCTGGGAACGAGTTCGGAGAGCGACGGACGCTCGTTTGTGCTACGCGTGCCTATCTCTCACAGCGAATCATTTGCCCAGCTTTATTCTAAGGTTAAGCAGGCGTTTACTGAGGGGGCATCTGACATTGTACCCCTCAGAACGCTCAGAACGCACATTCAGAAGACGAATAACTCGGAGCGCACCCCGATTTTATTCCGTTTCGCAGCATATGAAGCTCCCGCCACGTCGCAAGAATATCCTGCCAATACTTTTGAGACTACCGATCTTGTCCTAAATGTCGCCCCTGAAACCTCGTCAGACGACGGCAAGTTGGAACTGGGAGGATACTACAACCAACGTCTATTCTCCAGTGCGAGGATATCCACAATACTGGCTCAGCTTGCTCAGCTGATCTGCAACGTCTCCAACAGCCCAAACGAGGCTGTAGGCAGACTGGAGTTCCTCACCGATAGCCAAAGAGAGATTCTTCCAGACCCTACTAAAGATTTGCATTGGTCCGAATTCCGGGGAGCAATTCAGGATATATTTGCTATAAATGCGGAAAAACACCCGGACAAATTATGCGTCGTTGAGACAAAATCAAGGAACTCCCCTCACCGGGAGTTCACTTACAGGCAGATCCATGAAGCCTCCAATATCCTAGGTCACCACCTAGTTCAGTCCGGCATACAAAGAGGCGAGGTTGTTATGGTGTATGCCCATCGTGGAGTCGATCTTGTAGTTGCAATCATGGGTATCCTAAAAGCCGGAGCAACCTTTTCAGTGATAGATCCTGCGTATCCTCCAGATAGACAAAACATCTACCTGGATGTCGCCAGGCCACGAGCTCTGATCAATATCAAAAAAGCCACACAGGACGCCGGTGAATTGACAGAAAAGGTCCGCGCTTTCATCAATGACAACTTGGAACTCAGGACAGAAATCCCCGCTCTAGCTCTGAACGATGATGGATCTTTACAGGGTGGAATCATTGATGAAACAGACGTGCTGGCACCCCAATTAAACTTGAAATCCAAACCAGTTGGCGTTGTGGTTGGTCCAGATTCCACTCCCACACTTTCTTTTACATCCGGTTCTGAAGGCCGGCCAAAGGGTGTGCGTGGGAGACATTTCTCACTTGCCTACTACTTTCCTTGGATGTCGAAAACCTTCAATCTTTCCGACAGTGATCGGTTCACCTTGCTGAGCGGCATTGCTCATGACCCAGTTCAACGTGACATCTTCACCCCCCTTTTCTTGGGAGCTATGCTTCTAGTACCTTCCCGTGAAGATATTCAGAATGAGAAACTTGCAGAATGGATGCGCGAGTACAAGGCCACCGTTACCCACTTGACCCCTGCAATGGGGCAAATCCTTGTTGGTGGAGCTACAGCCCAGTTCCCATCTTTACATCACGCATTCTTTGTTGGCGATATTTTGATTAAGAGAGACTGTATGTCACTCCAAGCTCTCGCACCTAATGTCAACATCGTGAACATGTACGGCACTACGGAGACTCAGCGTGCTGTGAGCTATTTTGAAATTCCATCCTATGCCACCCAGGAGTCGTACCTTGATATGATGAAGGACGTCATCCCGGCTGGGAAAGGCATGGTGGATGTGCAATTGTTGGTCGTTAATCGTTTTGATCGAACCAAACTCTGTGCCATTGGTGAAGTGGGTGAGATATACGTGAGAGCTGGCGGTCTTGCTGAAGGATATCTTGGAGCTCCGGAGTTGAACGAAAAGAAATTCTTGTCCAATTGGTTTATTGATCCAAAGACTTGGCAAGACCGTGAGAAAGCACAACAAAATGAAACTGCCAATGAGCCTTGGAAAGAATTTTACTTTGGGCCTAGAGACCGTCTCTACCGAAGTGGCGACCTTGGACGATATACCCCTACTGGTGAGGTTGAATGCTCTGGTCGAGCTGATGACCAAGTGAAGATACGAGGCTTCCGAATCGAGCTTGGGGAAATTGACACCCATCTATCAAGACACCCACTGGTGCGAGAAAACGTGACTTTAGTTAGAAGGGATAAGTTCGAAGAGCCAACCTTGGTGAGCTATATCGTTCCACAAATGGGCAGGTGGTCATCTTGGTTAGAAGAAAAGGGCCTGAAAGACGAGGACTCTACCGAAGGAATGATCGGGATGCTAAGGCGATTCCGGCCGTTGCGTGAAGATGCGAGAGACTACCTTCGTGGAAAACTTCCCAGCTACGCCGTGCCAACAGTTATTATTCCGCTCAAACGTATGCCCCTCAATCCCAACGGCAAAGTTGACAAGCCTGCCTTGCCATTCCCAGACACAGCTGAATTAAGTGCTGCGGCCCCTCGCCGTAGATCATCTGTCATGCAACAGCTATCAGAAACAGAGATCACATTGGCACAGATCTGGGCTAAGCTCCTTCCCAACATTTCGGCGAAGATGATTGGGCCAAATGATTCATTTTTTGATCTTGGTGGCCACAGCATTCTTGCTCAGCAGATGTTTTTTGAGCTTAGGCGCAAGTGGAGGAGTATCGACCTCAGCATGAGTGCTATTTTTCGTAGCCCGACCCTCAGGGGATTTGGGAATGAAATCGCACGTTTGCAGGACATGAAATCGTTCACAAGCGACTCTCAACTTGACGAATCGGCAACAGGAGCAGTTGCCGAAACGGATTCTCGAAACGAGTATTCCGAAGATGCGAAAAAATTGTTGGAAACTCTTCCAGGACGATTCCTCCCGACGACAGAGTCCGTGTTGCACAATGGTTCTATTGTTTTCTTAACCGGCGCAACGGGTTTCCTTGGGGCTTTCATCCTTAAAGAACTGCTTTCAAGAGAGAACCCTTCTGTTAACGTGTTTGCACTTGTCCGTGCCAAATCTTCAGAGGCGGCACTTGAACGTGTTCGGTCAACATGCGCAGCTTATGGTTTCTGGTCAGAGAGCTGGGTTCGCAGACTTCATTGTGTGCAAGGGAATCTTGGTGACGAAAAATTTGGCTTATCCGATCAACTCTGGAGACATCTTACCCTAACTGTGGATGTTGTAATCCACAACGGAGCCTTAGTTCATTGGGTTTACCCATATTCTCACCTCAGAGGCCCTAATGTGCTTGGCACAGTTGATTCCTTGAAGCTCTGCGCTGAAGGAAGGCCAAAGCAATACGGTTTTGTTAGTTCCACAAGTGTGCTAGATGCAAATCATTTTGTGGAGGAGTCGGAGCGCATCGTTGCAGCGGGCGGGACCGGGATTAGCGAGTCTGACGACCTTTCTGGTAGCAGCATCGGATTGGGCACAGGGTACGGCCAGAGCAAGTGGGTGGGAGAATACCTCGTTAGAGAAGCTGGTCGAAGAGGGCTAAAGGGTTCTATTATCCGGCCCGGTTATGTTACTGGCGACTCAATAACTGGAAGTGAGTGATTTCGATCTGCCCAAGGCCCAGGGATCATATTGCTAACATTGCGCCTTCTAGCGACGAACACTGATGATTTCCTTGTTCGAATGATGAAGGGCTGCATCCAACTGTCTGCTAGGCCTAACATCAACAACACAGTTAACATGGTGCCAGTTGATCATGTTGCAAAGGTTGTTGTAGCTTCCGCCTTCTTCCCGCCGCACTCCCAACTTTCCGTTTCCCATGTCACCAGCCACCCTCGTCTACGATTCAATCAATTTTTGGGCGCTCTACAAACATATGGCTATGATGTTCCGCAAGTCGACTACGTGCCATGGGCAAGTTCCCTCGAGCGATATGTCAATGATGGTGACCGCAACACAAACGATCAGCATGCACTGTATGTTGACTCTTGCTTTTTGTTTACGTTTTTACTATATTCTAATACAATATTACAGAATGCCTCTCTATCACTTCGTCACGGCAGACCTTCCCTCGAATACCAAAGCCCCCGAACTCGATGATGTTAACGCTTCGTCTGCACTCCAGGCTGATGCTAAGTGGTCTGGAAAGGACGTTTCCAAGGGAAGTGGTGTAACAGAAGAACTTGTTGGGCTTTACCTGGCATACCTGGTGGAAATAGGGTTCCTGCCCGCTCCCACGGTAGCTGGTTCCAAGTCTCTCCCTAAAGGAGATATTTCAGACGCTCAGAAATCTGCTCTCAGGGCAGTTGGAGGCCGTGGAGGGCAAAGTTAAGTCAAAAAGACTATGATCCTAGCCAAATCTGCTTTCACTTTCTTATCCCACCAAATTCGGCTTTTCAACATTCAATGTCACAAATGCGAGGCAATATCCTTTGATGCTAAGCAGGGAGCGTTTATTTTGGCACATAAACTCGGTTTTTCTAATGTCTTTCTGGGCTCGGTATATATTTCGGATAGAAAAAGAAAATATCTAGAGGTTTTTAGCAATCATACCCATACTAATATTGAAAATAATAAGAGGTTTCTCTTCAAATAAGCATGTTTTCAACTCCCTTAAGCACCTCATCCACCGCCCATTGAAGAAGGTCAACCATAGGATATCCTCCGCTTCCTGGTGCAACAAGCACCCCCATATCATCCCTAATATATCGGCCTTCCCCAACAAGCCGTTTCAGATCTTCAATGTCTTCACAAGGCTGAGAAGCTTCGGGAAGCAATAACCACGAATGATCAGTAATATACCGCGGCCAGACGATATCATCCACATAGCCCGGCGGATCTGTCCAAAAGTTCGTTTCAGGCGGAATATACTCATCCGCATCCTTCTTCACTCGTTTATCAGCACCTCTAGTGTCATCGTCTCCCTGAGATGGCGGCTTCGGCGTCGGTGCGGGGCCGATAGTAACATAGCCAGTGCGGCTCTCTCGTCGTTGTTTGAGAAGGGTGTAAGTAGCGGGTAAGAAGAGCGGGACGTCAATGATATCATGGACCGTGCGGAGCGGGTGAGAAGGGCTATTGGGTGGTGCATACAGCAAAAATCCATCCACAAAGGCTATGGCGACGGAACAGGACGTTTCCTCCAGATTCTCGAATCCATCGCTGTTTCTTCGCTGCTTGCGCAAAACAAGATCGCGCGTGCGCTGCGATACCTTGTCCCTCAGCGTGTGCAGGGTCTGCTTGTCGACGCCTGAATCTGTGGCATCGTTTAGGTCTTCTTTGCTTTTCAGGCCGGCGGGTAAATGGCCGTGGTCGCGGATGTATGCCAGTGTGGCTTCAAATTGTGGGACATCGAGTGCTTCGATGGTGTCCCAGTCCTGCACTACTTTCCCAGAAGAGGTTGTGACGAGCGGGATTCTGTTGCAGGGTGACTGTTAGTAACTAACAGGAGGCGTGCGTGGCTTCGTAACAGTCGATTACTTACTGGTCATCAGGCTTGTAGAAATCGTCTTCGTGGAGAACAAACGGCCTTATCGTTGCTGCTGTGGGCGGGGTGTGGTCTTTAGACGGTGGGGTAAATACTGTTCGTAACAGCCGTGCGAGAGTAGTTTTACCGCTGGATGAAGGGCCCGATAGGCCTACCAGAAGTGTTTTCTCACGCTGTATATCCATTGAGTGTATCGGGCCGTCGTCATCTTGGGGAAGATGTCATGGCTTAGTTGATCTACGGATAATTCTACGGAGTATGGTCGGAAATAAAAAGATCAACTCAGCAAAGTGTCTGATACAGAAACTAATGCTATCAACTTGTCTAATATCATACAAATGGGTAAGTATCAACAAGTTCGACTGAGCACATGTTATGATCTTCCATAGTTTTTATACTCTTTTTTTTTTCTGTTTTTGCATAGTAATTCGGGATGACGTTTCCAAAGCTGGTGTGTCAAAACCAACAGGCTGTCATCTCAATCGGCTCAAATTGTTGATTGGATGTTAGTCGTCTAGAATCGACACTATCCGAACCGTTCGAAGTATTCAAAGGCACTTATGTAGTACTTGAAAGGGGTATCGATAGCGAGTAACGCTTCAGTTGGCTGGAGGAGCATGGGAAGCAGAAGCGTCATCCCCATCTAATTCAGCTGAGGACGATTGCGAAATGTTCGTGGAAGCTATATCATTGTCACTCGGAGAATCATGATGTAAGACGAGTCCTAACCCTTCGTTTACGAGGACTGGGTGATGCTGTCATGACAATTCCATCTGTAGTTACTGTGTCTGAGGCAGCGGTTCTTCGTCGTTTGGATCTTCTCACTGATCCGGGGGATACATCTGAATCCAAGAAAGGGATTGGATCGGCAGCTTTTCGTTTTCGCTTTGCTGGTGTCTGGCGAGACGATGGCGCTGATTTTTTGCCTTTGCTCTTGTTTTGAACCGGTAGTTGGTGACGATCAAAGAAACCGGGAGTAGATTTCATCAAAGCAAGTCCGCTATCTGTTTCGTCGTCAAAGATGGGAATAAATCCTCCCGCCTGGATTATAGAACTCATTGTCGCGTCATCCAGAAGATCCCTTTCCGCATGCTGCATCTCGGCATTGGACATTTGTTTCCTTCGTCTCAACATTTTGTCCTCAAGTGTATTTCTTAAAACTAAGGTCTCGACATACACGGGCCTCGTTTGTGAGATACGATGGGCTCGTTTGATTGCTTGGCTTTCAATATTCGGGTCCCAGATTGGATTGATGATAAAGATCCGAGAAGCACTGGCTACGTGTAACCCATGCGAAGCTTGTCGCAAATCCATGAGCAGGACTCGAACCTCTTCGGAATTATTGAACATTGACAGATATTCGGATTTCAAGTTCGGTTTGAGCGTGCTTGCGTATATTCGAAATTCGACACCGAGTATCTCAAGACCTTCTGCAACCCAAAAGGCGTTGTTGTTGTTCTCATAAAAAATGATAATCTTTTCTGTTTCCTGAAACTCGAGGACACGATCCAATAAGTAGCTGAGTTTGGCGGACGCGGTAGCAACAATTTTTGTATTGGCAAGCGGAGAGTCAGTTGGTAGGGTTCTAAATTGGCATGATGCCTTTGCATTTGGGAGTGTTTCAGGTTGTGGTCGATGAATAAAACCATTACCCGTTTTAGAATCGATGGCAGCGGATTCAGCCTGAGTCTTGGTCGGGAGAACTGTTCGTGGTCTTTTATCATTCTCAACGAGCCTTGCTTGCAACTCTCGTTTTTTCTTTATTCCAGCGCCAACCATACCTTCCGCGGGATCAATTTCGCAAAGGCGACCTGTCACAAATTTTTGCGCGTCTCTTGCTTGAGAAATTCCTAACAATATCGGTTGCTGATGTCCCTTCAAACTGTCAATTGACCATACTCCTCGTGCGTGTTCCGGAAAGTCGCGAATAAACACTCCGAGTTCATCAAATGAGCTAAAGGCGTTCCAAGAAGGGCAAGCAATTGTTTTCTCTGCAATGAGGATTCCCTCACACAGGAGTTTCAAATCAGATTCCGTCATCATTTCTCGATGTTTTTCTAGATATTTGTTGGCAATATTAAGTGTCGCCACAATATCGTTGCTTTTGAATCCAGTCCACCAGAAACCTGCAAATCTCAAATTGCTGATCAAGGCAGCTAGATGTTTTCTGTTCTTTGGGTGAAACATATAATCCTCGTCGGTTCGTTCAGAAGTAATGGCGTTAACGGTTAGCTGAAAAATAAACATGTTAACTGACAGCTTGTCGTAAAAAGTGGGTTCGAGATACACCACTTTGTTGCTCAGGTTCGGTAAAGTCAAGTCTTTATTGATGTCTTCGACGCGATGCCGTACAACAACGGACTGGAGTGTTGGGCGAAGCGATGCTGCCATTACGCGGGTGCCGTCATCGTCTATCGGCTTAATATATCTCGCCCAGCGCGCTGGGTCTCTGGAGCCGCAATTAGCCCAAGGTTTCATACCGAGGAAGTCTACCACGATTCGCTTTAGCTTGTCCAGGTTTTTCAACTCCTCATCAACAATGGATTTTCTCCTTGCTTTCAGAATAGCTGAAGCCACCTCATCGTCGTTCTTTGCTGCTCCTGGAATGGTTTCTTGCGATGCGAGGCTAACTTCAATGCCGTACATTCCACTTGACGGAGTTCCAGAAACTACCCATCTGCGTTCGACATGCAGCTGGTCCAGGAAATGAATCGCGTTTGATTTGCCGCCGGTGCTAGCAAAGTTATGCCCCTCATCAACAATAATTCGAAGCCAGTGGATTTCTTTTAGAGGCGAGGGAGGTTGTAATAAGGGATCACCGTTCTCCCCTTCAAACCGTGTTCTCGAAAAAAGGATAATGTCGTATTCGAGTAGGGAGATGACTGGCGGCGTTAAGTCAGATTTGTTTCTCAAGACTAACAATTTCAACCCTTGGGTGTGTTTTCTAATCTCGTGAAGCCAATGATCAACCAAATTTGGTGGAACAATGACTAGAGTCCCAGAGGACAGCTGCACAGTAATTTTGTCTTCCCTTTTACGTGAGACGTATTTTGGCGTTTGAGAGATAACGTATGAAGCCTGATGGGACTTGCAGACGTCGATGCACTTTGTGTAATGCAGTCCAGCTCGGCTCATGCGGTCGAAATAGGCTTTCCACGGCACTGAATGGCGACTGATCACAGATGCGGCCATTTCGAGCAGGGAACCGATTTGGGCTCTCTTGGGAATACGTGATACATGCTCGGGAGGAATTTGTGGTAAATGGCCTTTGGTGGCAAGGATAACTGCTAGGCATATCAATGTTTTCCCATAACCCATGGTTTCTGCAAGAACACCTGCAAATAAGTTAGTCAACCACTTCTAGAAATAATATTATCCAATGAGAGGAAACTCCTACCTCCACATGGTCTTGAAAAAAGTCGCTCGTCTTGGGTGACGGCGCCCTCTTCTTTGTCATAATAGTAAGTCTGTCCTGTTGGGCCGGTGAACAATTCGAGCCTTGGGTCAAGATATTCTCCTGGCTGGGTTTCCTTTTGAATCATAAGTGCAGCAGAGCGACGTTGATATGGGTACAGAGGAGTCAAAAGTCCAGGTAACACATTTTCATGTTCTCCGCCGTCAATGCCTCCTTCGAGGATCTCTTCCATGGCCATCCTCGCCCAGGGATCGGCTACAGAGGCAACCTTGGGATCGGGAGAATCCAGAGTGTTGAAAATGTAAAATAGTGACTCCACTCCCGTCTGATTGTTGACGAGGTGATTCGGAGTAGGATGAAAACGTCCCATCCATGCTTCAGGAGAGATGTCCAGTCTCGACATAACAACTTTCAATGCGCGATGGAGGGGGACGCTAGCCCGTGGAATAATTGACCTTCCCACGTCTTCTGGGAGGACGTAGACCCGCATCGCGATCCACTCGGAGTAGATCTCGTTTCGACAAAGCGAAGTCCGAATCCAGCCAGCCGCTACCAGGCTTTGAACTTCCGCCTGCGGATATTCTGGGCCCTGGGCGGCCGGCACGGGCTCACCGGGCTTCAAGCACCGGTTGAACCGCTTCAAAATCCCAACTGGGATGAAGTTGTCCAGATCTCCCAGAAAAATCTCCTTCTCCGTCGCATATCTCGAGGCCGGGGAGAAGGACGACTTCGACGATGGAGTCGAGGCAAGGGAGATGGATGCGCTCCGAGATGAAAATATGGAGTTCTCTCGTGAGGAACGGTGGCCGCCACCGTCCTCGTTTTCACCCCCTTCAGCAATAGTGCTTTCGAGCTGGAGGAACAAGGAGTCCTTATTTTCAAAGTCAGTTATGCAATTGGGCCTTGCTGGCAATGCGAGCTACAAACCTCGTTCAATTCGCCATCGGCCAGCTCGTCAAAGCCCAAGTTCTCAACGTCGCTCTCCGCATGCAGCTCCATGTCTGGCTGTAAGTAGTAAAACGGTGATTGCTGTTCGCACGTTCAATTGTAGCCGCCGCCCGAATGGATGAGTTTGATGGTAGCAAGAGTTCGATCCGGCCGAGGATTAATCCCCAGGGAGACAGGCATATATGTTGGCCATGTTAAAAGCAACACAGCTACAGTCACACGGCTGCCCGAATTTTCTTCCTGTCTGTGTTGAACCCCCGGGCACTGCCGGTATCTGCCTGGCTGCTTGTGTCGTCGAGGTTGAGCTCCCGTCGGCCGCCCTGAGCCAGATCCGGCATCCCGCCAATCAGGCCCCGCCGTTTGATTATGTCATCCCCAGCGTTCCGCCGTTGTGTTGAAGATTTTTATATCGATTGCAGAGCGCTTTGTCTTGCTGTGTTGCTGCTTGTTTCATGCTCTCGGGAGTTTCCTGGGGCTTTTTTTTTTTGAATCAGGTGGTGTGGGTGTAAAAAGGGTGTCTGCCTTGATTTGAATGGCAATGTCAATATGGATGAGCTGCACTCAAGATTGTCAGTTCTGTTTATTTAATATTGTCTAAAGACGAGCAATCGGAGCATTGTTTCCTGCATGCAATTATTGTCACAATGACGTCCTCTTATTCTTCCGTATCAAGACTTTCTAATGGCTTAGTATAGTCACTGGTCAGGGACTCAGGGCTTGGAATCCTGGATGTTGGGATGGGCTGCCCTATTTGGCCCCCATGCACCTGGATCTGCTTCCAACAGGGATGGTGGCTGTTTTGGGTCAAACCTTCTGGATCCTTGCGGGTTAAAATCATCACGATGAACAAAAAATCAACAAAAATCAAATCGCTTCTCGAAAACTTCGAGATCACGATCTTGCGGTCGAGGTTGCACCTCCGGATGAAGTGTCTTAACTACTATGCTGGTTCCAGAAACCTCAAGAGGTCCTCCTTCCAGGGCTCTGACTCTGGACTTTTGTCGTTTGAAACCAAGCAAAAGAAAAATACCCTGGTGTCTGGCGATCTTTACTCCATCTGTTCTTTGAGACTGAATAAGACACGAAGCAATAATATTGGCCCGTTTGGCCGCATTTATAGATTCTTCAGTGGTTGTCCACTGGAATGGAATGCCCCTGTAGCATTTTCATCACCCACATCGAATCGCACGGAATTCCGCCCGCTTTTCGAGGCATTTTAACTCTTCAGCTCTTCTCGACTAGTTAACTGACTAGTCACTAGTATTGAGTTGGAAGCATGGATGTGCAGCCCCTGCTGGCCCGCGGCCACAACGAGGACCTAAAAACGCTCCGCCCCAACCGACGCCTTTACATCCCTGCGGCGCTTGTTAGCATGGAAGCAAATTTATAAACCCAGCCGGAGATTTGCACTCAACATCCACGACCCGCCGAAGTTCGCGGTTTCGCAACCACAATCCATCCTCCGATATGCCCATTGTCTTCTTGAAGTTTTACCTGTTATAATGGCTCTTCGCCTTCCGAAATTGCATGTTTTCATGCGATGGTTCCTCCTGAGTCTCGCCATAGCCGGGAGCGCCGGATTGAACCCAGAGAAAAACAGATTCGTTAACCCAGGACGCGGTGGCCCAACTCCAGTCTGGCTGGTTGGAGAAGAGCAAGTTATCTCATGGAAAACAGAGATGGAGGTCTACAATATAAGCTTGTGGCATGAGTTTCCTGGTGGCGGTGGGGCCACATTCGGCAGTGTTTTGTACTGTGTGTAATAGTATTTCTGATCTGTTCACGCATGGCTGAATAACCCCCCAGCTTCAGAGACTAACAATTCGAAAAGCTGCTTCAAGTAGTGCGATGCCGATGAACTTCACTTGGACCGTACAGTTATACGACTTCGACTTGAGCTTCTCAAACGTATTCTTTTTCTGGTTCAATCGTGGTGCCCGAGAGCATTTTATCTCACGTTATTTCAACATTACTAGAGACGATTCTATTTTATCGACAAGGTCAACAGCGACGACAATGTCAACAGCCACGACGTCTGTACCATCTAGCCTGCCCAGCTCGCCCGACGCGTCTGCTACAGCTACCACTCCTATAGAAACGGCGGATGCGACACCTTCCTCAGAACCGCAGAGTGATGGGCTGACTACCAACTCGAAAGTTGGATTGGGCGTCGGAGTCGGCATCGGTGTCCCAATAATCGCCCTTCTAGCTTTCATCGCATTTTCCAAATACTTCAGACGCCGGCCACAACCTACCGATTCCAATTTCCAGCAGACATCGCCAATGGTTTATACTTCAAACACGCGCCGTCTTGGCCCCAAGAAGTACTTGAACGATTATCGTAAACCTGTTGAGCTGGACGCCGGAACGGACCATCCACTACAGCCAGAGTTGCCCTCTGACTCCAAGTTGAAACGATCAGAACCGGTGGTCGAGAGCTAGATGGATCCATAGCAGACTTTTTCGCGAGCGCCATTTTTCGATATTTCATTGCATATCAGAGCGATCCCAGGAAGATTTGCTGTATAACTAATACCCTGAAAGAAGGGAAAGAACATACACGTTGACTATATTACAACAGAACAAGCATGTGTACTAGAGCCTTATTTCTACCGAGAATAAACCCGTCGTACGAAGCGGCAGATAAGAGCTGAGACCAACCACAGATCACCGCTCTGGGTACATTGTAGAATTTAATGCGAGCTGATTCTCGACATTGGCAGCGCATGCAAATGTGTAGCAGCTGTGCCACCTACATAAGCCATCTGGGGCTTTCTTTCGACGTGAGGTGGATTTGGGAATGTATCTCAAGCTGCCCACTTTTGCTCATGCTCGACGCTGCCAATCCATCAGTCATTATCATCACTGACGGCGGCCTCCCTGACCTGATTGAGCACCTAGAGTCCTAGACTTCAGACTTCATCCTAGCGTGGTGACTGAAGTGAGAGCATATCTATCATAGCGGAATATTGTTGGAACATCCAAGCAAAGGGTGCTCCGCGGTAGATCAGCTGCTTCCTAATGGTTGCCAGGATATGGAATTTCCGTATGATCAGAATAGTCCGGGTTGGAATAGCTACACCCGTATCATGTGGTGAAGAGCGCCATAGCCAAGGTCTCCGGTATTCTTGATGTGTGATATTTTTAGTACGATGGGCAAAATATGGTGATGGAAAGCCACATTCGCTCACCGAACCATCCGGCCATGACAATTGGATCGGCTATCTCACTGCCAGGGAATTGGAACCAAGCTCATCCAGCCATTTTGCGAGTGGTTATACCCCAAATCGTACACACCACTTTTGAGATTTAAGCCAATGTTAAAGCAAAACGGGGGCGCCAAAAATGGAGAGCTGCCAGTCACATTTGAAAAGGAGTATTTCAACTGTTGGCCATTTGGTGAAATGCTGTATGGTGATGGGCAGCTGTACCAGCTTACCTAACTAATCCTGTGCTTTACAACCCCTTTCTTCAAGCCTCAACCTCCAACATCATTTCTCTATCATGAATTCTCAACAAGAGACACAAAATGCACCTCTTTGATATCTGTTTATGCCCAAATACAACCTTCTTTTGGAAGATGCATCCTGAGCCCTAAAGCTATCGGAACCCGCTGGATTTAATTCTCTCAGCCGGTGATAGCGCTCATACTACCCGCTTCATCATGACCTGCAATGGATACACAAGACCCCTTGGCGCAACCAGAACAGAGTTTCAAGACGCATCCTGATCGCCACTACTTGAAGGGTATTTTGTTTCTTCTGGCGGTTGCGCTCTCAGTATTGACCGGCCGGTTGAAGCATTTTGCCCATGCCTTGAAAGCTGACTCGTGGCTGGCTTCATCTGGCTTAAGGTTAGGCTGATCTGCGGAATGCGGGACAGCTAGTACGGCCCGAACCTGGTATTTCCGTCGACGCGGCCCAGAGCCTTCTTTCTGAGCATATTCACCTAGTGTGTGGCATGTTGCTCAAGGTCGCCACGCCCAGTTCAACAAGTCCATCACACATGGTTGCGTCGTTGATATTGCATGGCAGCGCCTAATACCCCAAAGACCATCCAGTCCATTGCTTCATACGAAGCCCGGGCGTCATCGTTAGTCAGATGACTTGATTTCATTGTGATGGCAAGTTATTTACTGGCTTGAGTAGCGCTGTCTATTCTATATCCGTTGATCTAGATTGTTGTTCTAATACGAGGGGACCCATGGACATCAAACTAGACGCACAGAGCCGTATCTTTTTGAGTCGTCTCTCGGGTTTCCCCGGTGGTCAGCTGGCGGCCCGATCAACCTCCAGTTTCTGGCAACAAGTCCTTTGCTGGGGTCCAATGGGCGCCCTCATACACTTCATTTCTTCATTCTGCGTTTGGTTTCTTTTCACGTCCCTCTTTGGAACGAACTCGGAGGGACCTGACAGCTATCCTGGATCTTGAATATCAAGCAACTTCCTACTCTACTCATAGTTTTTTACGCCGGTTCAGTTAACCCTCGGTGCGAAGAAATCAATTGCGACTTTTGCCTTCGGTCCAGGCACTTCTGGGGGTACACAGTTAGCTAAAGTGCGTGCTACCAATACGAATTCGTACCAGAAAACAACTTTGCGGACTTCAGAGCATATAGGCACTTGATCCTAACTAATTTGAAAACGTTGACGGTTGAATTGCCCTGGAAAAGGTGGCTGGATGCCCGTCTCTGTGCAACGTGACATGAGTAAGTTGTCACCGAGTGCAAAGTCATGATGTCATACCGCAAAGGTCAATACAACCATAGCAATCTCAAGAGGGAGAAGGGAGCAAACCAAACTCGGGCCATATACTGTATGTTTCACCTATAATACGAACAGTATGCTGCTTCTTCATTTCTCTTTTCTATACCTTCAGAAATGTGGAACCAGCAAGGCCGTATTCAAAGGCTGGTTCACAACTATCACGTTCTAGGCCATTCCGCGTCATGTAACCGCGATCCTCAAGCTCAACTGATCCGCATTTCCATCCAAGCTGAGACTTGTCAAATGCCGGAAGAACCGGGCTCACCAGACCTGAGTGGTGATCCAATTCATACTTATCTTTTTCAGGGTCCTGAAAAAGAGTTAGAGAGTGGAATTCTGGAGGGTATAAAATGGGCGAAACGAACCCACGTTTTGCAGCCATCGCAATAAATCTTGCTTTTGTACAGACTACGGCCAGCAACTCCCTCTATTATATCGGAATCTACCTTTCAAGCCAAACATGAAGGCCTCTTACATTTTATGCGCTCTTGCTTTGCAAGTTGCGAGCATTATGGCAGCTCCCGCGGAGGAGTCCGCCGAACTTAGTATGGACTGCCCTCAGCGACGAGATTTATTTCTGTCTGGCTACAAAGGCTTACAAGCGTGTTAACTGAATAGCCACCAATAACACCGACGCCCCCCAGGACGACAGTGCGCTCGCAGCTCTTAACGAGCTCTCAAACACACAGCGTACGTGATACTGCCCCTAGATGATTTGTTAACCCCCCAATTAGTGTTTGGCAGTGCTTATAATTCACTAGAATGCATCCGATGCTCTCCCCCCTGCCAACGCTATTGCTGCCCACGGGGAACTCGTCGTTGCATCTACTACCGGGGCCGGTGCTATTGCTCCCGCCGTTAAATCGAACTTGCGCGACGTTTGCACGGACGTTCGAGTGCAGACAGGCCCAGCGTTTCGCGCCTTTTGTCCACTTTTCTTGATTCTATTAAGCAACCACTGCACCACACTCATTTTGTTTCGGCGCCTGTAACTAGCTGAGAAGCTCCTTGAAAGCCAATTAAACATGTTTATTTGGGCAAACCATTTCTTCCTTTACGTTTCATCCTATATGTGCCATCATAACAGACCAAGTTGGTAACAGGTCGACGGGTCATCCTGGAGTGAAACCATCCAACAGCTAGGAAGTAGACCAGGTAGCTCATCCACCAGACGAAAGCCAATCGCGAAAACTAACTCTATAATATCAATCCATTAATTACCTATTACTTATATAGTAACTTTTGGTGTCTTTTGCTGAAAGACCACAATCAAAGGCCAACCAAACCAGTTGCGAATTGATATAACTAGTCAACCATCATGTCAAAAAACATCCCAAGAAGAGACAATCCACACCAGAAACAGCAAAACACCAAAAGGTGAGAAGCCTGCCATGTTAACTAGCCAGAAACTATGCAAAACCATAAACATCCGCTCTGGAGAAAGAGTCGTGTTGCTTCACTTCCGCAAAAACTCCTCCACTTCAAACCCGATTCTTCTAAGTGCCTTTTCCTCAATCGACCCCGGAGAGCCACTAAGCCGTCTCACCACCAGTGCGCGCGCGTCATCGAGGCGGATCTCCACTGGATTTCCTTCGCCAAACTCGGCCAATTCTTCTTTGTAGCAGCTGCGTATGTGCACTGTGATATCGGGTCCCACGCAACCCCGCCAGAGAGACGCCATCCACTGCCAGTGGTCAATCGGCGCATATGCGTCGTTGATGGGAGTTGCGCATGCATGCGCATCTGCGGTGCTGAGTTGATATTGCGGCACCAAGGCGATTCGAAATGTCGAGTCCGTTGGCGCTGAGATTGGACTGCCCAAACGGCGCGTGCCCATTCTAGCTGCGTAAGGACCAAGTGACTTGGGTGAGACCTCCGCTTCAAGCTTATCGCGATCCAGCTCGCGGTCTGGCGGTGACCCAGAACCATTGATATAGTCCACAATCTCTTCGGAGATTTTGTGCCAGGCTGAAATGGTCTCCAGATACTGTACAGTTGCATCACGACTATTTTCGAGTTTTGCTAGACTCGTGGGAGAACTGAGATCCGGTCCCTCGAAAACTCGAACATCCTGCCCCCTTTTGGATGAAAGAACTCCCTTTAAATATTGAAGTATACTTCTGACCGAGCCTACATCCTGGCCCTCGACTGCGATCACTGCACCCCTACCCGGATTTGCAGCTTTTGTGGTTGTAAAGGGCGGGGATATCTTCGATAGTACCTTGATCTTATTAACAATTGGAATCGTCATGACCATGTTCTCAACTTCTTTTTGATGGTTCTGCTGCGAAGCGGCTAAAGTCTGCAGTGGCGGTAACGTCAGGCTTGATCCATGCACCGGCTCAGAGAGACTTGCCATTCCATAAGGTCGCGAGGGGTCCATTCCAAGAGCGTTTCTGGGTTGCAGTGGCGCTGGGCGAGTGAACGACGCATTGCGGGGAGAGTATGCCTCCCCCGGACTCAGATTTCGACGCGCGGGAATATGGGTGGATTGTCGTCGTTTGATACCCGGGGACAGGAGCCCACTACCATCACGATATTGCGGCTGAAACGTCGCTCCCCATTCACAATTGGGATTGACGTGTATCGGACTCAGCGATCTCGTTTCTTTCCTTGGGAATCGTCCGTCAAGACTGCCGTACCTCTGCCCGTTGGCCTGTGGCGGCACACAAGAGTCGTCCTGGGTCTGCATGGCCGGGGCAAAGGGCGTGGTAGGAGTCGAGGGTGGATTCATGATCCTGCCACCACACCTGTTGCAAACGGATGCTCCGGTGGGATTGTTGTTAATCCCACCGCCAACAGTACTGCCCTTACGCCCAGGACGACGTGGTTGGTAGCGATAGCCAGGATATTGCTGCTGGTGTCTGGCTTTTTCTTCCTGGTGCTATGATTAGCCTGTGACTTGAGCAACAGGTAACTGGAAAAGCGCAGCTTACTTCGGCAAGATTCTTCCAGTCCCGCTGGGATTCGAGCGAAAGACTCTTCCACTTCTTTCCAATGATCTTGGAGATGTCAGGATTCGCAAGGCCCGGATTTTGAGCAACAACTGCGGCCTGAAAGTGTTGTCGAAACAAAATGAAAGCTATCAAGCATTTGAAGGGTCAGTATAAAGACCTCGCAACTCCCAATTCTCACAACCAGAGCACCTACGGACCATTTCTAGGACGAGGAATCTTCGGGTCTGGCTGACAGAGACAGAACTGCACACCGGAATCCCTCGACGAAGTAGATTTTGACGAGCTTGCGGATGCTGCACGTTCCTCTCTTCGCAGGTCAGAGGCAGCAATTGAGGCCACCCGTTTCCGACCAATCTGTGGCTGCGAGACTGCTGGCGTTTCCGTAACCAGAGACTTCTGGCAACCCATTTCCGGTTCCGAAATAGAATTCCTCGCGGATCCTGCCGCCAGGGGCTTCACTTGCAATGGTACTGACGGATAGTCATACTTTTCGAAGCTGCTCCGAATCAAAGTACTGCCCGGAAACCTGTGATCAAGTAATGAATCGGCGCTGCGGATTGGCAGGTCACGTCCGGAGACATCATAGCAGAGGCCAATGGGCCTGGGCAAAACTCGATCGTAAGACATGGGGAACTATGGTAATTCAATTGCAAGCAATGGTGCTCATAACCTCGATCTTGTGAGTATCAAATCTCCGGCCTTGCTTTCGAACCATTGTGAATCTCAAGCCCTTCGTTGTGAGCCAGGGGATGTTCCTACTTAAGAACCTGGCCTGAACTTCTTTGTTGTGCACACATATATTTATCATCTTGCACACAATTGTAGTCATCCGATGCATTCCTGTATCGATGGTGGTCATGATGGTTAAGCTGACTGTTCGCTGAAACCAAAAAAAAAAAAAAAGGAAGCAAATAAAAAGCCCTGTTACATGTCGCTGGGAACTATTGTCTTTGGTTCCTTTGTCTGGGCAGGCAACTGAATGCGGCTTCATGCGCTCTCATGTTCTTTTATGTGAGACATCCAATCACCGAATACCTGCAACAATGCGATGATAGAAGCTGTACTTTGCTTTGGCGTACGGAGTACCGCGACTACAAACAGGTATTGATTTACGTTGCCAGCTCTGGGGCAAAATGTGCCCTCCGACCAAGTGGAAGTAACCGGAGTATTTCGAGATCGTTGCACGGCAGCACAGTGTGCAGAACCGCTCCACCGAGAAACCCCCAACAAAGGGCCCCAGACCCTCTTCTCACAAGCATGGACGGATAATCAGTGACGCCCGTTGGGCTAGGCTTCCATGCTTTTCCACTGCATTCGCATATGTATGTCTAGAACCCCTGGTTGTCTTCAACATCGCCTTCCAGCAATTCTCCGGCCCAATGGCATGCCCGAACCGCTAGATCTTGCAGTTGCACCAGGAGGCGTCATGACTGAGACCTTTGGGTACGATATCTGGAACGGCGCAATCGAGGATAGCTGCGATAACGGCTCGGCATCCCTGCAGGTTGACCCAAGACATTGCAATCGACCCACAAGGGGTCGTTAAACTGCCAGGCAGTTTTTGTGTGTTCCAGCTGGTCGAAACGATGACTGCAATGGCCCATCGCGGATAGCAGCTGTTGCTCCGGTTTCTATTTCGAGGGTTTCTGAACTCATTTCAACCACAATTCTTTGACGGCATTAAAGACCTCTGTTGCTAATAATCGTTGGGCCGCGGGTCCTAGATGCAGTGAATCCCTGATTGAGATCTAAGTCAGTATCTGATGCAGGAGAAAAGACAGCTCGTGCCGTTGCTTGAAACCTACCAGAACAAAAACTTTTCTGGATCACTGCAGTTAGTCGGTTTCAACGGAGGATTCTTGATTTCAATGCAAGGGTCATTGACGTTTTCCCACGCTATTCCGTTCTTGCCAAACTCTTCTTCCTCGATCAGCCCGCCAACCCATAGTTGTCTATCTCGTACTTGGTCGACAAGAAACGAGTTTGTGTCGAGCAAAAACAACGAGCCGTGTTTCCATTGTTCGGCGTGGATCCGCATTTGGCTGTGCCAGTGTTCAGAAACGACCACGCCATCCTTGTGGACGACCCCTTGCCTCGTTTTGAATGCGGGAAGGAATGTCACATCCACAGGCAGCGAGAGGATTATCCTCGTGTTTCCCGGAGACCATTTCTTTGCGAGGCCATTTAGACTGGCAAACAACTTTTCTACGATTCTCTCAACGGATATTTTCGCCGTCTCCAGGTCTTGTTCGGCAAGTTTCCAGAGGTCCCAGGTACCGAAGGACACAACAAAGATAGTGCTCTGTTTTAGTATTGAAACTTGGTTTCTCGGAGCTCCGCGAGCAGCTCTCTCCTCTTTATCCAGCCATTCGGATATCTGTTCGCTGAGATCAGCGGCTGGGGCCTTTGCCGTAGTATTGAGCTGGAGAGCCTCAAGTTCGCTGTTATCGATGATGGCGCCGAATGAAGAATCTGGAGATTCATCTGTAATCTCCAACATGCACGGAAACTATCGCAGCTAACTGTCAAAATTTCTTGTCCCAATATGCTATTGAACTAGAGAGGGTTCTACCTGAGAGCACAGCATTTCCGTCCATACTTTCTTCTGTGTTGGCTTGTATACCGTGTCGTCGTCACTCCACGAGTCCCCGAAGACGACTAATCTATACCAGCGCTGGCTCTGACGGTTTCCGCTCCGTATGATAGCTGCAGGTAGGAGACTCAAGTACCACGAGAAATACACAATACCCGCTAAGCCCAGCGCAGTGAGGAGGTAAAGTTTGGACGAGAAGCGCATTTCCAAACTATCCTTTGTAGCTTTAATGAAGGGGAAAACAGCACGGATTTAGCAGCAAGAAAGTAGAGAGTAGAATAATGGCAAAGGACGGATTCACAGAGGAAACTGCAAGTGCTCAGAAAGGATAATCATCCAAAAGGACAGTAATAGGATTCTCGGCATCTTGGGCTGTTGGACGCTTCGATCCATGGCCTGGAGAAAAACGGGTAGGCTCTCCGATCCATGGTCGTTGGCTCTATCCCAGGCATTATGACCATCAATTCACTAGCATGTCGCAAGATGATGCCAAGAAGATATGGAAGATGGTTCGCCACAATAGTGGAGGCCGGATCCTGGCGGGTTGATCTTGAGGCACAGAAGTGGCTGTTGACGATTTGATACGTGGATGAGTCGTGTGGCTCTGACTGAATGTCGGGGGTTGAAACACTCCTCGAGTTATATGAATAGTCAGGGGGTCTTCGAATGGACTTAAAGTCATGAGCGGAATGAATTTCACTAGAATTGCTGGTTTTCCTTTCGAGTTTCGAGAGCAAGCCAGCGGTGAGATACGTTGATTAAGCAAGGATGGAGTTCTATTAAACCTCGATAGTTGCCGGGTCCTCGAAACGGGCAAATGCTCGTGTGCCAGCGCTGTGATTGATACACATATCTCCCGATAGACAGTCTTCGCTGATCCGGCCTTTTTCAACGGCTCTCCTCGGTGTCTCTACTTTATTTTTTTCGAGTGTCCACTAGTTATCTGTCTGTTACAAAGTGTCCTCGGCCTGGTCTCCAGCCTCCAGCCGATCAGCAGCCCAAGACACTCGAGACTGACAGTTGGTATATTGCCAAGGGCTCGGCGTGATACTGTTACGAGTTCAGCTCCTCCATAATCTGTTCCGCAACTGCTCCGAACGGTGGGTTGTCTTTGCTCATTCGCACAAGCGAATATCATGAGCAACCTTGGGCAAGGCTGAGTCTGGAGGGACAGATCGGTTACTAGCTTTGGTACACTGCATCAGCCTGCGCACGACTGCATTTTGAGCAGCGAGCAGGTCAGTGTGCCAATGCAGCACAACTGTTACCACTCTGGATCTTACGTGGAGGATTAGGGCTCTAAAGTAACCATCGCAACTCTTGGTTAGGAAATCTAATGCCGATGACAATGCTATTCGCATCCAAAAACAATGTGTAGTCCTCCGTGCCCTGGAGGTACCGCAGCTTGCCAGAAGCATCGCGAATGCATTTCAAGGTGAGCTTAGTTGCAAGCTCGCGATTCTTTTGTGTGACAACGACACACTCCAGAAAGTTCCAGGACCAGCCGTTGTAGTGAAGTTCAACTTCCGTAACCACAGCGTAGGATATTTGTTGTGCTCCATCCGGTTGCTACGTCGCCAATGGGGGCCGCTCGGGGTTTCAATAGCCGTCTGGAGGCATATCTTTGAATCGCACGACCGAGAGAACGAGGTGGTGGTGTGCCCAGCAATCTACTCCATACGATCACTGATACGAAATGCAGGATGTGGAGAGGGCGGCAGTGAAGGACGTTGTTTATTCAGAGGTCGGCACCGGGCAGTAATGGTGATTTTTGTGGCGCTCAGATCAGGCGCCGTGATCGTGTCTCGTCGCTCGGTTTATTTGCCTGATAGCGACGCCGTCGTGAAGTTGTAGGGAGTGAGAATACGGAGTATCAGATACCAAAAAAGGAAAAGAAAGGGATGAGTCACATGGGGTGTTTTATTAGTCAGAATGGTGTAGGGCTGCTTATATCATCCAGTCCCCGTTTCTGGCCTAGTCGCGCTGAGTCAGCCGCCCACACACGCAAATTCGCTAAGGGAGAATATCCACAAATTCAGATTTGAAGTTGTGAAGAGCGAGACGTCGACGACCCTTTATCAACCAACGCCCCTCGACAATTTGCGCGTGCCTCCGTCTTGACCGCGGACTCCTGTCAAGATGAAGCTCAACATTGCCTACCCCGCCAATGGGTCGCAGAAATTGATCGAGATTGAAGATGAGCGCAAGCTCAGACCCTTCATGGAGAAGCGGATGGGAACAGAAGTGAGCACCGGCCCGGCGCAGTGATTTAAGGAGAGAGACGAAAGATATCGGTTGATGGGATGTGTTTGTGCTGATTGCGGATCTCTTGTGCGGTTTCTAGATCCCCGGCGATTCCCTCGGTGATGAATTCAAGGGTTATTTGTTCAAGATCACTGGTGGAAACGACAAGCAAGGTATGGGCTGCTCGCGGTGCCTATAGTCGCATAGCGACTGGACCATTGCCCTGGGTCAAGGACGTGTTGCTGACGAAGTTATAGGTTTCCCCATGAAGCAGGGTGGTATGTAACGAATTTACACTCGACTTTCACAGGGACGCGAAGCTCATTGTTGAACCCTAGTCCTTTTGCCCAACCGTACCAGACTCCTCCTTAGCGCCGGCCACAGGTATATACGATACTCTGCCCGAGGATCTTCCGCGGATGACTTCGACTAACATTTGGTAATAGCTGCTACCGACCCCGCCGAACCGGTGAGCGTAAGCGAAAGAGTGTGCGCGGAGGTACGATCCGCATTCCACCCGTTCCGATATTCCCCCGAGCTGTCCTCTGACGTGAAACTATTTAGCCATCACCGGATACGACCTTGCTGTCATGGCCCTTACCGTCGTCAAGCAGGGTGAAGGTGACATTCCTGGACTCACAGATGTCGTCAACCCCAAGAGACTTGGTCCCAAGCGTGCTTCCAATATCCGCAAATTCTTCGGTTTAGATAAGAAGGACGACGTCCGAAAATTCGTTATCCGTCGTACCGTTACTCCCAGCGGTGAAGGAAAGAAGGAATACACCAAGGCCCCCAAGATCCAGCGTCTCGTCACTCCCCAACGTCTTCAGCGCAAGCGTCACAGAATTGCCCTCAAGCGCCGTCGGGCTGAATCCGCCAAGGAGCAAGCGTGAGTGCATTGGGTTTCTCGCCATTTATGGGGTATGCTAACAGTTGTCTGTGATATCTTAGCAATGAATACGCCAAGCTTTTGGCCGCCCGTGTCCACGAGGAGAAGGCCAAGCGTGATGAACTTCGCAAGCGCCGAGCATCTTCCATGAGAAAGTAATTGGGTTTGCTTGGATAATGTCGCAGAAGATCTTAGGGGTGAACAGGTCATAGGAACCGGGGTGTTGTGTGCAACCATTACGAGCCTCGAATTAAAGAGAAATACTATGTTTATTTCTCTGATTGTTTTTCTTCGAGCAATGAATTCAGAGTCTCTGGGTCATGGGAGTTTTTATTATCTTTGCTACAAAAATTCATTTGCCAAATGACAAATCTGTTCCAATACCTTCCATCTTAGAGCGACTACAAATCAAACCCAGTTTAAAAACTTTCATCTTAGCGTAGTCCAATAATACCACCTAGCATAGCCGGGTATAAAGCTGTCCCTATTCACCTCATATCGACCAGGACCAAGATGAAACTGTTGCTCAGCTATCAAATAAGGTTCCTGTCCAAGAATAGAGAGCGGTGATATCGCAATGTTTGACCTTATTAATAACTTCTATCAGCGACCTGCTTTAGGCAATTAATACAATAAAAGCCAGTCGATGATTCGTTCAATGTGAGAGTTTGGCTTTGCAGCTATATCTGCTTGATATGAAGCATGGCTCGTCCACATGGTTTGAGATGCATGCACCCTTAATTCTACACGCATGGCATTGATAAAAACATCAAACCTCCGGAAGGATTGATAAAGGCGCCTCATCACGCGACGAGGGGTGAAAACGGGGTATAAATAGTGTCAAGCACTACTGTTCTTTGTTGTGAATCCATCCCCGAACCAGCAAGGAAAATCCGGTGATAATAGGTCAGTCGAACGCAGAACTGTCATCAAAATTCATGTATGTAGGTAGATACAAAGCTATGCAACTTGAGTTATAAAAGAAATCCTTTTTTAGTAGCAAACATGGCTTGTTTCAACATGGCATCAAACCCACACCTTGGTGTACACTATCTTCGTAAAATAGATGCTTCAGGGAGCCCATTAAGAGGGAATCCATATCAGCTTTGTAACCCACCACAATCATATATCATCAATCGTTTCTTAAGACACCGCATGCGAAAACAAAAAGCTGACTGACTCTCCGTTATGCGTTCGTCGACACGCTTCCGCTAATACAGGACTGATATCGATGGTCTCAATCTTATCGCATAATAACTTCTTTTCCTCATGTGGCACGGTATTCGTCACCACAATGCGGCTCAAACGACCAGTATTCAACGTTTCAATGGCCTTTCCGCTAAGAATACCGTGCGTCACAATGGCAAGTACTTCTTTTGCGCCGTTGTCGATGAGGGTGCTGGCTGCTTTAACCAAAGTACCGCAGGTATCGGCCATATCATCGACAATAATGGCGATTTTATCCTTGACACTACCGACAAGCACCATGCGTGAGACCTCGTTGGGCCGTGGCCGTTCCTTATGGATGAGTGCGAATTGGAGATCCAGACGATCGGCAATGGCAGTGGCCCGTTTGGCGCCGCCAGCGTCGGGACTGACGATAACACAATTCGCTACGTCAAGATTCTGTCGAATCCAGCGCAACATGCTTGGTTCGGCATAGAGGTTGTCCACGGGCACATTGAAAAACCCTTGGATCTGACTGGCATGAAGATCCATAGTGATGACGTGATTGCATCCGGCGGTTTGAAGCATATTCGCCATAAGTTTTGCTGTGATGGGGGCCCGACTCTTGTCCTTCTTGTCTTGGCGAGCATACGGGAAGTTGGGAATTACCGCAGTGATGCGTCTTGCTGAGGCGGTTTTGCAGGCGTTGATCATAATAAGTAATTCCATCAAGCCGTCGTTGATATCATTAGGCCTCGTCGATTGTAAAATAAAAACTATAACAGTGAATTAGTAGCCAGATTGCAACAAAAATAGCAATTCTTTTGAGCTTTAGAATTGCGAATTCAAGGGACGGCATTGGGCAAAGAACACTGGAGATTGAAGGAAATTCTGAATAGGGGGAGCGAGACAAGAGGAATGTACCATCTTCATCTCGCACGCTCTCGCCGATGGTGACGCTGGTTTCTTGGTTCGAATATTGTAGAACCATAACCCTTGTCAGCTCGATTCCAAGCCTGTCGGACAATGTTAGCACCGAACCATATATATTTATATTTCTGATAGAAATGCATGCAGAAAGTATTGGGATATGCAGCAAAATCGCAACTGAAGGTATCGCAACGTAGAGGAATAACAGAAGTCCGTCTTTTTCACGGATGAGCCCTTGAAAATAGAGTGCATAGTCCTCGAGTCCAGATCTGTCCCTTGGAACGACGAAAAGCAGCAATAGACAGACAAGGTGGGTTCCTCATACCTGTCAGCAACTAGCTGTGCCAGTTCCGGATGACTGTTCCCAGTCAATAATTTAATAGAATTTGTCGCCATGGTGTCTCCGCGGCCTGATGAATCGGGATATCAAAGAGGGTATGGAATTTCCCCACAGGCCTGATGCTCGTAGGGTTACTCAGTAAAATCGGTTGAACGTCGACGAGTAGCCGGAGAGCCAGCTTCTTCTAGCAATTAAAGCAGATGGTGCATCTCCATAGAAAGAGCGAAGATTGGAGAATCGAGTGTGTCAAATCAATAGAAGAAACCCATCCGGCTGCTTGTCGTTTCTCGCGATCTTTGATTTTTATGGCGCTAAGCCTTGTTGGGAAGTGGGCCTGATCAGATAACCCGAGCATCACATGACACTCGAATTCTGTCTGGGAAGGAGAATCAGACGGAAATGTGCCTGCTTTTAATTCTAAGCTCATTGAAACATTACATGACAGAAGGGCATATGCAATGCTGCTTGCTAGTATACTTCAGCTGACCTGCACTTCAACTGTTTTCTCAACAAACAACATGCCATGCAACCTCACAAAACGAACAGCATAACAAACAAACCCATTACGAAAGCATAGTTACAGATTTTCCCAACCGTACTAGGAAAATGAGAAATGAAAACATAGACCAGGCCATTCTGAGAGTACATGATGTGTAACTTGACAGCGCCACCAGATGCAAGACGAATAGAGAGTAGGTAATGCAGTCCAGGAACCAAACCGTAAACGATGAATCGGGAAAGGAGGCATAATAGAAGGGGAATCAGTTTAGCTTATGCGAACCCAAAATACTCGCTGCCAGCTGTCATCGCTACGTACAGACGCTGACGGAGAGTCTCGTAACTGTCATATTCTGGCAGATCAAGCTCTAATCACACGTTAGTAAAAGATACACACCGGAAGTGGTGACGGGGGAGCTTACGGTTGAAACAAGTATGAGAGCTTGGTAATCTATCTTTATTGCCATAGTCTCTGTGGATGTTGAATTTGCTGAATCCGTTCATGCCTTCAAGTTCTCGGAACCCGTTGAGCGGAACTTTGCTGGTGCCGGTGACAAACTGAAGCAATTTAGCTCGCTCTTCCTTGTCGAATGAGCGAACAGCACGCCAAAACCACTGGATTTGCGGGGAAGAAGCTGAGTAGTTTTGGTATTCTGTGTTGTTTTTCCAGTCATCAACATCGATCTCAGGCAATCCAGAAATCAGCAGCTCTAGCTCTTGTTCGTTGAAGATAGAAATCAGATCAGCAGGAATGATATCGTGGAAGCCTTTCAGGAAATTGTCCAGTTGCTCCTTGACAGATCCAACCAATCGGTGCTCAACGACGAGTTGAACGTATTCTTCTTTATTCTCTTGGGTGACGGGAATGTTGCGTCCATTTTCAATCAAATCAATAACTTGCTTTTCGCCAAAGTCTTCAACTTCGACCGAAAAGTTTTCGGTGAGGATATCGGTAATGTCGTTTTCCAACATCCAGAGCAGCGATTTATAATAGTCCAAGTCAAGAGTTTCCATGTCTTTGATCGACACCGTTTTGCCAAGGATACGCTTGTACACTGCACGGCTAAAATGGCAATCGAGAACACGGCCTTCGTACAGGGCTTTGCCGATTATTCTTCCAACGAATTTAAAGAACATCAAGTGCTCCTGGTTAACTCCGCTAAGTCGATTTGGATGGAAGGTCGTCCGATCAGACGCAACGGGAATGAACAGAGCGTAGTTGGGATTGAACATTCCACGAGCTAGGACTTGGAACCACTCCCGGGTTACACCTCCCGCGTCAACACCCTCTTCACCGTGGAAACGAATGTTAAGCTTGCCGTATTTCATTTCGTCCGCACTTTTGAAGTACAACGATTTGAATGAATCAAGGAAAACTTGGTCTCTGCGAACGGAGAGCTGGAGTGGTGGATGAGGATGTCGGGCTTCGGATCCACGGGAATGAATACGACGATTGAAGTAATTACGCTTGTTGTCAAACTCTAGAACCTTCGGGTTCTTGACAAGAAGCGAGAATGTACCACTCATAAGTCGCGGGTTCTGACGAACAAGCTCGTTGAGAACTTTCCGATGCTCCTCGGTAAATGTAAAGAACAAGCCCTCCATTCCCGCGTCAGGTGGTGGACTTGAGACAGAGAATTCTCGCCCATGTCTAGAAAGCGGAAGGTCCCTCAACGTAGTATTTTTGCAGACAACCATAAGCGACTCGATGAGCGGGAGTAGGGTCGTTGCTACGTTTAGCATGCTCTCTTTCTGACGGATAGTGGTGAAACATTCACTCAATTTGTTCCACAGCGGCGCGAAGCTGGCACTTTCATAGAGATTTTTCAGGACATTTTCCTTCTCTGCGGAGTTAGAATCGACTCCCTTGTCTTTGTCATTTCTGGCCGGGTCGAATATGTAGTCGAGGGCAGTAAGCACACGAAGAAGTTTAGCCTGGTCTGAACTTGCTGGGGAAAACTTTGACAAAGCCATGCCCTGAACGTCCGTCCCAGTTTTAGCACTAACAATGTGAGGGAGGAGCTCGTTGAGATCGACCAAAATCGATTTACTCAAGGTTTGAGCTTGTTGTACTAGCTCCTTGCCAATAATTTCCTTGGCTCCAGGGACAGACGATAAGTTGTTGATAGTCGACAATGTTTCTCTAAAGATTTTCCCATTGCATTCACGCGCAGCAAGTATATGGACCACAAGGCGAAGGTTATGCTCTGGTACCACCGGGGGTTCGATAACACGCGCTTTCTTCTGTTTCGAGTCTGTCTGACTCTCATCGGAAGGCTTTTCGGTTTCTTCAGGCTTTTCCTCGGTTGCAACAGGACCAGCATCAGTCATTGTCGTGTCACCTTGAGCAGCACTTTCTGCCGCTGGTTCAGCATTCTCCTCCTTTGCTTTCTCTTTAGCGGCCTCGGCTGCTTTCTTTTTAGCCTCTTCTTCTTCCTGCCTCTCTTTCTCTTTTCTGAGGAGGATGGTCAATGGCTGGGTGATACTGCTCAACAATTCAGAGAGCTGCTCCATACAATTTGGACTGTCGAGGATCGCTTTGCGGTCGAGTAGCGACAATAAGGAGTTCAAAGCATATTTACTTGCTCTATTTTCCTTGAGCTTGCCTTTGCGGAATGATTTGAATTTGAGCGCTGTATGCGAGTCGTGTTCCGTGAGGAAGAACCAAGCGATGTGAGGATTGTATTGAGTAAGGAAGGACAGCGCACCAAGGCATTGTTGGATCACTACAAGCGGAGTAACGTCACCGTTTGCGCCAGGCGTAGGCAAAGGGATGGTACGTTTGATTTGAGGAGTCTTCTGAGCTGTAGGTGTCCTGGCCCTGAGTGACAAGTGGGCGAAGCTGCGTTCAACGGCGGATACATCTGCACTGCCATCTTGCAAGATCAAGAGAAGCAAACTAAGAACCTCGGTTCTATTTTGACGATTTTGGCAAACGTTGTGAAGGATGTCATTCAGATGATGCCGCGCATTGCCTTGTAACGGCATAAACATAAGTCGCAAAAGTGTAGCAACCCCAGCTTTGTCGAGCATCTGGACAATTTGACGGCGTTGTGGTTTCTTGGAAGCTTCCCCTTCGTTCGAAGTCTCGGCCCGAGACTGAGAGTCTAATCTACCGATGTCAAATTGTGTCAAGCGTCTACCGGTGAGAGCACGAGCTTCAGTTACGAACTCTGGACCAAGTGCTGCCAAAACCTCCTCGGGCTGGTCGGCTAAGACGGTTTGTCGAAGAGAAGGATCGAGTGTAGCAATAAAACTTGCCGGGTCCATATCTTCGGCGTGTGGAGTACCGCTGGTAGCTGCTTGTCGCCGGGCAAGATCTCGTTCACGACGGCGGCGATCAGCTGCTTCTTGCTGTAAGAGTTCTTCGCGGATTTCTGCAGGTAATGCTTCAAGGAATTCAGGATTAATTTCACTGGGTTCTTCTCCAGCAGCAGCGGCATGTGACCTCTGCTCTGCTAGTTGTTGCATGACAACCTCTTCACGGAATTCCTCAGGGATCGCGTCGAGGAATTCCGGATCAATACCCATCCCTGTAATATCAAGTTGGCGCCCGCGGATTGTAGTGTGCACACGGGGAGTATCTTCAGATGGACCAGAAGTGGGAGCTTCAGCTGGTGGCTGTTGCGCTTCTGCGCTTGGTTCGGTTGGCTGAACGTCATCCATGGGTTCACCAGCAGCCTGTCGAGTACTCTCTTCTGCTGTACGTTCTGCTTCTTGCCGTTGTCTTTCAACTTCTTCCTCCTCCTCTTTGCGTTTGCGCTCTTTTTCAGCTTCCTCCTTCGCAATCTGTTCTTGCCGTTCTTTTTCTTTTCGTTCCTCATCGCGCCGTTTCATTTCTTCCTCAAGCTTCTTCTGTAGACGTTTTGATTCTTCAATTGCGGGAGGAACCAGAAGCTTGAGAATGGAATTCAAAATCCGGAGCGACTTATCCACATAGCTGGTCCCAAACAAGATACGAGCCTCTTCTTGCCAGCGAGTAGTAGTGCTTGACACTGTGAATGTCGCAGCCTGCGTCGGGTCGTCACGAGGGCGTGTGGTAACTGTATGGGGCCTACTTAAACCGAGAAGATCCTGAAGCCGCGACGGTAAGGTGGCGTCGCGATCGATATGAAGATGGAACCCATCAGGTCGAGTGACGACGCCGAATCCTGGGCCTCCTTGCCCGATCACCTGTAAGATTGCATTCATAAAACTAACGGGGCTATCAACGGCGAGAAATCTGCCCTGGCTGCTGGGGTCAATCGCATGCACCCAGTCACTGAAGGCATCGGTGCTGGGAGGCTGTTCTGCTTGTCGATCACGGCGGCGTAGAAGCGGATTAGTTCCATCATCAGTTCTGGGAGCTGTGATTTGAGTTCGATGAGTTCGGTAGCCAGGAACATGAATACCGCCGTGACGACTTCCACTCCCGGTAGAGAAAATGTTCCAAGGCGTCCGTTGAGCGCGAGGATGAGCAAGATCATCTACCCAGGCCCACGGCGAGTTCGACATATCCGCATCGTCGTCATCTGCAGGCAAATCAGTACAAAATTTTTGCACGAAAGCAAAACAACCGAAGACTCCTTACCGTCAAATCCATGGTAGCCATGATCATCGTACTCATCAACATCTACGTCATCTTCTAACTCGTCCATCTCATCGTCTTCATCTATAGTAAAATGAGTAAGGAGCCCTAATGTATTGTTCGAAACACGCTTACCCTCTTCCTCATTTATCTCGTCGTTGTCCATCATATTATCGCGTAGATTTGCCCGCAACCCAAGGTCACCCTCTATGCGCTGAACTGCTCCCCCGGCGCCTTCAAGAACCCGTAAAAATTCATCAAAATTCGGTGACCCAATATGATGGTCTCTACGAGCGAGATCATCCAAATCTTCCTCTAGCTGTTCCATTGTCTGGACATCAACATCATCCTCGTCCGACATATCTTCGCTTTCCCATTCATCATCGTCGCCTTCGTGAAGACTGTCATTGTCATGATCCCCGGTGATTTCGCCAGCAATTATCTCGTCATCCAAGTCAGAATCGTCTTCACTTTCATCCTCATCATCGTCGTCATCATCCTCATCCTCATCTTCATCACTTTCGATAAGGACTTCAATATCCATCGGGGTATCACCTGGCAAACCCTCAATTGGACCACGCTCATCAATATCTTCATCGCTGACGACTTCACCGTCATTCTCGGGCATATCTTCTTCATAGTCCATTTCTTCATCATACTCATCATCGTCGAACATTTCGTCGTCGTCTTCTTCCCCTTCACTGGGCGTCTCTTCCTCGTGGTCCGGTTCGAACATTCCAAGAGTAGAGTGTCGGAAAAGATCTGGGGTCTCCTCTCTGTCCTCTTCAATATCTGATACGGAAGTCGCGGATGAGATTTCATCTTCATCGGCTTGCCCAGGAGTACTAAGGCCGGTAATTGAAGCCGTCTCGCTCAGCAAAACCGCAGTCTGGGTAAGTTTATTTAGCGGGCGAAGGATATATTTGACTGCTCTCTTAGAAGATGGGAAGTTCAAGTCTATATCCGCAATCGAAGCCGTGAAGGCAGAGATGAAATTCTTTTCAAACATCATCTTCGCAACATAACGAGTAGATGATGGATAATGCGCTGAGCCATCCGGATTTGTCGCTCCACTCAACATCTTATCGAAAAGGTCAGCCAGACACATGAGTCGGGCGTATTTAGCGTCAAGCGGCTCTTGGGATGAATTTGCCTCCTTGTAAGATTTTAAACTATGTTCGAGAACGAATCTCCGGACGAACATCAAATCTGTCTCGTCTCCTTCATCAAGCGTAGGGCGTCGTTTTGACCCACCAAATTCGCTAGTTTTGGAGCATAACGCGACGATTACGCGCATTGCCCAGTGTGATGTGTTAACCCTCTTTTTAAACGGCATGGATTCATCGTGTTCAAGTGTCCCAATAGGAATCAAAGATTGAAGTAAGTAATTGAGGATGCCAGAACGAGGCTTAGACGGCGTGGTTGCAAGAGGATCAGCCTTCCGTGAGAAGTTAATGAATTCTACCTTTGTACGGTTGTACGCGGAAAGAAGTTCGGTTAGACACTGTAAAAGGAAGCACCGATAAATATAGATAGGATGCTCCTCCGCCTTGAAATGTGGCTTTTCCTTTTTAGATGCTGGGTCTCGTAGAGCAGGCGTCGACGAGGTAGAAGATGCATCTCCCATAGCCATCTCGACATCTTCTGATTGGCGACCATCGTTCTCGGACGTGTTCGCGGTAACTTCCTTATCCTCAACATCTCGGTACGAAAGCAATTCAGAAAGGAGGTAGTGAATCACGCCATCTGGGTGCTCCACGATTGGTGGCTTGAGCTCAGGTTTCGGCTTCGCTTTGGTATCACTTCCTTCTGGCTGGCTCGGTTCCTGATTTGGTTTTTCAGGAGCCTCCGGCTTCTTGTCTTCCTGATTCACCTCGCCAGAAGTACCCTCCTGTGATTCCGATCCTTTCTCCTCTTTCTCCGGTTTTAATATGAGGACTTGCGGTCTCTGTTGAGAGTCATATCTTTGAAGTTTCAACTTCTCATTAGTGACCTCGATGAATAGTTTTGGAGATCTTAAAGCTAGATGGTAAAACTGTCGGAGGTACCCGGTTGTGTCTGTTTGGCGAGGAGATCTAGAGTCAAAGCTTGCTACAAGCTCGTTGCGCATGATTTGACGAACGGTGTCATCATCTTCAATAATATGACGCAGGATTAACATAAAGTTACTCTGTAACTTATCGTTAGAGGAGTCGGCAAGCTGCTTAATCATGACGAATAACCGCTGGAGGTTTTTCTTTTCTCCCAATCGCTCTGCAATGCTGCGATGTCGGGTTAGAATCACAAAAATTCGGCAAACAGACAAGGCGAGGGAATCGTCTTTCCCAATTCGAGGTAAAATCTCTACAACGGCTTCGAAAAGCTGCAGTTTTGCCTCAATAGGAATGATCGGTTCCTTGAGCTCAGCTGGGGAGTCTGAGCCATCTTCCAAACTCGAGGTTGGCCACGTAATCTGCTCAGGTTGTTCATCGTCGGATAATATCCTTTCTAAGATCAGGAGCACCTGGCCAATCCGTGGGACAAGCTTCACTCGTTGGCTTCTCCGTCTGGGAGTGGGGGATCACGATAAAACCCAACAGGAGGGAGAAATTTTCTTTCAACTGCTCCAGCGTGGCATCATATACACTTTTCTCTTGGAGAACCAAAGCTAGCAGATTAGCATAGGCTGCTATCTTCTTTCCACCCGACTGGAAATTTTCGTCCATTTGTAAGGAAATTAATGAATGTATCAGCGTTTCTCCAATTTCTTTACAAAACGTGGTGGTATCGCGGGATTTCGTAGCAGCATTTATTAGGTCCGCAAGTTCGAATGTGACATTGTGGTGGAGATTGAGAACTTCTAGGCATCTCTCAATCAGATTGGAACGGATATTATCGCGTTCTTGATCTAAATCTTCAACGGTTATGACGTCTCGTCGCTTTGGTGTGGATGTCCTTCTCGTGGTCGGCAGTGCTGTGCTGTTTGCTGTATCTTGATCCTCCAAGGTACTTTCTGAACTGGTAGTATCACCGGGTTGGCCCGCAGTTGAGGTTGGGTCAAGTGGTGCACCCTGGATTTCATCGAGGAGAGCTTCAATAGAACCTCCAAAAGCTCGGTTAAACAAACCATCCGGGCTTTGATGCGGTTGAAATAGGCCTTCAACCTGGGAGGTGTTATTGACACGGGACGTCAATTCAATATCGGAAGAAGGTACTGGCAGCCTTGGCGGAGGTCTGAAGCCTTTGTGTGCAACACAATACTCCTCTGCGTAAGTTAAAGAATTATTGCAACGGTATAGGGCCTCCATCGCGAGATTCTCGTCATATCCTTTCTCGGTCAAAGTGCTAAGACGGTCTCTATGAAAGGAGAATGCTTTTGGGGTTGGCGCACCAGCCAACGGAGGCACATCACCACGATGATACGCCCCGCTTTCGTACTCACCTTCTAGTACAGACCGCAGAATCTCGATCAAAGATTTAACCATCGAGCTAGACGCATCGTCGATGAAATCTGAATCCCACATCTTTCGAACTAATGGCAGCGCTTCCATACGCAGCTCCACCAGAAATTGAGCTGGAATGAAAGAGTCCGGACGGTCTCTATGTTGCTCAGTTGCCATGGCTTGTGTCTGAGTAGAATCAATGATGTATCGTGCTGACGTCGTTTCGGAGAAGAAAGTCAAAATGAGTTTAATACAGCCGCCAACCGATGCCAGCCGTTTCGCTACTTCGGGAGAAGAATCCTCTCTAGCCTGGCGTGTCAATGTTTTGATATCGTCCAGGAAAAGCTCAGCCAGATCGTTCAACGTCCGTATACCCGCTATTTTCTTGAAAGCGTTGAGAACGATAGTCAAGCAGTGCGAATGTGGGCGATCACTCGCTGCTGCGATCATTAGTCATTCATTCAAACAGAGATGCCTATGGCAGAACTTACTTTCAAACAACAATTGAGAAAATGCTGACAAGATAACAATTAAATATGCGAAACGATCTTTTGGATCAGAGTCGCAAGCTTGTTGTAACTGCTCAACGACTGTCAAAGCCATAGATTCGGCAACTTTCGTAGCTTTCTGGCGCTGATAAGTATCCATACGCCGCTTGCTTGTCAGTCCGTGGCCCAAAACATGATGGAAAGTCGTGATCGATAGTGGTAGGGTTGTGGCTAAGTAGCGAAGAACCTCGTTATTCTGGAATGCCGCCCAATTAGAATCCTCAGCCTTCTTCAACGCTTCCTTTTGGGCCACCGAATCTGTCTCGGTACTCGAAGATATGCCTTGTGGCGTAGGAAACGGTTCGCGGTGACTACCATCGCCAAAACTAGCGAATTGGTTCGTTTTGAAAAGCTCTTTCCATTCAGGTGGTTCATTCTTTTGCAGCAGTATTTCCTCCCAAACGCAAGCCGCTTGTAGACTACCCAGACACTGAACAAGCCTAGCATACTTGTCGGCCAAATTGGTCTGGACGAACGGAGAGAGTTGTTGGCTAGGTCTGACAGGATACAACGGCGGACCATAGATTTCGCGAAGGATGTCGGTGAGTGTGAGAACACCGACAAGATGTTTCACATAATACGTGCCTTGTAACTTTAACTGATGGACATCCGATTCCGAAGAAGCCGTCGAACAAGCTATAGGAGTGAAGAAACCACTCGAATGCCATGTTTCAAAGAAAGGACTGAGTCTGTCAAGCACCTTTTGTGTTCGGTTGACTATTGAAGGTAGAACAAGGTGAGGTTTCGTCTCGGCCATTACTTTGATAACTTGAGATAGGTGACGGCTGACATCAGAAGAGTGGAAATTATGCGGGGCGCTTGGGAGAGTCGCAAAATCGAGAACATATTCTACACCCCCGAACTCAACGAAGCTAGAGCACATATTTTGGTTCTCAAAGAAGGCCGCCAGAAATCTAAGGACTGGATATATATAATTGACAGCATTGAGTCCGTGGCTGTCGTTATCTTCCCTTAGGTTCCATTTATCGATATCTGGCTTTCCAAATATGTCTGAGTAGCGATGTGCAGGTAGATCGTCTGCGGAGGATATTCCTTCGCCAAGACTAGATACTGGCAAGTTTTCTAGCGATTCTAGATCTTGAGTAAATGGCGCTCCGATCTCTGTAACCGCAGAGGCCGGGCCGCCAATGACGGAAGCCTTCTGGTCTTCATTCTGAACGACTAACTTTGCTCCTAGTCCGTGTTCCCAGGCCTTATAAGACGTAAGAATTCGCACACGAGCAACCATGCGTACTATCGCACTTGTAACAGCCTTCTTCAAACGAGGGTGATGCCTTATCAGTTCGTCGAAGGAGTTACCTAGAGCACGAAGCAGATTAGGATCGTTCTTCATGCATCTCACATGCTCAGGGCTTTCGAATATGTCGAAAAATCGGTCTAATGCGTCCGATGATTCGAAGAGCTCTAAGCCAGTAGAGTTCAAGCAAATTGCTCCAAATGCCAGAGGGATGCATATGATAGCCTCCGAAGAAGGCAGAATGCCGTCAGATCCTTTGTGTTCGCTTGAAGCAGTGAGCTGCGCAATAAGGTTTTTCGGGTCCGCATCCGTATCAGAAGGGATAAACAAATTCGAGGATGAGCCGTTTGTATCAGAAGGAGCATTGACAATAGGAGCCGCCATAACTGCCTCTAGGAAAGACTGGCTCAACCCAGCTTCAGCAATAACTGCATAGCTAGTTGGTTCATTGTGAATGAAATGACTCATCACATTCACCGCGCCGCTCCATACGTGCGACCCGAATACCCTAGCATTTTCGAGAACCAGACGAAGGGCACTTAGCAAAGGAGGAGAATCAATGAGGTTCCGCAGCAAGCGTTCAAATCCACCAGTGCTATGTTGCATAACATGGTTAACGAACTTGAAAAGCCACCGTAAAGACTGCTGGTGAAAGTATGGTATTTGATAATCGGTAAACGCAGTCTTATGCTCCTCCGGTATTCCTTTGTTCTCCTTGACAAGGTCGAAAGCGGATTTTGCTTCCGAAGATATCAGGCCAGATAACGCATCAAATCCGCGCGCCGAAGCCAAGGTTGCTAAAGCATCCCGGATTGGATGAACATAGGTGTCGAGAAATTCCATGACGCGAGGATAAACCCTGCGAGGCTTCTGTGTTCGGAGATTTAAAATATCAACTAGCATCGGAATCAATCCCGCCGAGACAAGAGTTTCAGGTGTTCTCGATCCGGAATTAGGGAGTGTACGAAGAAGGGAAAATAGCGCGTCACGCCAGTCATCGTTCTCCAAGTCATCGTTGTCATCGGGAGTAGCGAGATCTGCAACAGTCTTTCGAATGATGAACATTAAAATTCCGTGGTTTACATTGACATTAAGCGCAGCACAGACATCTGCAGCTTTGGATTTGTGTCTCGCTAGTGCGTCAAGGCAGCCAAGCGCGTAAGTCTGGTTAAGAACAGGTGCTTCGATGTCACCAGCCACACCAAGGTGAACAAACTCTGCAAGTTGGTAGGCAATCTGAAGCCGTTTTGATTCATCCGAATCTTGAGAGAGAATTTTTTGCTGAAACAGTGTTTCGGGGTAGACGTAGGCGAGATTGGTGAGTGCAAGAACTCTGATCGCAAGCTGCTGCTGTCTCGTTTCAAAGGATTTTGCGAGAGCATACGCGGTACGCACTCTGTGCAGCAGTTCATATCTAGACTCTTTTGGGACGCCTGCGATATGTTCCTTCACGACATCTTCTATACCGCGGGATAATATCTCAGAGCTTGTTATCTCCAACACGGTCATTCCTTGGCCGGCCTCATCAGACTTGACCGTCGACGGTGGTGTTGCAACAGAGGGCGAATCATCGACTGTAGAATCGCGGCCAAGCCTTGAACTGGAATGTCCAGAATGTCGGCGAACAGGAGTTGGAGTCGTTGGAACGTGAGAGAATTGGTTGCGGCTCGTTCCCACTCCAGAAAAGTCGTTGGATGACTCTGTGTCTCGAGCGTAGTAAGACAATCGAACGTTGCCCCAGTCTTCCCAATCACTTGTGCCAACTCCATTGTCAAGTAGGATGTCGGTCTCAACAGCTTTGGCCGTGTCCGTTTTGGTCAAACTGATTAGGTTATTAGCGTTACAATTGCCGGAAGACGTCGTGCGCGGCTGTGCCTTTTCCTTTCCCTTAACGGTCCCTGACGCATCTTGCTGTTTCTTTGGTGACGGCGGGCGAGGAAACGGCGCGGCGAGTTTCTGGACACGGTCAAGTTCAATATTGTAATGTGTCGCTAAAAGGGTCTGGTGGAAATGCGAACTATTCGTCGTTCGACGTCTCGAGTAGTACCGCTGAGCTAGGCACACACCAATTCGTAGAGTACATTGAAGTAAGGAAAGTGAGGATGTGTTTAACAAGGCGTTCAATCTCTCACTACTATTGAACAAGCTTCGGTTGCCGCACTTTTCCAAAAGCAGTCGCGAGAAATCTAATATCGATTCCACCAATTCTCTATCGCCCTCACTGCCAAAGCCAAGCCCGTCTAGTTTTGTTTCACAATCTTCCTTTGAGTAAAAAAGATGGCGAATATGCAATTCGCCAACTAGCAGCAGGCGGCCAAAGGGTCTCGATTGTGGGCCGGATTCCAGCTCATATGTACTGATAAATTGAGCCAGTATAGAGTCAAACCGATTCAAAACGAGAATCCAATTATAGAGATCACCTCTGGGAAACGGCCATCTGCGAGGGAATGTGGACAGATGTGACGGAAGCTCTGGGACCGAAACTTCAAGAGCTAATTCGGCGAAGCGCCGCAGTGCCGTAGACTTGATTCACAAGTTGATGTTAGTTACATACATTCTTTTTTGCACTGTATTTAAGACCCAGCGTAAATGTGCGGGACACTCACTTTGGTAGGCTCATGCTTAAGGCCCGGCGACTTCTCAATTCTCCCCATGATGAAGGTAAGCCTTATCGGCCACCATGTGAAGAGGCTGGGTCACAGTTGCAACTCTCCCAACAGCACTGACGGATCGCCACAAAGCGTGATATCAGCCAAACAAGCTCCCTTTATCCAAGTCGCATAAAATAAAAAAACTCAAAGACAGGTGAAGCCAAAGAGATAGCCAGCTTACCTCAATTATTTGGTAAGTCTTCTAAAAATGGAATGGGGCGATAAAATGCGAGCGACGGGGTCGGTTGATACGGGAGGGGTGATGTAACTCGGATGATCTTGAAAACGATCCAGATACAACTGAATGGCAACTGATAGACGTGATAGGAAGCGTACAAGTGCAGGTTGTAGGCTCCTAAGCTTTCAGAATCGGTTTCAGCGTGTTTGTACTGGTGATTTGAGTCAAGGAGGGAGATGGAGGGAATGAAAGTCGGGAGCTCGGCGGTGGTTAGAAAAGTGTTGGAGCAACTAAGTTCAAAGCATGGGGAGGGAACTTCCATCAATTGCTGAGTTTCCATGATGTTATTCCAGCCAATCAGCAACTGGCTTTACACGCCCCATCGGCGCGGACTTTCTATCCTCCGGACCGCCGTTGAATTTGAGATCAACTTGCGGGATTCACTCTGGGGAAATTGATATTCACTACGAAACTTGCATTCAAAAGCTGTATTATATTACATAGCCACAAGATTTTACTACCGGGCTTCCTATACACAATCAATGCGGAACCGCTGGCAGCTCACCGTCCCACAATACCTTCATCGTGGTCGGGAATGGAGACAGCCGACTCTCGTCTTCAGACATGTACGCTGTGATTCCGCCGGGTCCAGGGATCTTCTTAAGTTGTCCTTGAGGTCCCGGCGCACGACGAAGATTTTCAAGCTTACCCACAACCTTTAGCATAGTTGTCAGTGCCACTTTAGTCATCCCTGCCCCCAAGCACTCATGAGGCCCTAATCCGAGGTGGATATACGAATCAAGATCGCGGGTGAGATCGACCTTGTCGGGCTCGGGGAAAGCCTCTGGGTCCTTGCATGCAGATACCTATCATCATTGTCAGCCGTAATCACTAAAGTTACGCGCTGGCGGACTCACCAAGTTACAGAGTATTCGTTGTCCAGTCTGCAAGCTTTGCTCTTTATCGTGGTCTTGGACCGTGACATTGGTAGCAACGTCCCGGAACAAGGCTACAGTGGATCGCATTCGAGCTCCTTCCAAGAAGCTAGATTTCATTGTCAGCATCGTTTATTTGTATATTAATTACCCGCAAGAATCAACTTACTATCTTAGAAGAAGATCATCGGCTTCCTTCGTGTTCAAATGAGCCAATCTGCGTATCTCTGGCAAGTGGCTTGAGCCCTCCGGTGATAGGTAGTAATCAAGACATTGCGAGAAAAGCTGGCCTTGGTTCGCAACCATGCCCCCGGCTGTGGGGAGAATATGCGTCCAGACAAGTTCGTCAGCTGGCAGCTTTGTTTCCAGGAGACGCCGTATCATGTGGATTCCATAGTCCGCCAATGCCTCATTGGCTTGTAATCTGTCGATAATACCCCCGATGAAACCAGTTTTCGAAATGACCTGGACATTCAACATCACAAGTTGTCCCAGTTTCTGGGTGGCACTCCTAGACATCTCCCGAAGCTTGAAGCTTTGGGCCGGGTCGGCGTCATAGAATATGCAACTGAAGACAAGGGCTAATATCGAGTAGAGCTCAGTCTCTGTGAAAATGCCATGCGGATTTTCCTCTGTTTTCAGCGGCAGTAAAAACACATTTGAACAGAAGTGAACCTGCGCTAGATTTGCGACATCACGAACAATGTCAACCTGGTTAACTTCTGAAATTCGATGTGATTTTGCATGCAACAGTTTCAGGGTGATTCGTTCATAAAAGTCCCCGACCTGCTTGTGCCAGTCGTCGATATATAGAGCCTTCTTCATCATCTGACGGGATTCCTCGTGCACGAATTCGTCTCCGGACAACATAAAGTTAGCTCCGTACGGGATCTGACTACGTCTCATCAAAAATTTAATCTTATCGCCCCAGGTGACTTTGAAATCCAGCTTGTTGTTCAAAATCGACTTGCAAGCGCTGTAAGAATGTATCATTGTTGGATGGGGCATAGGGCCCGGCCTGGCCCAGGAATATTTATCAACGATACCCAAGTCATTTAGAATCTTTTCGTTCTCGGTAGGCACGACAAATGGGAAATGCGCATAGACCGAGTCCGGCCTAAAATGACTAGGGAACGCACGGAATATGAGTTTATGGAATAGGTGGCCGTGATTGACCGCCATATCGGGGCCTGCTTCGGTATAACCCCAGTTTGTAAGGTTTTGTGGGGTATAGTCAACGGTATAGAATCGATCTCCTCTCACGAGAGCAACAGCGTCGGAAAGAACCGTTCGGGATATAGTGAAGCTAGCACAGAGCCCACTTCCGGGCACCAAAGGAACCTTTGCTTCCTCAACGACAATCCCAGGGTATATCTCAACGTTATCTGGATGGCCATAAAAGTGTCTCAACTGTTCTGCAACCTCGGGATCTGAATTGATATCTTCAAATGTTTTATGCGGCGTGAGATTGAAATACTTCCGGAATTCGTTGAGGGTAGATAGGTTCCACGATCGAGATTGAAGAATACCCATGATTTCCACAGGTCGAAGAACCTTGGGGACATGCCTCGCCCCAAAAGTCCCAGCACAGTCCTCGATGCTTTCTATTAAGATTTCAACCAATTCGTCGTCATTATAACTTCCATTGGATGTCCGCTTAAGTTTTGCAAAAGTTCGGAGCATAGGGTCGTCGGGAAGAGAGCTCTCCCACTTTGAAACACCTCGTAGAAACTCCATCGTGCTGGCAGAACTTGGGTCCCTGCCGTCGAAAACCTCCCTGAACACGTCTTGCATCCAGCGGTCATCCCTGTCTGAGAGGCAAGAGTGCCACCGATAGACAAGATTGAATTCAGCCGCAACCATGTTGCCGCCCCCTTCTGCAACAGGCTTGTGGCTTAGAAACTCCCTAAAGTCTGATCTAGGGTCAAGGCTCCAGTCGCTGTCCGTTCGGTTGACATTGAGGATGGTTCGAACGTAGTCTTTCAAAATGATGTTCACATAGAGCCCGCAGGTAATTAAACGCCCCGTCTGGAAAAGGTCGTTATCATACTTCGCATACGCTTCCTTGTCATTAGTATCCGGTTTTCGAAAGCGGTTATTTTCGTTGATAGCCGCGAGGTTCTGAACAACATGGTTGTGAAACCGATTAAACATAACAAGTAAAACACCAACACCAGGAGGGAAACCAGCTACTCGTCTCTCGGAGAAGCAATCGGGCTTAAGCTTCCCATCTCTGAAGGTTCTGACTTGATCTTGCTCTTCCTGATTGCACCCGTACAATGGAGACAGATCTAAATAAGAAGATGTGAGATTACGAGAATGATCCTTAGGGTCAGTCCGGAAAATGTCTATTGCAAGTTAGACTTGTTAATACCTTGTGGCGCTACCAGAAACATACCATGAATGATCAGAGCTGCTAGATAGAAGAGCATACTCGACAGCTTGGTTTGGTGCTCCCTAAATTTCCGTCTGGCTAGGAGGCCATCAAATAATAAACCCGGGTCCGGACGTGAAACAGGTTGAACCAATTTCGGCTGCACGCTTCTGGCATAGGTGGATCCTGCCATTCCGACTTGAGGCCAATAGATGTTCTACCAGTAATCATGAGTATTGCGTCCATGAGTATAAATAAACTTAGGCAGTCATACATTGTAGGATCCATCAGCTTGTCGATAAATAAACTGCCGGCCCAAATATCTAGAAGGGAATGTCAATCAATGAACGAAAGGGGGCACGCCAAATCAACTCACGATACCGGCGGGTGAGGCAAGTCATTCCAAAGTTGACCTAGCAGAGAATTCGTGAGTGCAGTGCCGTTCCGAGATCCAGTAGGTAACGATGAGGCCAGCTACTAGTATTTAGCGTCATCCTTCTCTAAGGAGTACTTTTCGACCAACCTGGATAACCCTTTCCATAATATACCTTTTATCGTCCACTGGCGCACCACTAGCCATATTCTTAACTAGCTCAAGCACCGTTCCTACATCTTTGACATCCAGTTCTCCCAAGTCCTGGAGAATCCCCGGGGTAGAATCCATGCTCGGCGAGGGGTACCCAGAGTCAGGAGCTATCGGGCGCAGAGCACCATTGGCGATTCCGCTAAGCTGAGAGAAGTATTTTCCAAAGTCGTCAAGTACGCTTCGGCGAGAAGTCGAGTCCTGTCCCATCTTCACGGGCAGTGCCTCGTTTCGAATGAGTCAAGGGGACAAGAAGCACAAAAGATCTCAGAACTAATGATAAATGGTTTCGGGTACGCAAAACGCAGCACAGCTTTATTCCTGAAGCCACTGTCAATGTCATTTCTGCAATCATCTAAATCACCCGGTGCGCCAGGTCCTCACCACGATGGCAAAGGGATTAGAGGTACTGACCTGGGAACCACAACCGATTTAGAAGCCCTACCGGTATTCAGCGCTCTTGATAGATAGCATAAAAGAACGAAAAATGGAGCACATCGACAGCGTGAGAAGAAGTTGCAAGCCATCAGGGAGCACTTCTCTTTAATAAAGCGGCCTCCCGATTAATTATAGCACACGAAAGCGGGCAAACCGCAAAGGATCCTCGACAATGTTTCCGCATGTCAGCCCACGCTATTCATGTCCATCACACCAGATATCGTCATCAACGGCCGAAAAAAACTGCGGGCCATATCAATTGTTCGTATTTCGTGTAGAATTAACTTTTTTGCTCTGCGGTCTTAAGAGGCTTCGAGGAGCATTGACATGGGTTGGGGCCAGAATCTGGCGTCGAAGCCAGGAGGCTTGCTCGGGGTCCCCGAACCCTCCCTCCTTTGGAATCTTTCGTGCCAGGCCAAAAGAATATGGCCCCTCAAACAAAGCACGGGGTTCGTATTCTAGCCCGCTTAGCCGCAGCCTTGGGTAACTTAGTCCCGGGGAACGAAGAGAAGACATGCGGACTTTTGCTGCACATCCTCGCCCCGGGCTCCGCTTAAAGATTCCCCTGTGACCCAGATGCAGGGATAATCCGCAGCCCGTTCAGCCCTACACGTCTTGCCCAAGAGGATTCCCTACCAAGGCTACCATGGCCCAAAGGAAGCAACCTTCTTGAGAAATACAGGACAATCCATTGGTCGGGCGGGGCCGGGCTGGTTGATCGTTCAAGAGATGTTCAGAACGATTCGTCGAACCTCCTTTCGGCTTCTCCAGAATATGGCTCAACATGGCTGAGCAGGTGAGTCGGCTCAAAAATTTTCTCCTGCATGTCAAGAAAGTCACCATCGGTCACAGCCGCTCGCGAGAACTCACTGCCTAAGAAAGACTCGGTCCCAGGCTGGATGATGTGCGGCCATAAGAGTGCAGCGGGGTTATCGAGACTCGATTGATGCGTCCATTAATTAACTAACTAATCAAATTCATCGCCTTCTCCTCTCCCAAATCTTGGATTATTATTGGCATAGAACGGTGTTCTTTGGAGTCAAATTGTTGGAGAAACGCCTGTAATCACTCGTTTCTGCATAGCGGATAAGGTGGCTGGGAATGTAGCATAGTTACGGAGGACCTCCATCTAGGTCCAGGAAGCTACAAACCCTTCTCTATCAGGCCTATATATGCTTGACCGCTCAGGAAAACCGGAAAAAGAAGAAAAGATTCAATAGTACACAGTATGTATGCTAGCCATAGATCTTCCCATCCTTTTGTCTTCCATGTCTTTTCCTATTTCTTAAATCCAAAAACTTAGCAAACCTGATGGGATAACCAATCGGGTCGATCGCCAACAAATGATAGCTCCCGTTAGCCCTAGATACATCATTGACACAGCTGTCACTGGTGTTTTTGTAGGCACAGCATGTCATAAATATGAATATTCACAAAGTACCGCGGATAGATGGATTAATGTGTGACACACAAAATGGTGCTGGAGTGATATAAATAGCAACAGTTTTGTAACCTTGAGCTGGACAAGTTCGTACAACGTTGCAGAACGATTGACAATAAGATTAAAATCCACGGAATCGCTTTAGTTGACATTGCAGATCGATGTTGATGTCAACCTCCCGAGATTTCCCTTGACGACTCTTTCAAGCCTTGATGGAAGGCGGGTAGTAACCCCTGTAGCATCGCTGAACCGCCATTTCATGAGCAGTACCCAGCTCTGCAGGCCCTCTCATGAACTTCAACTGCACTGGAGCCGGAAGCAGGGTGCTTGGATTGTGAAGTATTGGCTCCTATCAGAATATGCCCTCCGTCATTGCTATGCGCTTTGCCGCACCCAAAAAGAGGGCGATGAAATCCGAACACTGAAGACTGAAGAACTACAGTAGTACGTGGTTAGTTCTTCAAACTAATTAAGTTAGTTAGCGTTCTAAGAGTCTAAGACGCACTGGCGGAACGAGACCGGTCAATAGTGCTTAGTCATAACTAACTATGGTCAGAGCTCAGCCTCGTCTGTAACTACGCACCTTTGATTCGCTCATCGGCAGCTCGAAAACAAGGCCAGGGAAGTGTGCTTGACGTTCGGGCACTGTTCAAACGCATAGTCGCAGAAGACACCCCGAGTCTAGGACCGAATCAATTAACCCTGCACTCTTAGCCCGTCATGGCATCTCAGAAAATAGTCCTTGAAATCAAGTCTCGAGGTATGTCAGTCATCCGCAGCATGCAACGGTTTCGCATACGACGGGCCTTGTGGTAACAATTGAACTGTCAAAAATAGGGAAACCGATACGGAAGCTTCCCAAAAGTATCTCAGTTGACAGAGATGCATCCGCCGCGAGTTTGTACGCCGCCATCTCGCAACAAGCCCAGTTCTCACTCCACCGGTTGAGAATCACCAAAGCAAGTGACGGGACCTTGATAAAGAACACCAAGGATACCGTGATTGAGTCCACAGGCCTTCGCAACCAGAGTGTAATCTATGTCAAAGACCTTGGTAAGCGCGGTTTCCCGATGTATCGTCCATCCGAAAGTAACCATTCTTCTTTTTCTACGAACAATAGGGCCACAAGTCGCATGGCGCACCGTCTACTTTGTCGAATACCTTGGCCCCTTGATCATGCACCCTCTCCTACTCTATGTGCTCCGCCCATACATCTACCGGAGTCCCACCCCGCTCCCCGCTCCGTCTGACCTCCAGCGCTTCACCTGCCTCCTGTTAGTGCTGCACTTCGTCAAACGTGAAATCGAAACCGTCTTCGTTCATCGATTTAGTCTCGCCACCATGCCAGCGAGCTATATCATTCGCAACAGCGCCCACTACTGGATTCTTGGCGGGGCCAATCTGGCCTACTGGGTTTTCGCTCCAGGCTCTCCGACTGCTAGATCCAAGGCGAATCCAATCCTTCTCTACAGTGGCATTGCCCTCTTTGTGTTTGGCCAATTGGCCAATCTTAACGCTCATCTCACTCTACGGAATCTTCGGAAAGAAGGTGACACTACGAGAAAAATACCCTCCGGGTTTGGCTTCAATCTGGTTACCTGTCCAAATTATCTCTTTGAGGTCATTGCCTGGTTGGGTGTTTACCTTGTGAGTTCATTGAACTGGAGTGTGCTGCTGTTCATTGTCGTTGGTTCCGCAACAATGATGCGCTGGGCTAGCCAAAAGGAACGGAGATATAGACGAGAATTTGGAGATAAGTACAAGCGGAAGAGATACGTCATGCTCCCAGGCCTTTGGTGATCTGAAGGCTTGTGAGACACAAGAAACCTAGTAACATTGACCCTAGAGATGAAAATTATCTCTAGCCTTACGCAAAAAGGCTCTATTGCCATGATAGTGACGGGTTCAGAGATTCATTGGTGTATAATAGACAAAGAAGGTTTGAAAAGTTAAGAATATAGCATTTGGTGTTGCCCTGGGAATCGATCTTGATGGCTGCTTCAAGGCCTCATATTGTTATGTCGTTTGCTCTATCATCCTCTTCCATTAAATATGGGACTGGGTGAGACGGTATATTATCGTAGCCTTCGGTGGAAGACAGAAAGAAACAAGTTTGAAGACCCGGTTAATACAACCCAGAACTCCGCCAATCAGTAAATGCGAAAACGGATGCAAAATTATGCCTTGCTACAGACCCATTAGCAGGCAATGGTGTACAAAAAGGGTGCATTCCCAAGCCCAAAAAAGAAAAGGAAAAAGATAAAGAAAAAATGGTAATAACAGCGAGAGAACAAGCAAGTGTCTCTTTGCTGATAAGGGTGAGAGAAAAGAAGTCATATCATTTCAGAGACGTAACAAGGTCGCCCTTCATCATTGTTTTAATTCTGTAAAACCCCATCGTCTTTTCCCCTTCCCATTATTTATTATTTCCTGTTTTTCTGGCCCAATCCTGGAAAAATGGCTCCATTTCCTTCTCGCATTCCGCGCCTGGTTTGCAGCTTTTGAACCGAACGAGAAAGTCACCGTCGTGATACAGGCCGTCGGAACTTGGCTTTTGTGATTGGGGACTATACGCGTTTAGCGTACGTTGGGGGACAAGGGCGAGTTTAGCGAGGATGGTCGGGTGCCATTGCACAATATGGTCCTTGGTGCTCCGGGTTAGAATCATGACAGCAACTCAAGCGGAGAAGTAAAAGACGGAAGAACGTACAAGAGCATGAGTTTCTCCTTTGGCAAAGTTATAGCGTCTGTAGAGTGGATCGAACCAAGCGTCAAGAAAGAATTTCGCCCATTCCCCCCGTCGAATGACAAAGCTACCGGGGCATAAATTCTCGCCATCTTGGGTGATGATCAAATCGACGTCCTTTGCGGCCAGGTGGTTGAACGTTTTTGATCACGCTGTCTGGTGGCACAACGGGGATATCCTTGATCATGAGCGAGTCGAGTTTCTTGTAATCGAGGACGTGCGAGGTAAGGGGTAAGGTAGGGTTCATGATAAGAGCATGAGGGGAGAGGTGGAAGAAATATGTGCTCCCGGGATATAATGTCATCGCATGGCGCACGGCTGGAATACTTGCCCAGCTTCGAGGAGCATCGTTCAAGACGGGGACGTATTCGGATGTACTGGCGAAGAAGTTGAGATAGCCTTATCCAACATATTAGCCATTGCTTAACCACAAACCTAGTACAGGCGGCAAGATCACAAGAAAACTCCGAGGAAGCATACCATGTCGTTTCGCATAGTCCTCCCGATTCTGCTTAATCCGTTGAATGTACCCATCACTCAAGCTCTGCTCGTCCAGGACCGTAACCAGCACAACCTTTGGTCCACCGGCAACCGACGTCGATTGGGAGCCAGAAGAAAATAAGTGTGAAATGAAAAGAAGAATCGAAATCACCACAAATCCAAGCACAGCAGCGGTCTTCAGTTGTCGACGTCGTAGGGCTGAGGATTGCGAGGGTCGAGAGTACAGGGGAGGATGCGAACTCTTTCGCGGAGGTAAAGCGAACTGCATGGTCGTGGTGTGTAGTGCTCGAGAAGTTTTCCCCCTTTACTCTCCCATCGATGCGAACGCCGCACTACCTGCAAGAGGGAGACAAGAGCTATCGGGGTCTCCTGGATGTGGTGATGAATGGCATTTGGATTTGTTGTTCGGCCAATTTTGTCTCAGCTCTCACACCGGAGATGAACTAAACTTTAGCTCAATGACCTCGCTGCCGTGTTGTTTCCCGCCAACAATCAAGCAATTATTGCCCTCGTCGCTTTGTGTAACGTTTGGAAACCGGGATTAGATGAAAGTGTGTCTGTACATAAATTCTTACCTCTTGCAATCTTTCTGAAGGAGGCTCGTGTTTTTGTGGCCATTCCAATCCCCTGATTTGAGCCTCACTTAGTTATGCTAGCGAGCCCCAAACAAGAAGATAAAGACGAATCCCAAGCAGAATTTTTGCTACGTATGACTACCAGGTCAAGTAGTCTTCTGAGGTCAAAGAGAAGCCGGTACCCAATTCCCTGCCAAACATTCTAGTACATGTAGTTTAATATACACAAAAAAATGGTTCACACCACAGTTTGAGTGAGCCTCGCCTCGCATATTCCAGCATAACTCCGTTTCGCTGTTCAGACGATATGGGGTAAAAATTTGCCGCACCGTCCAGACAATCCCACATTCGTGATAAATATATGTGGTTGGATGACGACGTCGGCTCAAGCAACATTAAGGGTTGGACTCGGGGTAGCCTCTGCGTGAGCCTCTGGTAGGGATTCCTTGATTGGTTCCGATGCCAACTCGGCCGATCGCTGCGCTCGGTCTTCTATAGCAGCCTGAACCTGCTGCTCCATCGTGTATCGCGAGAGGAATTCCTCAAATGTCTCTGGCTTCCCCAGGCCCAATTCTTGACGTTCCTTCTCGAATCGCTCCCTCATAGCTTTCGAAGTCATGACTTGCCATCGTAAATGCCATCCGAATATGCCCAGTTCCTTTATCCTGGCCGGCTTCTCACCAAGTAGATATTGATCCAAGCCACCGACTTTCTTAATTGTTCGTAGCACTCGATGCTGCACCTTAAGATCCAGCCACTTTCCTAGCGCCTCACTGTAAATCTTCTCTTTGCGAATATTTGGTTTCCAAGTTCTCCTCGTCTTCCCTTCATTTCTACCTTTGGAGATTTTATTGCCGAATTGGATGGTTGCGCCTCCGTACAGTCCGCTATCGGCTTGCTTATAGATGCGCCTAGGGCCGTATGGGTAAGGAGGAATGTAGGAGGGAAGTATTCGTGTCTTTTGAGAGGGACATGTCGAAGAGAAGGATCGTGTCGAGGTGAGGGAGAGGTTGTGTAGAGCGGAGGTGAGGGAGGACAAGGATGTGATCGATCTGGCCGACCCGGCTACTGCTGGAGAAATCATTCTGCGTTATAAGATGTGCATTGCAGGGTTAAAGTGAAATATTCCTGCAAAAACGAGTCGAATTGGCCGAAATGCCGCCTGTTCGACTGCTGCTTCGTCTTGAAGATCGAAAGATTCTCTTTTTGAGCTTCACCCCGATTAGGACTAGTGGCTGAGCTAATCCATGCTTGTGCATTCCAGCCAATCAGGCGCCAGCCGCAAAAAGTTATGGCTGGATCTCTTTGAAGCCAAACACCCAGATAGCATTTTGGTTGCAGAAAGGCGCTGTTCGTGGTTTATTTACTGGACGAGAATCTCACTTTAGCAATTTCACCCATCCCACGGAAATCTCCAATCAAGCACCTGTAACTCTGGACATTCAGTCCAGATTACGGACGGTACAAACCCAGGATGGTTCAGATCAGCGAGGTCAAGGGCAATTCGCGGGACAACAGGACAGCAGCACATACACACATCAAGGGGCTAGGATTGCGGCCAGATGGCTTTGCCGAACATACCAGCAGTGGTTTTGTTGGCCAAACTCCGGCTAGAGAAGTGGGCTCCTCATAAGCATAAGCCGAAAACTCCTACTGATCTAATGGGTTTTAGGCATGTGGTGTCGTCGTAGACCTGATCAAATCCAAAAAGATGGCTGGACGCGCAGTCTTGCTGGCCGGAGGACCGGGGACAGGAAAAACAGCTTTAGCCCTCGCCGTATCGCAAGAATTGGGAACCAAAGTGCCTTTCTGTCCGATTGTGGGTAGCGAAGTGTTCTCAGCAGAGGTCAAGAAGACGGAAGCTCTAATGGAAAACTTCCGCCGGGCAATCGGTGCGTAAATTGACGGAGTGTATAGCTGCATCGCTCTAACCCCTTGCAGGTTTACGTGTTCGTGAGACCAAGGAAGTCTACGAAGGCGAAGTAACGGAGCTCACCCCGGAAGAAGCTGAAAACCCATTAGGCGGCTATGGGCGAACGATAAGCCATTTGATCATCGGACTTAAATCAGCTCGAGGCACTAAGAAGTTAAGGCTAGATCCAAGCATATATGAAGCTATTCAGAAAGAGAAGGTCGTCGTCGGAGACGTCATTTACATCGAAGCAAACACCGGTGCCTGCAAGCGAGTCGGACGTTCTGACGCATACGCGACAGAATTTGATTTAGAAGCTGAAGAATATGTCCCGGTTCCCAAGGGCGAAGTGCACAAGAAGAAAGAAATCGTACAAGACGTTACGCTCCACGATCTTGATGTTGCAAACGCCAGGCCACAGGGTGGCCAGGATATAATGAGCATGATGGGCCAGTTGATGAAACAGAAAAAGACCGAGATCACCGATAAACTACGGCAAGAAATCAACAAAGTCGTCAACCGCTACATCGACCAAGGTGTCGCCGAGCTAGTCCCCGGCGTCCTCTTCATTGACGAAGTAAGTTGCCTTCTCCGCCCACACATATACACTCTCCCTCTTCAATAGCCCGCTCCTAACACCAACCTAGGTCCACATGCTCGACATCGAATGCTTCACCTACCTTAACCGTGCCCTCGAATCCACCATCTCCCCCATCGTCATCCTCGCCTCTAACCGCGGTCACACCGTCGTCCGCGGAACCGGCGATATCGTCGCCGCCCACGGCATCCCCCCCCGACCTCCTCGGCCCGCCTCCTTCATCATCCCCAACCCATCAGTACAGCCAGATGAAATCAAACCATCATTTCGCCTCCGTCCAAGACGGAGAGCCTCCGGATCACCGACGCCGCCTTGGATAAAGTTGCCGCCCATGGCCCAAAGGTCAGCCTTACGATATGCTTTGCAGCTGCTCACTCCCGCTAGTATACTTGCACGGGTGAACGGACGACCCGGTGGGATTGAAGAGGCGGATATTGCAGAATGCGAGGACTTGTTTATTGATGCTAAGAGGAGCGCTGATATTGTGTCAAAGGAGACTGGGGGGTTTATTTCCTGATTTCAACGGTTCGTTCAATGGAACCATAAGAGTCTTAATCATATTTGCATTTCTTTGCACTATGATGCTGGCCATTTCGATACTTTACCCAGGATCGAAAATACTTTCTGCTCTGCGTCACTTGGAGGCCTTGAGTAAATAAGTCTTAATTCAACGCGAGCTGTTCTTTCCATAATATAACACTATTCCATTGACACAGCTCGTTGCCTCGAAGACAATATTCTCTAGCCTAATGCATAACGCCTGTAAGAATAAGTGTATCCTAGGAAATCAAAGGCCCAAGTCTAGAAAGATGTATCCTGGCTACCGCAGTCGTACTGAAGGCAGTCCAAAACTCTACTATTCCACCCTGTTTCTGCAGTTCCAGAATATATAATCGCCAGCCGCATATCAGAAGGAATCTTTAGTTAAGATGCAACCATGCGGGCCACGGCACTTGGAATAGCTTTAATATGAGAAACGGTAGTCTCACATGAAAAAACCAGCACATCCAATACCCATAAAACTGTTCTTACCATGCAATCTAGGATTGTCAGTTTCGGAACATATGGATAGTTCACAAACGAGTTCTCAAACTTAAATGGAAGTTTGGCACCAAAATGCTTCATTGTGAGCCGAAAGGCGCTTCGAACGCCATCCTCGTGCAATCCATAGCCAGCCCAAGAACCGCAGAATAATAGATGTCGACCCTCCGTGTTCTGTATCTGGTCAAGATTAGTAAGGGCATCGATTCCTCGTGCGGTAAGCAGTGGACGCCTGTGCTCCCATCGAGCGGCTGTTTTGGTCGCGTCAGGGTGGATAATTGGGTTGAGCGTGATGCAAAGGGCATTCTCACGACAATTTTTCGCGGCAAAGTGGTTTAGGCGATACGTTACACAATATGGACTTAAATCTCCTTGCGGAAACGCGGTATGGTCGGCCCAGTTCATGTACGCCGAAGTCTTTCCAGTTGATACAAACTAACGCATGGCCCTTGAGTTAGTTTGTGAGTGCGAAGATTTTATAAAAACAGAAACTTACGCTCGAATCCGAATGCAGCCATGTATCTGTTTTAGTGGTTTCAAAAGCACCTAAAATCTGCCGTTCTTCCTGTGAAGCTCCAGTGGACAGGAGACGAAGAGCTTCTTCAGGAGGAACTGCAAAGATAACGTAGTCGTATAACAGATGTCCAGCTCCAAGGGCCGTGACAGATAATTTTGAGGAGTCTTTGTCACGGATCACCTCCACTGACGTTATTTTGGACCTGAGGTGAATAGTTTTCCTATTCTTAAACGAAGTTCGAATGCGCTTCTTAATCTTTCTTTCAGCTTTATCGTCTGGCTTGATAATCCACGCAGTTTGAGGCCAAGTCAGGAACCCAGAGCTCCAGAAAAAGTTGACAAAGTGCTGGACCGGGAGATCACGAAGATCTTGTTCGGATTGGACGTTCCAGACAACCTGGGCCATAGGCAGGAGATAGTTCTCCAAGAAAATCCTTGAGTAGCGATGTTCGTTTAAGTAATTGCCAACAGTATCCCGTATCGCAAGTCTGCTTCCAACTAGTGGTTGAAAATGGTTTTCGCCTTCGGCTCTGCGCCTCAAAAGATCTCGGCAGAAGTAGTGAAACCTCCAGATATCGACATACAATCTCCAAGCGTCCAATCTCAACCAATCATGCAGGTGCGAAGCTACCGCTCTGACTGAATTGAAGCTCATATCAAAGTAAACGTTGCTATTCACCTTTTTGACGGAAAAGTTGCACAATGTTTTGATGCAAGATATTTTCAAACATCGAATGAAGTTTATCAAATTGGCTGCTAAAGTCAGCTTCCGTCGATATAGACGATGGAAAAGGGAGCGCTTACGTGAGGCCCCAGAAAAGAAATTGATGAAACCTTTATTAACATGTACAGTGTTCAGACCAGTGCCAGCGCGAATCGGTTGCGTAAGACCACCAAGGTCATTAGTCTGCTCAAAAAGATCAACATTATGGACGGTGTTCCGCAAAGCCCAGTATGCCGCAATCCCAGATATGCCGCCGCCGATGATTGCGATCCGTTTCGAGAGAGCCTCTGTCTTCATGCTATTCTCCTTGGGGTCATCTGATACTGAGGATTCCGGGTCCGGCACGGATTCTATCACGGCCGTTCGAGGCGACTTGGGATTGAAGCGGTCCAGATATTGAGCCAATGGCGATATATACAGAGGCTCGCTCAGAGAACGGCTAGGTAAGGGGGCGGTAGTTTGGGACATCTTCCAAACGTGGTAATAAAGTGATATGGAAACGTAACAATGGACTAATCAATATTATATAGCGGGGATTTATATTTCTAAATATTAAGCAGGTCAACGGGCCATCAAGAAGTTAGGAGGATGCGAGGATGAGATCTGAGCGATAGGCGAAAGGAAAACTGAGGGAGCAGATACATATACTCGTTTCCGAGTACCTTCCCAGGAGAACCGACAGCCAAGAGGAAGCAAGTGATTTGGGGAGCTGTTGCATTTCAGTAGCAAGACTAAAGACTGCGCTTTCCATAGTCACGAAGAAGCAAAGGGCACATTCGCCAATGCCTTGTTGCATCAGTCCAGCATATCCGCGTTCATTGTATATGTGGAAGGGGAGAAGTATCAAGATTATCTCCAGGTGATGCTGCGTCCTTGACATGGTCAAATGGTTCTCCCATCTTGAGGGGTTTGAATCCTAAGTTCGGCGCTCTTCCAATGAGGCTTAACCAGTGGGTGCCGGATTCGTGAAGCTGGATCCTCGCATTGAATTCTTAATAGCCACTCGATGTCATACATCGCGATAGCACCTGCTGCCAATGAACAGTCCATCATCTATTTATCCTCGTTCGGAGCATAGTCGATAACTAGGCGTAGTAGGCCACGATGATCGAGGCGTGAATAAATGCTAGTAATAGGACTTCGAGGCTTAGGAATTCTCAATTGCAGGGAGGGTAGCAATAGTTACTGGAATGTTGGACATTTATTGGCCTCAAGGGCTGCATTTGTTGCTGGATTCATTGTCCATTTAACAAACGGGGGTGTCCATTTAACCGGCCCCAAGATCAACATATCTCCCAACCTGGTTTAGCCGAATCGTGGAGGCTGTCGCAAGATTACGTTATCTTTACGGCGTTCCAGACAGATTCCATCTGCAGCCGGCGACAACCTCCAGCGACATACAACGTTACTTGGCCGGTTTTGGATCCCATTAGGTGTAAACCGTCTCGATAAACGCGGATACCTCTCTTTTGTTTGGCTATTGCTCCCCAGGCTCCGTGGTGATCCAACGGGAACTTATTCGCGGCGGCTCACGTCACTCTGCCAACCTCAATCAGTACAATCATTCCGATCGCGCACGATGGCGAATCCTCTGGATACAGACGCCGGCTCTGAGTTATTTAGCAGCTATGAAGCTGAACTGAAACTCGTCCAGGCCGACTTGAACCAGAAACTCGATCAGATTGCAGAAGCCACTGGAGAAGAGCGGAAGTCTTCCATAAGACAGGCCGAAAGAGCGCTGGATGAAGCCAGCGAATTGGTTAGCAAAGGTTATCCCGTACATTAAGACAATCGGCAGTCACTGACTTGGTTGTATTGCTTGTAGCTCGATCAAATGCGTATAGAAAAGGAGAACATCCCATCGGCAACCCGGTCCAAAGTCAACGCCCGGTTCCGCAATTTCCTGAGTGATATCGACGAAGTAAAGCGAAAACTCAAGTCCCTTTCGGATGACCGGAAAGCCCTGTTTGGCGACAGGTACAGAGACGAACCCAGCAGCATCCATGATCAGCATCTCGAGCAACGGCAACAGCTCCTGTCAGGCACAGAACGTTTAGGCCGGAGCTCGGCTCGTTTACAGGAGAGCCAGAGAATAGCGTTGGAAACGGAGGATATTGGTCGAAATACGCTTGCAGATCTTAATGTACAACGGCAGACGATTGAGCATACCAGGGCAGGCCTGCTGGAAAGCGAGGGATACGTTGATCGAAGTGTAAAGACGTTGCGGGGGATGGCACGTAGGTAGTACTACCCTTGAATATTCACCCCATTCTCACCCCTACGGGCACTAACTCAGTATTAGGATGGCTACGAATCGGATAATCACCATTGCCATTATCACAGTTCTCGTCCTCCTAATCGTTGCGGTCATCTACAGCAAGTTCCATTGAATGATTTAAACGGATATCAGGCGTTATGGGGAATATCTTTTGGGGCGGCTTTCGCCAGACCACATAACGACCCTTGTATGAGTGTACTAATTCCATTTTCGCTTCGGCAATCCAAAGGATTCGCCTCTATGTCCAACGCAAGAACGCCCTCTGTATAGTCCCACCGGGGTATCATATATAGAAACCATATCTAATAACGCCTCTTAATGCCATCCCGTATTCCTTAGTCAGTTTATACAATCCAACAGAAAGTTGCCAAAAAAGCATCAATTCATCCACCTCACTGCCCCAAACCCAAAATTGACCAACACTCCCACAAACACAGCCAATCCCTTCCGCCAACTCCACACTCCTTCTTCCCTCAGCAGCCACAGACCACACCCCACAGGCCAGAAGAACCCCATCACCGACCCCCAGAGCATATCATCCAGCACGCCGGAAGCATCACTGCTCACGTTCCCAAACGCATTTCCACCAGCCATGTCACCGCCCGCGCCGCCACCGGGCAGCGCCTCGTTGGATCCCTCATCCATCCATCGATCTTCGAGGCGGCGGAGCTCTTCGCCCGCGGGCATGGTGTCCGGCGTATGCGTGAGGGACTGGAGCGCGAGGAACTGCGACCGCAGCGCGGAGACTTCGACGACAGTGAAGCCGGCGGATAGCAGGCGGTCAAAGCCGCGCGGAGCAGGGGTGGTCGTAGAGGCCGTTGCCAGTCCGGTGGTAGGATCTCGGATCTGTTCTTGAGCTGGGATGGGGGAGGGGAATGTGGAGGGGCGAGTTTGGTCATGGTCGGATAGGGCAGAGTGGAGGTGCGACTCCTGTGCTTCTTTCTCTAGCTCCTCCTCAGATAGGACGATATCACCGATAGAACAGTGGATATATATCCTCTTTGATTTGTTTTCTGGGGCCAGCAATGCTTCCGTATCCTCTGCGCCGCGAATGGGTCGCTTCCCCTTGACGTCTGCAGGCTCGAGCTCCAACCTCAAGCTCGCGGCTAACCCCACTTCATCTTCAAGCGCTCGTCCAGCATAGATTAGTCGAAGTCGTCTTTTCGCTAGTTCGGCCGGTAGCTTTTCTCGAATCAATTGTTTTAATCCGGCGATGGTGGTTGTTGAGGGATTCGGTACTTCTAGAGAGATATCCGGGACAGAAGCGGAAAAACGGATTGTAACGACGAGGCCGGAATTTGCTTGGGAGGATTTGAAGCCGTATGAGTGTTCCATCACGGTGCAGGTTAGAATGGTCAAACAATATTACGAATGTTTCTCAAGGGCTTCCAGTAGACTGCTTCGGCTCAATCATTCACGCGCCCGCGCCAACCATAGGTCACGTGAAGGTGTCCATGGGCTCAAGAAAGGATTGAAAATTAACAAGGGACTCTCATCTAGTGGAAATGTGCCGAGTATTATTTTGATATTGACAATTCAGTGGTCTAACAAGCCGCTGAAAGTTTCAAATGCTATGTATCAACAACGACGCCAAGTCAACATTAATAATGGCAACATCTAAACAGTAAGAGTCGGGAATTTGGGAGACAAGCCCTTTTGCAATTGTAGTCATAGCAATTCCAAATCTTTCCAAACCCGAAATGTCCAAAGAAACCCGTCCGTCCGTAACGCCATCTCAATAATATGAAATATTAGCAAACGCCATTAAACCATGAAAGATTCGCCGCAGCCGCATTCATCCTCTATGTGATTTTATTAGCCCTACTCAAGTTTTCCATCGACGGTATGGATAGGCAAAAACTTACTGATATTTGGGTTCTTGAACACAAACCGGCTGGCCAGTTTATCTTCCTGCCAATCCATCTCGCTCCCAATTATACTGAACAATGCTTTACTGTCGACGAGGACTTTGATTCCCATCCTGTTCCACAACTTCGTCAAAGGGAGCTGGTTTCTCAACAAATTCCAAGTTGTACGAGAGGCCCGAACAGCCACGGTTCTTCACACCTACGCGAATCATTTTGGGATCTGGCTGCGACAGGAGGTTGCGTAGTTGAGATATAGCAGCAGGCGTAAGAATCATGGCCGCTTTCCGTGGCCTCAATTTGCTTCGACGTGGTTTCGTGGCTTGTGTCGACGGAGATGGGGTTGTTGCTGGCGTAAAATCTGGAGATGAAAAGGATCGCGACTTTTGTGCTTCTGCTTCTGGGAGACTGTAGCTCTTGAAACGATCGGTGCCCTTTGTATTTAGCGGATCTGGCGACAGGTCGGCGCCTCTCGAGCTAGGAATAGCCTTTGAGATGGATGTGTCGGGGGTTCCGGCGTTACGGGGAGGGAAAGGCTCGACTAGAGTCTGTGGTCTGTAGGCCGTTGCAGTCTGAAGTTCACGTTTCGACGATTGGTAAGCCTGTCGACAAGAGGAAAAGGGCCTTGCGGTCTGTGTGCACCCTCGGCGGCTGGCATCTCTGAAGAACAGCCTGATAGATGATGTCACCGGGTTATGGATAAAAGACATGGCAGGCGAAAGATTAGCAGAAAGGAGGTGAATTTCTAAACCAGCAGCTAAAGAGACTAGGCCAGCAGAGACAATGGTCTATGAAAATCAATTGTTGTAAAGTCATTCAGGAAAGTAGAGGTGGAAGTGCACACCACAATGGTCACTTGTTTCTGCCCTCACATCGAAGCCAAGATTGGCGGAAACACCACGGCAAAAAGTGGCGCCGATCATCATGGGAAGGCCCATGCAGCCAATCATCATCGATATTATTCAATTCATGCTGCCGGAGTGGCGTGGTCGACTTGCAGATGACCCAGGGCTTACTTAATCAGCTCAACGGAGAGATTTCGGTCATTTGACTCTCGACCTCGTCCATTGAATTGTTTCTTTGCAAGTAATACGGAGTATTAAGTGGCCACTGGGAATTATGGAGTGCTCGACATGATGTTCTCTTTTCGCTCTCGTCCGTAACTACAATCCCACGGTTTCCGGGGTCGAATCGTTGCGCCGTAATTAAGTAACTAGTTAGTTAGCTGGACGTTTGCAAGTCTCGGGAAATTTCTCCGAATCTCGGCTTGTTCAACTCCGTATGGTAGCAGCCTGTCATCTGCACTCAAACGGAGGACCTACGAGACGCCAACCTTTCGCACGAAATTTCTAATTGGTGGACCTAGCGCGTGCCGCCATGATGACATAAGCCGCGGTTGTTTCCGCATGCGGCCAGTGAGGCGGTGATGCGTGGGTGGGATACGAGATATGTGAACAGTGAGATTGAGGACAGCGAGTCAACTATCCCTGGGCTTTGAGATGATGCACCGTTTGCCTGGAACTGCTTTCCGTCGTCGTTTCTCTGAGCCAACTCAATCATGGAATCTTCCCCTTTAACACAACAGACTCGCCCCGAAACGTTCCAGCCCAAAATTGTCCAGCTCTATGAGAAGCTACTTTTTGTACGTTCTAGACCCATATCTTGTCATGATCATGAGTTTGTCTAATGAAAGAACCAGGATCCTGGCTATGCGGCCCCGTCTGAAGGATTTTGGCGGGAGTTTTTCCTTCTCCCGCCTGATAGGTTTTCCCTCTCGGAAATGCTCAACCGCATAAGCCCTGATGAGATGTTACATATTCAGGCATGTTCTGAGTTAATGATCTATGATGAAATCTTTCATCCGGCGCAAGGCCTCTGACCTCTTTAGACACAAACTCAGCGGCTCTTTTCCCGTGCTGTACAGGAATCAGCTTCTAGGAAACCACCAGTAAACGAGCATGCTCTCGAGGTATGGAGCAGCTAGCATGGTGATAGCTACTTCCCTATGGTCTCACTGAAATTTTACTGAATAGACGCTATCCACGTTCCTTGGAGGAGTTTTGACGAAAAAATATACGAATCCAAGCGCAGATATCATTACTATCCTTGCAGGTTTACATGAAGTTGACCAAGTTTTTACCGAGTTCGTCTCTGTTTTAGATGGAATTATACGAAATGGAGCGAATCGTATGTATCATCAACGTCCATACAAACATTTGATGGTAGAATCTATACTTACGTTAAGCAGTTGATTTGCGCTTAAAGGCGGTTGATGCGGCAATTGCAATGACAAGCGGTGCATACAAAACCGGACTCATTTCTTACTTTATGCATCGAGATTTGTTTCCATCGTTGATGAAGGTTGGTTTGGCCTAATTCCTGTTCATATCTTGGTGCTAAACGCTAAAGTACACAGTTTGTTCATGATTCTGATGACCCTATGCAAATCTTCAAACCTTTCCTATTACTAGGTCTTCTTGCCAACTACAATAAATTTGAATTTCAAAACCCGTATCAGCTACGACTTGACGATTTTGTCAACGAGACAACCATTTTAAAAATCGTACGAGGTGTTGGTACCACTTGCACAATCTTACGCAACTCCTATGTCGCGGTCCAAGACGATCTCCCCGAGGGATGGACCTGGAGTGGTACCTTAGCTTTCTTCGGCCTTGGTGCGCTCGCTGGCAGGTCCAAAATCCAACCGCTTACCGCCGAGGAAATGAAAGAACGCTTCGCTGAACTGTAAGGTCATTTCCCGTCAATGTCGCGAACAGAGCTAATACGCTCCTAGACCCTCGTTTGAGGCAGCAATATTACTTGCTATATATGACTTTATCAACGCGAATAAACTCTTTTCCCATTGTCTCGTTTTGACCGCACCTGAGAAACGATCTGAAGAGTCACCTTTTTCAAGTTTTCTGTCTTTGACTTCGTATCTCCTGCAGCACGCGTACCGATCAACTCGAGTGTCTATCTACGCTGAAGTCAATTTGTTATCTCTGCGAGTCCTGGTTGAGGATCCTGTTTTATGCAAACAAATTTGCAGCGAGGAAAACAAGAGAACCGTAAGACTATGTCGACAGCGAACACCTCATCTCCCACTAGTAAACGGAGACCGGGTATTAGCAGCTGTCATACTTGATATAATGATCGACACAATCAGCCATAACCTCCGCAGAAGTCTTGACGTCTTTCTTTACAGGTGGGCGCCACTCTAACGATGCAGAAATCCTGTACTAACCGACTACTCTTAGCCATGTTATCTCCACCATTCTCCGTCTTTTAACGTACGTCTCAGCAAACAAAATCCGCCTACAATATCACTGGTCTGAACTATGGCGTGGCTTGCTCACCTTAACTCGTTTCCTAACCACATACTCCGCCGACCTGTCCACCGATCCAAACATCAATATCCTCGTCACAGATTCAGTCAACCTTCTCGCTTTCTGCATATCCGCTGGTGATACTTTCCTCCCCGACCCCGTCTCTTACGATGACCTCTTCTATAAAGTGGTTGAAGCAGGCCCTATCCTCTCTCGTTTTCACGACGTTTACAAGCATGCATTCTCTGCACCAGCTAAAACTACCAATGGCAAAACCAATCACGACAACAAGCAATTTGACGCAGGAAAATCGCTTTCCACCCTCCTCAATGTCTCTACTCACTTTCATTCACTTCTTTTCCTCCCCGAAAAGTCCAAAGAGAGTACCACAACCGATTCCGTGGCGCCAACTGCCCGGAATAGTAGGAAGAAAAACCTCAACCCCCGCGAAGTCCATAACATTATTAAAGAAGGGTATGCTACTCTCAGCATTGAACCGCGGGAAGAATTAAGTAATTGGGAGAAATGGCGTGAAGCGGACTGGAAAACACGATTAAAGCGCATTGCGAGGATTGCAGTTGATGATGCTAGGATAGTAGTGACAGCTCGTCTGGGCAATGTGCAAAATCAAGTGCTATCAAGTGGCAGTAAGGACCCGAGTGCGCGAGGAGACCCATAAACCCAACGGGTTAAAGTCAATTGGACTCTTATGCATTTCGCGCTTCTCTAAGTGGAGCTTTTTTTGGTGCGAAATATTCGACTGTGGACTCGGGAATTGATTCCAATGAAACCTCAGCCTGTCTGGCTTATTGAGGCTTCCCAAGGAAAACTTACCCCGGTCAATGCATTTATTATTTAATGGAAAGCGAAATAAATCAGCAATGCGAGGCAGAATACTCATGAAATACTGTTACAGATCCATTTTGGAGATATCAAAAACAAAACATCTCCACAATCCGTATCAAACCACCTGCAACACAGCGTAAAAAGCAGCAAGTGATGATTCAAAACAAAGCAACTAGTACTGAAATCATGGAAGTGAGAAACCACATCTTACTCAGACTCGGCTTCTTCTTCCTCTTCGTCTTCGTCTTCGTCATCCTCGCCTTCATCATCATCGTCATCATCCTCCTCCTCATCGTCCTCGTCACCTTCTTCATCGTCCTCATCTTCTTCCTCTTCATCATCCTCGCCTTCGTCCCCGTTCCCACCACCGAGCCTACCCTTGCCCATTCTACTAAACCCAGAAAGAAAGCGCTCGGCAGGCCTGTCGCTGAATAATCTAGCAGTCGCCGTGCCAGTATGTTCATCCGTCTGTCGATACCGCTCTTCCACCTCCTCGACATAATCCCGGTCGAGCGGTTCGTAAGTTTCCGTGAAAAGCTCATCCGCATGTTTGCTGAGCCATTGCATGAATACTACTAGTTCTCTGCGTAGTCGATTCGTGGCCTGTGGGCTAAGGTTGGTTTGGGCAAGGAGTTCAGGTAGAAGTGCTGGATATGTCAGTGAGGTTAAGCTCTTAAGTAAATTAGTGGTCAAAGAGATGGGCTTTGTATAATGGTGGCCGGGGTATACTTACACAGCATTCTTGTTAGATGTTCCACGCCATACACATCGGCAGCCCCTTTTCCTTCATAACCAGGGGCGTTCGACTCCCATCTTTTCCGCTCTGTAACATACTGTCGCCTTTCGAGGGCATAGAGCAAAATTCTCCCAAGCGTTTTGTCAAAGTATTTCTTAAGGCCATCCACCACTTCTTGAAGCACGTCCTGCTCGGCTTGGCTGTTTCTAGTGCTATTATTCTTCTCCTCTTGTAGGTAGCGATCAAGTACGCTGTTTACGGGCGATTTTGCTGGTAGCGGAACCACACTCTTGTCTTTTGTGACAAACTCCCAATCGTCCACAAGATACTCTTTGAGTCTCTCGGGCATAAGCATGCGTATGGTGGGCCTTGCGTCAAAATCCTCCTCCTAAGAATTAAATGTAAGTATCATTCAACTAACAGGTGCCTTCAAGTGAGAAAGCACATACTGTTTCAATCTCCGTTTCTCTTCCCCGTTTTCGAGACGGCCGATCTTCGCTAGCTCGCGATGCCGCATCGGCAGCCTTTTTCTTCCCGGATTTTGTCCTGCTCCGCATGGCTGCCTCCGCTTGTCGCCGAAGAGTTGCCGCGAGTTCTCTATTTTCGTCATTGTATTTTCGAAGGCGATCTTGGGCAACCCAATCATCCCATCTATGTAGAGTTAGCTATGCGCAATCCAGTCAAATATTGAACCTTTTTTCCAAAAGCCTCAAGCTCAAGTTTGTGTATTTGAACAATGGTTCCTTAGCATGCACAATAGCACCTTCAAAAAAAGGTGCACCGGGTACTTTCAAAGACAAAATAACCGTAGAGCAACGAGGAAACCCAGAGAAAATCACAAGTACCGTCAATATAGAAAAGACTCCAGAGGGTGACGTACGTATTTTTCCAGCCTTTGTAATGAACCCGATATTCGTATAAGCTACTTTTATCCTTTGGATTCTCCAGCCTCGAATCTAGGATCTTCGCATCGTATAAAATGTCATGGTGGAAACACAGCACGACCTCATCCTTCTGGTACATCTGCTTTTGGGGAGGCATCTTGATGGCAGTTCTCCGCCTTGCTCCCGTTATTTGCAAGTCGTATATGCACCTTACAAATAACAGGACCCCGAACAGCTTTCAATCTGTCAGGTTTGATATTGTAGATAAAATCCCAGCTAGATCTGCAATATATCAAGATAGCAACTGCCAACGCAGCACGTAATTTTTGATTTTTAAAGGTGAGATTTTGCTGTATGCAGAAGCCACCAGGTAGGGTATGATAGATGGCAAAACGGCTGTTCAGCCTATTGAAAAATTTCGCAAAATGAAACTCAAAATAACAGTCTCCCCAATATCCTCATCGCCAAATAGAATGCATCAAAGTTATGGCAAAAGGGAGCAATCTTGCACACAAACCAAAAGGTGCATCAGGATGTTCAATCGCGACTCTTTTCTGACGCGACGAGAAATGGCGTGCCGTTCAAATATTCACTAGTTAATACATCATGGGTCACATGACACGCTGCAAAATCCCTGTAAAATAACCAGATTATTGTATGGTATGGTAATCACCCATTAGTTGATATTGATGACCATCTCATTGAAGATGCTGGTCATGTCTTCACTGCTTGTCTACTGTTCAGATCACCCTTTGATACAGTTAATTTGCTACAAATTTCTGAGAGTAACTTGTGGCATTCAATGATATAAATTGCAAATTACTTTCCAACACACTGTTTCGTCCCATCCCCGGTTTTTGTTCACTAAAATGGCTCCATCTGAGGAATATATCCTCAACAATTTCCTCACTTCCCCATCGCCACTGCCTAGGATTATATCCCTTGAAAGATTTGCGGAGCTATTTCCCAGAAAATTACGGTCTCATCCGCAGATTAGGACCCTCTATCGTGAGCTGCAGCATATCCGGGCTCAGGACATTGCTTTGGTCAAAGAAAATATCGAGAGGGAGGTCAAAACTGGAGAGAAACAAAAGGAAGAGCTCCGGCAAGCCTCTGCTAATAAAGGAGTCTCGAGCTTGAGTGCACGGGATAAAATGGAGATAGATATGGACATCCAATTATTCGGTCAGCCTTCTGCCAAGCAACAGGAAGGTGTTTTCACTCTTGAGACCGTGCTCCCAGAGATGCAACGTGCTATAGCTGCGATGGAAGAAGAGATTGAGACTACTCGACAAGAATACTCTACCATTTTATCGGAGGTTACTACTATAGTCGGGGAGCTTAGCGATTTACGATACGGCAAATTCAGTACATTTCCAGGCTCAAATGACACGGTGGCTGACGAAGTGTTGAAAGGATTGAGCAATCTTGAAGACATATGCAACTCCTCTATTAAATGATTAATCAATGTAAGATCCAGCTATTTACCAAAACTCCATGTCATGAGAAAACGCCCGCTAATTTCAACCTATAAAATAGACCATCGCCAGTAGAGAGCAGTCTTCTCCTGTTCAGCCAGTTCTCCATATCACACCGGATTCTATGAATGCGATATCTCAATAACCCGTTCGCATTTAGACAGCGATAGCTGTCGACCCTTAGAAAAAACTCAAAAAAAGGCCACTGAATATCCGGGACCTTTTTTTTTGCTTCCCACCTATTAATCAATTTTGTCCGACTTATTCCAAGCTCCAAATATCCCAACCGTATCAGGCGCATTCCTATCTTCAAATCTTTTTCATGAGTTCAGCAAAAGGAGTAGCGCTTCGCCAATGAGCTCAATGGCAAGAGGTTCATCCGCTGTATTGGCTTGCTCTTCGCTGTCGTCCGTTGCACGCCGCCCAACTTCATCAAAAAGAAATTGCTCCAGCGGCTTCCGCTGCTTCCAGTTCACGGTCGCATTGCCAGGATCCCTTGGCAGTGGGGGAAATCGCGAGTACCCCGACTTATTCCGGTCGTCTCCCTCATGCTTGTACTCGTCATACGAAGGCCAGGGAGCCAGGTGACGGCCTTCTGGAGGCTCTAAACCTAGTCTCCATATAGTCTTCTGAGCAAGAACCAAAGCCAGTTGGTCCTTCATTTTCTTGCCCCCGAAAACTGGAAGTAATGGAATATCCTCGTCATCCTCTCTTTCCCTTATTTTTTCAATCTTACTCGTGACCTTTTGAAGTTGATCTTCTTTTATCGCAACCCGGTGCGCTAACCAGTCGGAAAAGGTTGTCGGAATGAAAGGAGAGTGCGGCGAAATGCGCGTGATCGAGTCGCGGATTTTGGCCCAAGTCTCGATTTCTTTGGTTTGGGGTGAAATCCACGTTTTGGAAGCGGTGTATGACATATTGTTGGTGTTTCTGAGGGATAAGGGGAATGCTCAACTTGTCTGTTTTCTTTCAACTACTCCCAAGAAATGCTGCAGAAATTGTTCGTACCTCTGTTGCCCCATTCAAGCATGAGGTATTGAACACCACAAAACCCTGTTTCAGGGGAGGGTTACCTCAGTTTGTCGCAAATGTATTCTGCTAGAACTCTTGCAAGTTGCGGTTGGTTCTTTGCTAATTTTCTACCGTCACAGTGTCACTAAGCTTGGAGGAATTCATCTACCAACTGATATCAAGTGGCCTGGCGTCGTTGAAGAGATTGTCCCTCTGGGTGAAGAGCACAGCCCTGTGGAGTGATCAGAATTTGAACACAAGAAAAGAAAAAGAATGATAGAGAGGAGTGAAAGTCATTTTTGCCGGGTGAAAATTTTGACCCCGAATACGGTGAATATCTAGCCTTTATGAAGTCACAAGATTTCTTGATGGGGAAGTGACAACATATCATGGGATTTCTCTTTGATCAAATGGTGAAGGGAGTATAAGACATGGTGAAAGGGACAGCTAGGTATAATCTATAAGTGCATTAAAGGATAATATACTGCCGACTAGAAAAGGGAGTTTAAAAGAAGTTCCCACTCGTTATCTCCAGGATGTCAATAGCAGAAATATTTGAGGGCCACAAAGGAGTTCAAACCGGCATCTCCGTCCATAGCCCAAAGGGTCATATGGATGTTTTGATATTGCCCGTTTTTGACGGCGGACGTTTCCTCTCGGGAAAGTTTCCGTCTTGGCAGCTCCGCTCCACTCCTCAAATCCCCGCCCCGCCCTTTCGCTCCAAACCGACATTTCGACAACCGCAGCACAAAGCATTCTTCTCCGTCAAAACAATCATGCCTACTGTTCCAATTTATTCAAAGAGCGAGCTCCAGATCACAGACGATGCTTCTAATCCTCTTCCCGACTTACTAAAGACACCGTCTGGGCTCGCGATTCTGGAGCTCCAAGGAACGATAAATTTGCCCTCCCACGCGTCAACGGGAAAAGACGACTTTGACAGCGACGAGTCTGATTTACGACCAAAATCCCACTATCAAACACCCATTGGGCGTCTCGTATTTCCGGATTATGACTCTTCTAAGCCTCCCGAGAACACTTCCTGGATGAAACGCGTCTACCTCTACGTCGGTCAACATCAGCGGCTCACAGGCGAGGTTAAGAAACTTTCGAAGCCACTGGCTATTATTCGACAGCGCCAGAGAAGGGATACTGGGAAGGGAGGGCCTACTGTTGAGCCGGGAACCGAACACGTACCGCCGCGCCTCGACGAGGGAACCCACGAGGAGCTTGAAATCGCGGAGATAATCAGGTACAAGATGCTATTCTCGACGAGGCCAGAGCCAGTTAGCGATAGTATTGGATGAGTTCCATGGTCTAAATGGCCTTGCTCAATCACTAAGAATACTCCCCGTTACCCCGCCGAGGCTCGTTTGAACCGAGAACTGAGGGGAAGAAGACGCCATCGCCGAGATCAACATGAAATATTCTCTATGAATCCAAGTGGTGCGGGAATGCGGATCTCTTCTTGCTGCAATCTACGCTACTATATCCTTGAACGAGCTCAACTACCATACGGACCATCGGCTACTAGCCCCGCATACGAGATTGGATCCCATTAAGCCATCACTTGAAGAGTTATATTGTCGAGTACTAGGTCAGCCTTTCTATGGGGCGAGAGTTTTACTCTGTCAGCTTCATCAAAGCAAGCATGCACACGAGGGATATCAATCTCGTCGTATCAATTCTTAGCTAGCTCCTTGACCTGATCTATTAGCTAATTACGATCGGTTAACCTCCAAATCCCTTGAATACGCGTCGAGCTCCTTAGGTCTCTTCCCGCATCTAATCAAAATCACCTGAGAGTCTTTACATATAACTAGGTAGTTAATTGGATTTCGATACCCGATTCCAAATCCCTGCCGAATTCGACTAATACCGGAAGTTGCATGCCTATTAACTCAATTGCCATGTCGATTGAAGTGGTATTTGCTCTTCAGACATTCCTTTATGGATTTTGATATTTCTGCTCGGAGTAGTTACACAGCTGGATGCAAAAGGCGTGGTCAACAATTTCAAAGAGCAACAGTCGGTCACAAGCAAACCAGGTATTTGGGTTTTATAAAGACTCACTCAGGAACTGTACTTTTTCAATGGATACCCCATATGGAGCTTGAAAATGTTCCAGGTACATTTTATTACACTTGCATTGAATACGCATTCTGTCTTGCTCCAACCTCGTGGACCTGTTTGCGGGCAGTTCAACCAGTGACATGCAATCAAAGGGATGACCTGTCGAAAGGCATTCAGTTACTTCAAATGCAAACTTTTTAAGCATTTGATGACGTTATGCGCGTCTTGCCTAGCTTGAAACAGTTACCTTTCAAGCCATCAATATCCCTTTTCATGGGAAAGCTATGGACCAAGAACGAGTAAAAATCTCCAAAATGTGAGGCGACGTCTAGGCAAGCAGATGACAGTCACTTGAGGAGCCTGAAGACATGGCTAACTCAGGACAAACTTTACCGCTTGTGAGGCGGAGAGGGAAATGCAGCCAGCCGGTATCAAGCGGCCCAGCTGCAAAACCGACAATGGATATTCAGTCAAAACAACTAGGGGATCGGGCATCTCCAACAGTTCTCTTGAAGAGGATTGATTATATGGTCAGTTTGCAATACGTGTCCACATAGAAAATTCCCGGGGTGCGCATACTTGCAGTCATTCTAGTGCGAAAAGATTATAAAATTAACTATGAAATTTATGAACGATGCAAGCCATGGTACTCAGTTGTCAATCCTCTTCCAAGCCAACCTTGTTCTGCTACATGATGACTTGTTAGCACTACGGGGGAAGCTTCGTTTATCAGACTACGTTGAGATTCACCTGATTATATATTTATCTCTATATATCTATTGAAGATCTTCAGGACTTCCTCTCCTCTCGCCATCGCCTGCCTCAGGACTGCGGATCTCTTATACTTGATTGGTATTATAGCTCGTCCTGAGGTTTCTGCTCCTCAACATCTCCCATCCATATGTCCTGTTCTTATTGCCATCATGGTTGGCCTTGAAGTATTTGAAATCACCCTGAAGCCGGGAACCGGGTATAAGGACTTCGACCATATGACCTGGTACGTCGGAAATGCGAGGCAAGCGGCTTCTTATTACACCACTCGGATGAACTTCACTCCAATCGCCTACAAGGGACCAGAAAACGGCTCACCTTATACCGCCTCTTATATTGTTCAAAATGGCGGTGTTCGCTTTGTCTTTGTTGCGCCCGTCTGTACTCCCTCTAATCAATGTATCCCAGGGGTTGAGAGGAAGCGTTTAAAGGAGATCCATGACCACCTCGCGAAGCATGGGGATGGCGTCAAGGATATTGCCCTCCAGGTCAACATGGACGTCAAAGGGATATGGGAAAAGGCTATAAAACATGACGCTCATCCGGTCATGGAGCCTGTTGTCATCAACGCCGAAGCTCCCTTCAGCGGCAAGATTCAGATAGCCACCATATCTGCATACGGGGATACAACCCACACGTTTGTCAATCGTGAAGGGTATACCGGCCCGTTCTTGCCTGGATACCAGACTGTGGAAGAAAAGGACCCAATTAACCGCTGCCTACCCGCAATCGACTTCATCGGTATTGACCATTGTGTTGGTAATCAGCCTTGGGACGGAGTTGATGAGGTGGTCAAATTGTGAGTCAATGTGCTAGTTATGTAGTTACTTGTCTACTTCAAGCTCCAGTCCGCATCCCAAATGAAGCTGACTTTAACCTCCAGCTATGAGGAATGTCTCAATTTTCACCGCTACTGGACTGTGGATGATGCAGCAATGTGCTCTGATTATTCCGCAATGCGTTCGATTGTAGTTGCCTCGCCAGATGAGGTGATCAAGATGCCGATCAACGAGCCCGCCGTGGGTGAAAAGAAGTCCCAGATTGAAGAGTGAGAGAACCTGTTCAAGTATCATAAACGTGCTGAATACTGATTTCTCAAAAAGGTTTGTGGACTATTACAACGGCTCAGGCGTTCAGCACATCGCCTTTCGAACTAGCGATATCATCACTGCCGTCACCAATCTTCGGGCACGAGGTATGGAATTTCTCTCTGTTCCCAGCACCTATTACACAGCCATCAGGGAGAAACTCAGCCAGTCCTACACCGTTGTCAACGAAAGTCTCGATATTCTTCAAAAGCTGAATATCCTTATCGACTTTGACAAGGGGGGTTATCTCCTGCAGATTTTCTCCAAGCATGTTCTCGACCGCCCGACGGTGTTTGTCGAGATCATACAGCGCAACAATTTTGATGGTTTTGGCGCTGGGAATTTCAGGGCCCTGTTTGAGGCGTTTGAGCGTGAACAGGCTTTGAGAGGAAATCTCTGATTTTGCATTCTTGGTAAAAAGGAGTTGGATATTTTTTTTTTCTGATGGGTAAATTGGTTGATTTTGATGTGTTTATAAGATGTGTTCTGCTTGGTTAAGGGAATAGGGTTATCGCTATCATAGATGTTAGCCAGATGGGCCCCCTAGCACCATTATAAAATAGCATAGAGAAATAAATAAGTCCATGGATGCCTTTATCATGGCTATGCTGAGTTCACCATTGAGGTCTGCTGCCTATTCTGTATATTGATTAATACTTACCTAATGAATAGATAAACCTCAATCCTGAAGTAGGGAGCGCTAATAAAGGAATCAATAGCCCATGAACATTGTTGAAGCAATCTACCAGCCTCTTCAAACGAATACAAGGGACAATATGTACTGGAAGGTTAGCTACTAAGAACAGAACACGCCTCATATAAGCCGAGCATGGGATGCTGGAGACAGGTTGGTCATTACTTGACATAACAGAGACTTAGTAGTGGGAAGGACAAAGTATAAGAAGAAAATGTTGAACATGCACGCTAAATTCGTACATAATAGGTAAAACACGGTAAGAAGAACAACGGATCATATCTGTATGTGCATTAACAAGTCCAGGCTGTACGCCATACTCCGTGTAACCCTCTGTGGAACTCGGCGGTATTTTGCGAGGGCAACAATGTGCGCATTTCTTTCAGACTAGCGTTTCCCGCTTTGCAACCCGAGGCATGCTTGGGAATAGGGCCGGAGTGATAATAGTTGAGGCTTTTGCCTAATCATCCAGGGCTTTTCGCAAGTCGCTCCATTTTTGTTTCAGTGCTTCGTGGTTCTCGGACATCTACAGTGTAAAGGATGCCCGTTTAGCCTCTCCAATCTCACTCAAAAAAGGGAGCTGGGGGACAAAACAGGAGCGTGGATGAGAGTGCTTACCTCTGCCCATTTCATCTTCGCTTCCACTAGGTCCTTCTCCATCTCCGACATCTGCTCTTCCATTGCCCGGTTCTCGTTCTGCACCTCAATATTGCGTTTCATAATCCGATCCATTTCTGTTCGCAGCTTCTCCTCCAACTCCGCTGGTTGGCGGTCAACCACCATTTTCAGTTCCGCGACCTCTCCTTTAAGGCTTTCGTTGGAATCCTTTAGCTCTTCATTCTCAACTTTGATGCGGACCAACTCCGAGGCAATCTGAACGTGTTCGGTGTCCGACTTCTCTGCGTGCTCTTCTAGCGACCGAATACGCGCCGCTTGTGTAGCAATAGTATGTTTATATCCTTCAAGTTCAGAGGCCAGTTCCTTTTCTGCCCGTGTCTTTTCCTCCCATTCAGAGTTATATGTTTGAATCATCGCCGGCGTAAGGTTGATGGCGCATGCGTCTTCGACCATAATATCTGCCCGATAAATTTCTTTATCGCTTGCACCGGAGCTGCCAAAGAATCCCGATTCGAGGATCGAGCTGGGTGATGGCTGCTTGTCAATGTAAACATCGAATAGTTTCTCTTTAAGAAAGCTAGTTAACGAGGTCATGTCATTCATGCCGAGTAAAGGTTCAACATTGCGCCGCATGATTGCCACAGCAAAACGGAGAATTGCACTCTCAAGTCCTTGTTCGAATATCAAGTCATAAATGCGAAGCACAAGCTGCAGTGGGAAGCGATACGCAAATAATGTGAGAAACCATTGTGTGGCGTAGAGTTGAGGTCCAACACCACGACGCCGTAGGTGACAGGCCAATGCAGGCTCTAAATCTTCAAGCAGGCGCTCGAATTGGTAAAGATGGCGGTGGAGACCAGGCATGTCGTGGATGAACATGTTCCGGAGCCCGTACTTGTTCATTAACTTTACGAGAAGTGTGAAAGCCTCTCCGTCGTCCATCTGATACTGGATTAGCGTAATAATCACAGAACCATTTCCTCCAATACTCACATTAAACAATAAAGGCATCACTATAAAGTTCATCCCTTGGGCATAGCCAACACCGCCATCGTACAGGGCATAAGCCTTACAAACATTAAAGAGTGCTTCCTGATTTCGTTGCGACATGAAATATTTCGAATAGCTGGTTCGAGAGCCCAGGTCCCGCCTGATAGCCTTCTCCAGCTTAACAAGTGCAGCCGCGTCCTCTTTAGCTTTTTTCTTTCGCATTTCCTCTAGTTCGTTTTGCGCTTTAATCATCGCTTCAGCCCCCTTTTCCGATATTGAAGGTGCCGGGAAATTAGTTGAGTTAGTTGCTGTGGTAGAATTATCTGAATGAACCGAAGAGCGGGATGACGGCGAGGAATCTTTCTCCTTTAAGCTTCCGTTGGCTTGACCGTTTATAGAGGCAGTCGACGGTGTACTCCAATATCGATCGCGCTCTTTATCGGTGCCTCGAGCGCAGAGTTCTCGATAAACGTCCTCTAAATCAGGGCTCCTACTATCGGCAAGTACTTGCCAGATAACACCACGAATTGTTTGCGGGATACCTCGCCTGATGGCCAAGTTCAACTCTTCGGCATTGGCACCGCTTAGTGCTTCCAAACCATGGTTCACAACCTGCTGCCACAGCTCCCAGTTTACTGGTGCAGCGGCATCTGTAGCCGAAGCGGAGAACCCAGCAACGGTCCCAGGTGCAAGATTCGGGTTCACGGTTGGCGGTAGAGGTGAACTGGGTATGGGAGAAGGCTGCGGTGATGTGCTATCCACGTCAAGGCTAGCGGACGGAGGACTGGATTCCCCGCCCTTTTCTTCTGAACCGTCTGCTTGTTCGTCACCAGCGCCTTCCTCGCGCATTCTCAGAAGCTTGAACTGGTCTTTCAGACTATTCCGCAGCTGTCTCTTTGACTCCGTACTACCCACGTCCCCATCGCTACCCTCAAAGCGGCCCTGCACCTCAGAATTGCTCATGGTTGTTGAGATTGACGCACCAGTATATCTTCGGTTCCCGGATACGGTTTTAGACTCTTTCTGCGCACTTTGTCCCCTAGAAAGCCATGAAAACGGACTCGTAAGTTTTCGGGTGGGAGCGGCCGGTTGTTGAGGCTGGGGAGGAAGATTTTTATTAACGGGTGGAGGTCCCCACGGCACCGATGGGAGCGATGCAGATAGACCTTGAAGCCGTGAACCGTGCGTAGAATCTCTCGCTGGTAAAGGTGGAGGACCGGAGGCCGGGGGACTAGTGTGGGAAGTGGGCGAAACTTCCACTTCGTCGTCCTTGGAGCTTGTAAGGTTGATGTCGTCTAGGGAAGAAGTAGATAATCGGTGAGAGGTGAGAAGAGGAGACTTTGGTTGTTTCGGCTTCTTCGGCGTGCCTTCTCGCGATTGTGGCTCTGGTGAATCACGAGACGGTTCTTCAGGTGTATCTGGGGCTTGTCCGGGGAGAAAGGTGCTCGCTTTGGGAGTTGGAAGAGATCCGTTCGAGAGTCGCCTGTCTGTTAAGGAGCGGGTTGCGCTGAGGGGAGTGGAAATGTCATCTTGGGCGTCGCGAGCGTCCTCGAAGGCGTCCTGGCAGCAATAATCAAAGTTAATTAGATCCCAAATATAGCATCTGCAGAGATCCTGGGTGGCCTACAGCTTCGTAGTCTGTGGTCTCTGCGCTGGACACCATAGTTCACAGTGCCTTTGCAATGTGAGGAAGCGCCTCCGAGTCCGGTTGCGGCAGGCAAGATGCGTCAATATGCGGTGAGCCGGAGAGACTCGTCCATGCGTGAAGAGGTACGGAAAGACGGAATGAGAGCAGGCAACTTGGGGACGAGCAGGGTCGGTTGGACAGGATCAGGGGTTGAGAGGCGGAGGATGGAGGACGGGTGTAATTATCCAACTGCAACGTGGGACTTTTAAAGCTACGGGGAGATTTCACAATGCACTTTGTTTGGGGAAGTGACCAGAACACAATCGATTCGATGTTTACGGCTCGAGTGACAGAATATTTACAGTGTGCATTTCAATTGCCGCTCTTTTTTTTTTTTTTTTTTTGCCTTTTGTTGGATCCTCAAGCGGGAGGGAAGGGGAGAAAAAGAGCAGAACATCCGGCCGGTGAGCAGCGGCCTCGCATCCCTGCCAGACCAAACTCCTGAAACATCATCGACAAGCTCACTGGCCCGCACCACAGTATCAGAATCATTCTGTTGGACACAACCCAGACGCCCTGACAAGGCGGTTGATGTGGATGGACTCGATTCAGAAAACATGGATATGTGTTGCTGAACATATTCTTAAATCATGAGTGACTGCTCCAAGTCTTCCCATCGACCCTTTCTCAAGGGATCAAGGCGTTTCAGGTTGAAAAGCCAGTCGGAAATACGTTGCTTTACTTCAGCTGACATCGTACCTTGTATCCTCCGGACAATCAAACTGCACTCTATCAGTGCCTGATAAATCCACTTACAGTCCTCCTCCTCGTCCAGCAGCTCAGCAATAGCGTCGATTTCCCGGTTCAGATAGCCGAGTCGTTCCTCGTCATCCATGTTGGGAGCCATGCCTTTCGGAGCCGTGGTCCGGTCGAACGTACACATAAGATTCTGGTGATAAAACCACAAGGACTGATCATACGGGTCGATCAAAGCACGGTGTATCAGTTCGAGCTCTTTCCGAAGATCAGCGCGTCACTCTTCAGCAAGGAGCTTTTCGGGAATTTACCGTTATCTAGCATCTTCCTCCGCTCCTCGTCGCCGGCTAAACGTTCGTCCAACAGTTTTAGAATCAATTTAGATCGATTATGCCAGGCAGAAAAGTTCGACAAGTTGGCCCTAATCATTTTCGTGGTATAATTCAATTCATCTTCGGTCAAATGGTGCTTTTGCACCTCAGCTTCTGAAACCTCGACCCCTGCACCCAGAGACTCGAGGACAGCAACGATCTCCCGCCGGTATCCCCAACCGTGGAAATTTCTTCCATCCAAGCTGAGCATTTTTCCCACCAGAGCGAGTTCTTCTTGCCAGAACTTTCGTGCCACGGCTGGTGGTAGTCGATCAATGGTTTCCTTCAAGACCCATAATCGATGGTTCCAAATCCAGTAGCATTTGGGGAACTGCCGAAGCAGAGGCACCAGGAATCTCAGTTCCTCCTGGATCAGTTGCTGCATGCTTTGGCCACCTGCAGGGTCAGAATCGGTGCCTATACTAATCTCCTCAAGCTGTGATTGTAGGATTAGGCGGCGATAATTCCATATCGAGTAGTATTCGGCATTGTCCATCAGCAGTTCAGATGTCTTCTTCAATGCATCTTCACTGTAGTCATTTTCGGCTCTCTGTTCGGAATATTAACAGATAACATCCCTAGATTGGGTAATAGTTCCTGGAAGCAACCTTTATCCTCACAAGCTGGTCCAATGCCTGATATTTCTGAATCTTCTGGAGCTCCCTTGCCCTCGCATGCTCCGACCGGTCTTGGAGCGAAGCAGCTCGAGGCACTCCGTGCTGGTTGGGCTGCCAGTTAGCAAGTGCATGATAGAATGCCAGGTACTGTGGATACACACACTGGTCATCGTGGCAATGAGCAGGATCCTGATGCATGACAGATCTACTACTTGATCATATGCTGGCTCATCAACCGAAAAGCACATCCCCTCATACGAAGCATCAGCTGCTTATTCAGCAGGAGCATCAACTCCTGGAATGTCGCTTCTCACTTTCACCAGCCGGTGAGTCTATCGCAGCTTCAAAAACAGGCAAACCAGCAGATGAAGCTGCCTTTAGAGAATGAAGGCGCAGTATGTGCCTCTTTGCTTTCCTCTCCTCTTTGTGAGGACTTTAGGCGCTTCCAATGCCATCCAGGCTGTCCTTCACAGAGACAGCGGCATCTACCGTCTCATGCCCCAGTGATTTAAGCTTGCTTGGGCCTGCTTCTTGCTATATATGCTCCTTTCTCGTGCTTCCAAGCTTCAGGTGCGGCTACCCAACCTTAGTTGAGGATGGGCTTGGGAGTAAGAAGATGGCGTTCAACCGGCGACTTAAAATGCCCTCACGAAGGCGACATTCTTTTTGCGGCCCATCGTGATATCCCAAACTCCTCCGGCTGGTTTCAAACGCCTGAGGAAACGGATTCATCAGACGGTTCGCGCTTGGGCTTCGTTGCCTCTTCTTCCTGTTCCCTGGGCCAGTCGTTCTCACATTCGTCCGAGGACATAGACACGAGCATACCGACAGTACCCCATGGGCAAGATACTGATAAGTGTTTGCTGAAGCAACTTGATGGGCTTGTTCTGAGACGGAGCCAGACTTTGCCCAGAAAGGACCCTTCATATTTTGATAGGAGACGTACAGATGTAGGCCCTGCTTTGCAGAACCATAGCCGCCTAACTTCTCCTGATCGTTTTGTACCAGCAAGAAGAGCTCAGCTTTCCCCCGAAACGCAGTATCGTGTGAGCAAGAATCACAACTTGCTCTCGCTTCACGAACGATTTTACCGGCACCGAGATCCTAATGCGGACCCTTTCTTTACCCCCGCGTCCGCCAGAACCGTTACAGGCCCGAGGCGTTTCAATCCGGTAGACCCTAGGCTCACGCCTCATCACCGGCCCCGCCATGTTCATGGTATGGCATTTACCCGTTTCCCCACCATCGGAGGATCTGAGTCGGAGGATTCAAACGATGAGCCGGAAGGTTCGCCACGTCAAGTGAGCATGGGTGCCGTATGGCACGTTGGAGGTGTTTCTGCTGCCCTTGGTAGCCCCCCAGCCGGAAGCCCTGGCATGTCTAGCCGCTTTCATAGGACAGGAACGGTGGCACCCACATATTCAGCGAAGTTCAATCGTAAGGAAACCGATGCGGAACAATATCGAATGCATGAAGCACGCCTTGCCTTGGCTCTAGATATTGACCCGGCTTCCAGGATATTTGGGTTCTCAATCCCGCAAACCCCACCAGATACACCATCTAACGTTGTATCTCCGAGTCGTGCCCGCGCTCCGCTTACCTGGAAGGACGACGCATGGAGTAGAGGCTTTGATTACCCACCTAGTGAGGACACCCGTCTCTTCTGAGCTTATTCCTTTCCTTCTTACCTGTCTTTTACTGCGTTTGTGTATTCGACTTGCTATATAAAATGAAATATATGACTTCTGTATTGCTAGTATTCTATCATCATCCGGCTAACTGATGTGTAGCATCGCCAAAAGCTGCCACAAAAAAGAATGGGAAATTTATTCCGGCCGTTCCTTTCCGTGTGTTAGATGCCCCATTTCTAAGGGATGATTATTACTCTACGATATTGGCCTATTGTCCAAAAGCTAGGGTCCTGGCTGTTGGCCTTTCATCGCGAGTTTATCTTTGGTCAGAGCAGCATGGCGTAACGAACCCACCACTGCAGCAAGCCTCTAGGCACAACTTTGTGACCTCTCTGTCCTTCTCTTCCGAAACTGGGGGTCGGAGTATTCTTGCTGTAGGACGTCGTCAAGGACAATTCTATCTCTGGAGCACTTTTGATCAAGACGTTCGATTCAAGAAAATCTTTCCGGTCGGTGTGGCCTGTGTATCCTTTAGAGATACCCCTTCTATTAGATCGTCTGAATTGTTTCCACGCATATCTGTGAATGTTGAGCATCTGGCCGTGGGTGATGATGCGGGCAATGTTTGGTACTATACCGTGGAATGGACTACTCCTAAGCTAAGGAAACGGTACGGCTGGGACGGAAATATGACTCTGGTTGCTAGGATAGCCGCGCATAAACAACAGGTTTGCGGCCTTGCCTGGTCGCCAGACGGAAAATTCTTTGCGACAGGGAGCAACGACAACATTTGTCTCGTGTTTGACATGGAGAATATTCTAGCGGGTGCTTCACAACCTGAAATACCGGGTGCGAGTGCTCAGAGGCACTCGTGGAGGACTCGCCAGTTAGATCAGCTACTACTTTTACGCCACCGAAATTACAGCACCATATCATTACTGTCTGGGTCTATGACGAGAAACGACACCAGAGATGCGGATAGCGGTGATACTGAGGACTATTCTTCCGAGTCATCCCAAGCGCAGACGGTTATTATACGCGCAGACCGAGAGAGACATAGGTTGAAACACCACGCCGCAGTTAAAGCCATCTCATTTGCGCCCTGGGAACCGGCCCTCCTTGCTACAGGAGGTGGCTCGAGTGATCGTTGTATCCGCTTCTGGCACGCCCCTACAGGGGCATTACTTGCCACGATTAACGTCTATGCACAAGTTACGAGCCTAATATGGAGCAAAACACGACGCGAACTAGCAGCAACCTTCGGATACGCCCATCCCCGCCACCCCTATCGGATTGCCGTCTTTGCCTGGCCAAGCTGTGAACAGGTGCTGGCAATTCCCTGGGCAACAAGTGAGGACATGGAGTATGGAATTACCATGCCGGGGCGAGCAATATGGGCCATCAGCTATCCTGGCGGCCCTAGCGAGATGTTGGCTTATGCACAAAGTAGGATGCAAACCGGTGCCGAAAGTCCTGATATTGAAACGCACGGTCGCTCGCTTTCGGGCGCAAATAGGCAGTCAACCCATGGGCGTGGGGATAATCCGCCTTCCATGTCACGAGTCGCGCACACGCAGGGTCATACCTGGTTTCCTAGAACGGAAAGGGAGGGATGCATTGTTATTGCATGCAGCGATGAAAGTATTAGGTTCCAGGAGGTTTGGGGAGGCGAGGCCCGAAGCTTGAGAGGAGGGACTGGCGTGTTTGGGGGGAAGCCAGATCCTCGAAAGCTTGCACGGACATGATACTACTTGGGACTCGAAGGAGACTATCAGATGATTGAGCGAGATTTCGCAAGCTGTCCTAATAAACCCCCTTATGACTTCTAAGACGCCCTTTTCCCTAAGGCTAGGCATTTAATATCGATTCTATGTGCAGTAAGGCGTATTGCTATGCAACCAGCTGAGAGATTGATATGGGCCAACCCTTCTTTGATTCTGGCCCATAACCCCGAAGTGTCTTCAATAATGCATAAAAGTGATCTATGTATCTCTCTTGCATTCCATGGAGAAACCGGATCAATACATCAGAGTAGACGACATGCAGTCAAGTGTAAAAGGTGCTTTCGATACTCTGTCAACTTTCAAGCTGGATCCCCAAGCCAAAAAGGAAAAGAAAATATTCAGTACAGCAGTACATAATGCCAATTTATAGAGAAACATTTTTTTGCCGAGGGGTACACAAAAACGAAAAACGCAGGATTATCCAGCAGGTTGATATCAGGAAGACAGAAAACAAGAGAAAAAGAAGATCAAATAATAGCTCTAAACCAAAGACACGGGGCGTAGTCCGTCACATAAGCTCCCTTACCCTCGACTTTTACCCTTTTTTATTTTGGATTTCGACGACGACGACGGTGGATCGTCGACAATTTCAGAGTCCTCATCCGAGTCCGCGATGAAATCGACCATGCTTCCTAGATCCTCTTCATCTTCATCTTCATCCTCATCCTCATCCTCACTTGCGTCATCTGCGCCGTCGTTGGATTCTTCGGCTTCATCGTCAATAAGCTCTTCGTCTTCCTCATCATTTTCATCACCTTCCTCATCCGACGCAATGCCATTAACTACCATGGGCATATCCTCCTCATCATCTTCTTCCTCCTCGGCATCTTCACCGCTGACATCACCCATATCAACGTCGTGAGCACCCCGCGACCCCCCGACATCCTCAATAGCAAGCCGTTCCTCATCCTCGCTTTCTACCACATCTTCTTGCCCTTCAACGTAGATCACATCGTCATCCTCACTCTCAGTCCGTCCCTCCCGGGCTTGATTCAAGCTCCGTCTCAATCCCAGTTGGGCGTCCAGCATGTCCAATTTCCCCTTTAGCAGCAACAAGGACGAGAGACTGGCTGAGCGCTGATCCAAAACTTTGAATAGAGAGGTCATTCGCTTCAGTATTTCTGGGTGTCCTGCTATCGAGCCGCCGTGCGCGACGCATGTCCATTGCACCCAAACTAGTAGGTTACCATAGCGGCCTGGTCTGGAAGATAGGCGCTCAGCGAGCTTTTGGAGTAAAGTGGCAGCGAGGGAGGAATCTAGGCGTTGGATGGTGGCGCGTACAATGTTTACGTCGGTGGTGTGCAAGCAAGATTCGAGGAGGTTGTGGTCGTTGGTCTTGAGGGATTGCGAGAGAACGGTGGCAAGAGAAAGGCCAGCGGATAGCTGATTGAGTGATTTAGACGGCCTGGTAGTGGTTAGTGCTCCCGTTTCGGTTTCGTCGAGTTCTGCTGCGACATCGATTTGTTTCGCGGTGTTGGCGCGGACGAGGTCACCGAAAGAGGGTTCTCCTTCGTCTGCCTCATCTTCAGCATCGACATCGGCCATATCGACATCATCGTCTGCTTTTGACAAGCTCTCAGCAGGCGGGAGCTCTTCATGCACTTCCGGCTCTGCTTCTGAATCATCTTCTTCATCACTTGTCCCGGACACATCGTCCGCTTGACCGTCCGTCGCAAGTCCCTCCGCGAAGCCACCCTGTTCCACAGTCGCACGCGATTCGTCTACATGGCTTTTACCCATGTTTTTCACACCGTTCATCAGTGCAGATCCAACCATTGACGCAGACTTGCCGCGAGCAATCTCGTTTTCACCGTGAAGAGCTAACTCTTCTGAATCCTCGTCCCGCCAGCGTACCCGGTCGAATACAACATTAGCACCTGCTTCTACCCATGCGACAACGATGTCAGAACCGTCAAAACAAACGGAGAGGATGGGAACCATAGTTCTCGAGGCGTCAGGCTTGACGATTTTGACACAAGCGTCTGATCGACGCGTCGCAGCCTTTAGCCGAGACTTGAGACTAGATAGCGTGCTAGCAGACTGCGGCTCGCCAGCTTGATGGAAGGGCCTTGTGAACAACTCAATCGCTCCGTCTTTAGTGACCGCAGCGAGGAGTTGCTTTTGGAATAACGCCGATCTCGAAGCCTCATCTTTCTTATTTCGCGACTTTGAGCTCGCAGCGTAAAATGCTATGGACTCGATCTCCTTGTCTGTTACTAAAGAGCCCAGGAGCTTTTTCTTTTGAATGTCGAATAAATTTATGTAGCGATCTGAATCAGTCGCAAGGAAGAATTCGGATAGAGACGCTAAATCATTAGACGATGATATCAATGTATGTACGGTGTTTCGCATAGCGCTAAAGGACACTCTGCCGTCCTGACCGTCATTGTCAGGGTTTATTAAGTACGGTGTTTGTGATGCGCAAAGGACCGGAGGATTCGACGGAACAGGGGGCGCCAGAGCTCCAACGGAAGCCGAAGGTAGGGAAATTACTCTTCAAGGATATTAGGCAAAATGAAATCGTTGGAAAAGGTGGGTAGAATTCGCGCCATACCGTGTTGCAGTGCCAGTCTGTAAATTCCACTGCACGAGCTTTCCATCACCTCCAATACTCCACCCTTCCACGCCTGGCTTTTCAATTGTGAACCTAAAATCTCTGATCCCCCGTTCATGTCCGCCGGTAAGGGTCGCAACAACCTTACCCTCTGCAGGAGAGTACATTCGAATCTCCGATGAGCTCGTACCAAACGCGACCACCGCATCTCCCGGTTCCGAAGCATCCACGATACCATTGACGCCAGAACTCCGCTTGCGCTTTTTCTTCAAATGCTGATCTCTATCTGCATGTGAATCGCCGTAGTATCCCCAGTCCAATGAAGTGATAGCCTCCTTTGGGTTCACCGCATGTTCACAGCGTAATCGGCCGGAGTTGATATCATGTATCCGCAGATGCTGAGCATCCAGCCCCTGGATCACTGAGGCAAAAAGGGCCAATTGATATTCTGAAGGTGAGAACGCGGAGCGAATCACGGATGATTTGTTGCCGGCGACTGGAGTGCCTGAAGCTCCTGGAGCTGCCGCGGAGGAGATCTTCGAGACTGGCGCTCGGGAGCGTTTTTGGCTGGGCATCTTGAAAAAGTTTTAGGGAGAGAATGACACAAACAACGAAGACAAAGTACAGTTAGGTTAAGGCCTGCAGGCCTGGAAGAAATGATTCAATGAGGTGCTGCAACGCCCGCCGTCTCCTAGGCAGAAAGCTCCTCTGCTTCCTTGCCTGCGGCTTGATTCGATGTGTGAAAAAAATGTTGATACCCAATTCTACGCTTGGCCGCTTTCGGCCTAGCATGCCTACTCTGGCCCGGAGTTACTTTCCTTGAAGGGGAATTAGTGGGCCCATCGGATATAATATTTTCAATGCCCGGCGCAGCGCGCAATTGCTTCGAACACAATCTCTGATTTCATTCTCGTGGGGCTGCGCATCGAGTTCAACATGGCATTATAGTCCAGGATGAGGTAGATACGATTGCATCGGCGCAATTATGGAGGAGAGGCTTTTAAAAAGTCTCCATTTGTAGGCGGGCCTTTGAAGATCACGTGGAACCCAACGGACGTTTCGGCTGGCGATTCAGCGCTTTGGTTGGAAGATGATGATATCAGGCCCCAAAGTTGTGATCTTTCTTCTTTTTTTCGCCTGGTTACGGCTCCATGCAGCCGGCAGCTTCCAACAAAACGCCTTTGTACATTTGTAGGAGATTTGAAGGTTGCATATCAACCAGATCACGAATCCTCATACTTGTTGATGGGCTGGAGCGGAATAATTTTCAAATTCGGTCCTAGCGCGGACGGCTGTGTAATGAATGAAGTAATTTATTGGTCTCTGATTTCAACAAAACGGCGGAAGCTGGGTTGGTCCGTGTGGCGAAGAGAACCACTTCTGCTGTTTTTGAGGCCTAATTTCAATACCGGACGCCGCCGTGACGTGAATCGAAAAAAACAAAAAATACAAAATGGAGCCAAGTGGGGCGCTGGTGCCGCTACCCTGGCCAATCGCATCATCAATAAGCTCAGACACCGCAGCATCGAGCCAATCACCACGCGAAGATTGCAACTCTCCTTGGATCGCCCAATTTAGCGTCGTCATCCGAGGCTAGTGGCAGGAGTCTGTCATGATTCTGTTGAAAGACCAAAAGCCCGACCGTACTTAAGGATTCTAGCACCCCCCTCCGAATTTTCTCTGTTTTCTCCTCCTCGCTTTGCCTCTTTCTCGTCTCGCCCCTTCCAGCCACGCACCATTCCAGCTCCACCCACCAACCAGCTCCGAGACCAACCACACACCCACCACGGTACGTCTTACTTCCCCTGGTTTTGTCGCGTCATTTCCACGGCCACTACACATTTGTCTGTTGTTCCGATTTCCCGCCCGCCGTACACCATTATTGTCGCTGTGGTACTCCGTACCACGCACCCTCACCTGTACTCCGTAAATGCTCCTTGCTTCACATCTTGATGTCCGTTACCCAAGATATGCTGCTGAAGACAATTGTGTTTTCAACATTGCTCCTAAATCCTCATTAGCTGCCATTAAGCTGGTGCTCCTCTCTCCATTCTGTGCTCATTCACTGATACCCCATTGTTTTGTTCCCTCAAGCGGAAGCCTTGGTGCCCTGCTGCTTTCCCATCCAATCAGCTCTTCCCATTGGCTTGATTTGACTTCCGCTCCTTGCCTCCACGTGACCTGGTGATGCTGATTCACTTTCTTGGCAATATAAAATGGGAGTTTCTGGTTTCTCGGCCACACCATTCTTCTTCTTTCTTTATTTCTCCTTTGTTCTTCACACAATACCTTGTGACTTAAATCACCAGTTCAGAAATCGACTTTTCTTTTTTTGTTGGCAACCCAGTGTTGCACGCAGCTCAACCATAATTCCCACCAATCTGACTGAAGCTTATCTAGTTTCTGCATTTTATTGAGACGCGTCGTGCGACCCAATTACTTTGTGGCGCTTCTCGACTTTATCCACATATTTCTACTTGGCGCGCCTCTGCGAGCTTTAGGCATTCCTCCATTTTCCTGGAACGCCCTCGCAAGTCTTTCCAGGCCAGCGCTTCTTCTTATCGGCTCGAGTCGCATCTTAGATAAGAACTGGCGCGTCTTATCAGCACGTGACTAACACCTGCTAAATATGGCAACGCCGCCGTCGGAAGCCACTCTGGAGGACAAAGTCAAGCCTCTTTCTCTCACTGATCCCCCTGCGACTTCAAACATCACTGGGTAGGTCACTTGCCTCGTCGCAACTTGCTAAGTTGTTATTCCCTACTGACAATGCCGATGCGCAGTGGCACGGAGCAGGCGCCTGCCCTTCCGGCCAAAGTGGGCGAAGCCGCTGCTGGGACGAACGGGAGGTTATCGCCTGTTGCGAATGGAAATTCGTTAACCAACGGCACCAAAGAACCGTTAAACAGTCTCACCCCTTCTCCCACTGAGAACGAAGAGACAGCGACCGAGCCTATATCTTCCAATGGACTGCAACCTCAGGCTGATCAAGTCGGGTCCCCAAAAGTGAGCATTGCTGATGCGAAAGCAGAGAACATGAGGGACGCAGAAAGTGAGGCTGACTTGCAAAAGGAGCCTTCTGTTCCAAATGCAGGTCTAGAAGCAGTGACTTCAACCTCCGCCGAAATGGCAGAAGTGAAATCACCCCCCAAGGCGGAAAAGTTTCTGGATACAATGCCCTCTCAGCCAATCTCACCACCTGCTACCGCACCCGTGGTCGAGTCAAGCGAGCTCCATTCTACAACCGCGCCGCCACCCTTGTCGATCAATCAGGATCAAGACCAGAAGATGACTGACGCACCACCGCTGTCGCCCAGTAAAGTGTCTCGGGAGCGAGAAGAGGATGAGACCGATGAACCGGCCGCCAAGCGAACAAAGACAGACACCACTCCATCGCAAGATGATTTCAAGGTCCCGGAGCTGCCAGCAACAACAGCCGAGGCCACTCATCCCGCCATGACGCCTTTACAGAGCAAGTTCTTCACTCGTACTCTCGCTGCTCTGAAACGAACCCATGACGCGCGATTTTTCAGAACTCCCGTTGATCCAGTGAAACTAAACATCCCCAACTATCCATTGATCATTAAACATCCTATGGACATGCACACTATGGAAGAGAAGGTAAAGCACGGAGCTTATAAAACGGCTGACGAGGTGATTGCAGATTTCAACCTGATTGTTGACAACTGTGTCACATTCAATGGTCCAGAACATGTAGTGACCATCGAATGCTTGCGGTTGAAAGAGAACTGGGAGCGCCATCTAGCAAAGCTTCCGAGTCCAAACGAAGTAGAGCCTACTGCAGCTGAGAAGAAAGCCAAGAAAGCAAGCGCTGCTCCCACCAAAACCCAACCAACACGACGAGAATCTCAAGCAAAGACGAATGCCGCGAAAGCTAATAACGCCAGCTCGCCAACTACTTTTGCTCTTGGACCTGAAGGCCTTCCCTTAATCCGTCGAGACTCGACCACGGTGGATGGTCGCCCGAAACGTTCCATCCATCCTCCAAAGAATCGAGATCTTCCATATAGCTCTAAACCCAAGAAAAAGAAATTCCACTGGGAGCTCAAATTCTGCGAGGAAGTGATGGATGACTTGCACAAGCCCAAGAACTACAATTTGGCATCTCCATTTTACCAGCCGGTCGATCCAGTCGCACTAAATATTCCCACTTATCACAACATCATTAAGAAACCAATGGACCTTTCGACTATTCGAACAAAGCTGCAAACCGGGCAATACGAGAATTCCAAGGAAATGGAAAATGATGTTCGTTTAATGTTCAGGAATTGTTATAAGTTCAATATCCCTGGGGACCCTACGTATAACGCCGGTAAGAAATTGGAAGAAATCTTTGACAGCAAATGGGCCCAGAAAGCTCGTTGGCTTGAGGCACATGACCCTACGTCCGCCCACCAAAGTGATAGCTCGGATAACGAGAGTAGCGAAGAAGAAGGCAGCGATGATGATGAACAGTCGGAGAAATTGCATATTTTGCAAAAACAGATTGCGGAGATGTCTAAGCAGGTGGAAGCAATCCGCCAGAAAAAGAAAAAGACCCCTCCTACAAGTTCGAAGAAGGGGGGCAAACCGAAATCCGGTAAAAAGGATTTGAAAAAAGGAGGGCCTGGCAGAAAGGACAAGAAAGGTGGAGTTAAATCATCCAAGCCAGAGAAACAGCGCTGGATTACCTATCGTGAAAAACAAATAATCTCCAATGGCATCAGCTCACTACCCGAGAACAAGGTGCAAGACGCTCTCCATATTATCCAAAGCAATGTGCCTGCACTTAAGGTAAATACATCCTTTGCTTGCGAATATATCTATATCGTGCTAATATAGTGATAAGGGAACGGATCAAACCGAGGTTGAGCTTGACATTGATGAGCTTCCAAATAATGTGTTGGTGCTTCTGTTGAATTTTGTGAAGAAGCACGCTCCGCAAACATTGGAATATGATGAACCAGCTCCCGAACCTCTTCCAACCTCTGTCACGTCAAAACCCAAGAAGAACAAGCCCATGAATGCGCATGAACAGGAAGCGCAAATTGGCCGTCTTGCTGGTACCCTTTCAAAGTTCCAGGGTGGGGGCCAATCATCTGATCCTAGTTAGTCTCTCTCCTTGGATCCTTTATAACGACTCATGGCTAATACTGGTTTAGTTCATTCTGAAGCGGCACCTGAAAGCAGTGATGATGATGACTCGGAAGAGAGTGAGGAAGAATAAATGCTCTCAAATGCCTTAATAGTACATTTTCAGACTCCAGTAATATCTTCTGACACCTGGGAACCGCGACGACGTATGGAATCTCGATATCAAGTCGTATGTGTTGATACGTAATTGGTCCACTTGATTCTCGCCCACTGGCCATTCCGACGGTAACTACTGGAGTATTCAACGATTAGTTTCTCTCTGGCCACTCCCGGTCTGATGCAGATATACGCCTTCTTCTTTTCACTGTATTTTAATGTCTTCTTCTTATGCGACGAGCGCGCTTTTGCTTTCCTGCTCTGCGTTCTATCCTTAGAGGTCTGAGGGTATTCCATTTCAAAATGCATGGGACATGTCGCAGCCAGGCTTCATGGGTTTTTCTTGCTTCGGGCTTTTTGATTTATGGCGGAGAGTTGCTTGTCTTGCCCTGGCCTGATTCGTATCGCTGTTGCTCTCTTTTGCGGCTGATTAGCTCGATCGATGGAGTGTTGAAACGCTCATTTAACACTCTGCGGGCAACCCGGAATTCTGCTTCGGGCCAACCAAAAATTACTGTAAAGACAAAAAATTGATTCAGTGTATGATATAGATTGATGATATTGGTGCCTGAAAGATTTCACTGTTTTCTTTTGTAGATCAAATCAACCGTGTTGCTCTGCTCCAAACTAACTAGTTAGTTAATCGTCAACCGTCATCTCCAACTCTGCGAACAAAAACTGCTTCTTCGTCTAACATGATCCCGCAATGTGATCCCGCAATTCTCAAGGACAATCCTCAGTTCAATATCCTACACCAGCAATTGACGACATCAATTCTAAATCCGGATGGATCAACACGCGCGCTGGACGAGGATCCATTGCGGAAGCATGTGCAGGCGGTCAGTTGAATCCCTCTTCATTTTTCCCGCGTGTGCGTTCAAAGCCCAATTCATCTCCGCTAGATCCGTTCACATTTTCTGACTTTGGTTCTTTCTGGATACAGGAGCTCAAAAAACGTCAGATCCGGGCTGCGAGGACGCGGATCTTGAAGAGAATCGTTTGCCAGCTGCCATATGATTTAAAGAATAGCCTGCCCGATGAAGTACGCCTGATCCTTTCTGCTTATGCCAGTGCTTATTCCGATTTGCTACGATCTGACTGCCTTTTTTTTTTTTTTGGCAACATTAGCTACGAGATCTTGTTGCCATCATCGCCCTTTACCTTGGCCACTACACGCCCAGTGCGAATGCGACCGAGGACAATGGCAGCACGGAAGAAGCGGTCTCCCTGCTCGAACCCGATCTGAAAGCTTTCAGATCGCAGCTTCCGAATCTTCTTCCCGCTATCCGCAGCAAACTCGCCTCTGACCTCACGCATCTCAAGAATCTGGCGGATGCTACATCCCCCAGCTCAGCCGGTATCCCCGATCAATCGCGCATCCCGCAACATACTCGCGTTGACAGTCGTCTTCGTCCGTTGTCGTTGAAACCTACTTCTTCGTTGTCCGTTGCTTCTTCACAGGCCTCAGCCTCGACGCGATTATCAAGTCGTCTTGCGGCTCTCCGGGCTTTGCAAACGGTGGAATTGCCGGCGGCGCAGAGAAAATTGGCTGTTACAGGCGCAGAGGTGCTTTCTGCACATACTCTTGTCATGGAGCGGATGGTACAGGTGCTTGAGCGGACGAAACACGGATCGTTGGCGAGAGCAAGTAAAGCGAGGGCGGAGTATTTGGCGGCAGTAGCGGAAGCGTTGGATGGGAAGACTAGGTATGATATCTTTACCAGTTTCAAACCATTCTCTCCCCAAAAATAAAAAAATAAACAAGTGCTGATAAACGTTTGGGCTGCAGGATTATGGAACGCGATATCCTTTCTACTATATATACTCCCGAAACTGTCAACGCGCTGCAGAACTACCGAAAACACCTCCATGATACCCGCGTCCGTCTGGAGGAACGGGAAAGAAAAGCATTGCAGGAGTTGGAGGCTTATGAGATTGCTAATACGTCGAACGGCGACAACAATGCACAGGGAAGTAGGCCGGGAGCCATGGTAGACATTGCAAAGCGATATGGATCTTTGGTCAAGGAGGTGGAGGCGGTCCGCAAGGAAATTAGGCGGCTTGGTGGGAATATGTAGCGATCTACTCTTCCAAAGCCCCTTCTCGCGGCTTATTATTATGATATCAACACTTCGCGATTTCCGAAGCGATGACGGTTCCACCGCCTTTTCTTCGGCGTGGCAAAAAGGGCTTGGCGGTATAAAAAGTTGTGGGGAACTTTATTTTGCCATCGTTTTTATCGGTTTGACGGAGCGATGAGCCTGCAATCCAACAGCAGTCTATGCAGACTGGATTCAACTTCTAATCGACAATATCAGCCAACAAGAACCTGTCTGCAGTGCTCCCTTCTCTTTGCTACCAAAACGCCAACAGCGCACCTAACACCCTTAACCCCACTATACCACCCCACCGTTTCCACCTCTACTATCGAGTCTCACAACCGCCTATATACGCGCTCTGGCTCTATAATCGTACATCATGATGTCTGACGGCGTATCCATATACGATGAGATCGAAATCGAAGACATGACTTTCGATCCCGTCCTACAGATCTACCACTACCCGTGCCCATGTGGCGATCGGTTCGAGATTGGAATCGCGGATCTCAGGGATAGTGAGGAAATCGCGATTTGTCCTAGCTGCAGTTTGATGATCAGGGTCATTTTCGATGTGGTATGTATTCCCACGCGCTTGTCCCTGTTTGTGCGCGGACGTTGGGAGATGGCTGGCTAACAAACAATGGTCTTACAGGACGATCTGCCGAAGGAGGGAGAAGATGGAGCTGGTTTAGCGACAGTGGCGGTTCAGGCGTGAAGGAATATAGGCTGGTCATTTATGAATGAGTGACTCCCGCGACGTCCCCTCTACCCAGTGCGTATGGGGACAGCGGACAAAGGACGTGCTAAACAGACATGCTTTGTGAAGATAGCCCAGGGCGATATTGTCGGTCGCCAGTATCATGATGGCTATCTTGTTGAATATTTGCCGTTTATACCGGCAGTCATACGCTTGGTAACATCGTGACTAAAAGAAGCAAAGGTGCGGACTGCAGGGCGTTCAGCCGGAATATCTAGTTCTAGGGCAACGCTGCAAGAGGGAGAACGGAAAAAGCAAGGGATGAATGGATGCATACTTCCTTCAGTCACCGGGGTCAGACCTGGATTACGTTGTATATTTGATTCTCGATTTAGAGGTTTCGAGATACAAGCTCTCCTTTGATTCATCGGACTTCGCTCCTTCGGGTTTGAGCTTCAATAAGCCAAAGTAATAAAAGTACATGAGGAATATTCGCGTGCCCGAAGAACCGCACAGCCTGTAACAATTCCCCAAGTTACCTATTGCCGGCTCTGCTCATAGAGATTCTCACTAATCTCCACCCCGAGCTCCTTGTTCAGCAGGGTAGTGAGATTCGAGCCATCCCGAAGGTAAATCCACTGTCCACCAGCATATTCTCTCGTGCCCTCCTTCTCCCCCATCGAGTCACCCTGCACAACCCAATCGAAGCGTTTCGGCCCAGAGATAGGAGAGCTTAGCCATATTTGCTTGTTCGGCGGCTGTTTGTTGACTACGTACGTTCCGACACCGGGAACAGTGACATTGAGCACACCGGCCTGTACGCATACAACCATTAGCCGCTCCGTCATACCAAACGTCACTGGGTCAATTGGCGTACACTATACTCCGCTTCTGTCTCTGATCCTTCTTCATGCGCCTGCTCTAGCTCCGTTAGCAGAACATTGAAGTAGTGCTCTGAGTATTCATGGTATTGGGCGTCCGTCAGCGGCGAGGGTTCCCCGACGTGAGGCGTGACTCCGGCTACGTCGTTGGATTCAGGGCTTGGGGGAGGGGGATCCGATGAGCCTGGGGTGATGCCCTTGTGAAACGCGGGTGTGCAGTGAAAAGTTCGAGCAAAGGATCTCTGAGGAGTGCGAGTCGTGCGCGTTGCGGTCACGGCGCGGGTCAACGATGGGAATGTTGTTGATGCTTTGGCTGGAGTGCGTGCGGTCGAGAAGAGGGAGCTCAGAGCTCGGGCTGAGCTTCGGGATAGCATTGTTGGTTAACGACTTGGGAGTTGTCAGTATTGGGCACGTTTTAGGGAGTTGTGGCACTCTGAGAGGAAAGATTCGTCTTATAGCTTCAATTGGAGGTTGGAAGAAGTTGGAAGACAAGCTTCAACCTTCGAAGGGATGCGGAGAAACCTCAAGCTTCCAAGTTCCTGTTGACCTTCAGGCTTTCAAACAGCATCGCCACCATTTCCATCAACAATATTTACATTGGTTTCACTTGGTGCTTGACATAGCCTCGTTCCTCAACTACATATAAAACGGGACCTTTTGAAGCATCTTCTCGGATCAAAACACTCCTGAGACGAAACTGTCACGTTATCCTAACCTTGCCCTACCCAAGCTCTGGTCGTTTCTCTATGGTCAAGCGTTTCTGCGGTATACCTCGGAACACTAGATCATTCTCCAAAGCCAGCTGGAAAGCATCGAATAACTCCCTAACTTGTGTCATGGGGAATAGAAAACATAAAGGCCATCATGGCCAGAAGCCCCCAAACGCAAACAAGAAGCCTCCATTGACGCATTTCCTCTGTTTCCCGCTTGTCAACGAGACGTCTGCTTCCCAGCTCGTCAATTCTCTGGCGGAATTCAAGTCTCGAATTCCACTTGTAGCCTCGGAAGCGGTCGCCAAAGCAGAAGCGGCAGGGCACAATGTGCGCGTACCCTTGGTTCCTGATGATGCCATACGGCCCCTGGGGACGCTTCACTTGACACTGGGCGTGATGAGTCTTACGACAGACGAAAGGCTAAAGGAAGCCTTGGAGTTCCTTAAATCCCTGGACCTGAATGCTATGTTAAGGGAAGTAGAGGCTCAGACGGCATCGACGCCTGATGAGCAACCCGGAAAAAGTCCTATCATCGGGCAAGAGGAGCATCCGCAGCCTCTAACTGTCTCCCTGACTTCGTTACATGCTCTCCCAACAACTCGCTCGGCAACAATGTTGCACGCCCACCCCTTTGACCCAACGTCTCGCCTCTACCCATTCAGTGTGAATTTGCGAAACAAGTTTATTGAAGCGGGATTTATACAAAATGACATGATCAAAGATCCGAAAATGAAAAGGAAAGGGCAACAGGAGCAGAATATGCCGCAGCAACAAACAGCTAGACAAAGAGTTTCGCATGGGGACAGCGATAGCGACGGGGGCGTCGAGTTGCCTGTTATCCGCAACTCCATGGCCACTGCTTTGAGTCAAGAAGGGCTTATTCCAAGACCGCTGCTGCTCCACGCTACCATATCAAATACCATTTACGCGAAAAGTCGACGATCCTTTTCAGCATCCGGCAAAAAGCGAGCATATAAATTTGATGCGACAGAATTACTCTCCATGTTTGGGGATAATGCTTCGCCTATCAACCAATCTCAAGGCGGTAGCCCAAAAGAAAACGGCCAAAGTCTCCTGAGTAAAGCAATTCCACGAGCGATGGCGGCAGAAATGCAAGAAGCTTCCAAGAAGCAACTGGAAGCTCAGGCACTCATGTCAAAAGAGCCTTTTATATGGGCGAAAGACATTCGGCTTGACCGCTTATGTATATGTGAGATGGGGGCCAAGCCTGTACAGCATGATGAGTCAAAAGAAGGCCCGATCCTGGTTGAAGAATATACTGTCGTTGGGGAAAGGAGGCTATAGCTAAGTACATGTTAGCAGCCGTTTTTATCGTACAAAAACGGTATCGGCACAGTCAATGATAGCATAAACGATATCGCTGGAATCGTGTCAACAAACGCCAAACAAATAAAGCGTTGATCTAGAGCCATGGTTTGGCTGGTTCAGGACCTGTTGGTGAAAATTAGCCTAGACATGGAAGTCGGCGGTTAATTCGGGTTAGCAGTCAGAATGTGATGCTCGCTCCAATGGCCTGAAGGGACACACGGGGTACATTTCGCGGAGAAAGGTATCGGTATCTACTACTCGTAGCTCCTCACGAATGTCCTCACCTTGTCACGTCACTTGGAGACTCGGCTTCAACAAGCACGAAACCAAGTTCATCGAGAAAGGGCTTCGAGAGAGCGTAAAGGAGACGACGGGACAGGGGACAGAAGGCACTAGAAATCAATATAAAATGAACTGGCTGCACAATGCTTGTCATACGTGCTACCCCAGTTGACCGTCATTAAAAAACAGCCGAAGCTCGTCATCGTATTGCTTTTTATGTTCCATCTTGCGGGTGAGGATTCTACCGATATCGCGGGCCCAATGCCACACCATCACGTGGCAATAATCCTCGTCGTCAAAGTGTTTTCCACCGAGCCTGTGCAAAAGTCCTTCGTCGAATATACGAAACAGCCCGATTGGACTACGAAGTGCAAGGGAAAACCAGAATGTCCCCAGCTCCCAACCCCTTTGCATGGTTGTTGATAGCCGGGATTCTCCTGAGTTGGCAAGGATAGTTTCCTCTTCTAGCGATAAAATTTGGATAAACTCCGTCCAAATTTCTTTGTATTTCTCCTCGTTGATAACATCAACGCCTTCGTTCGTAAACCATGCGGGGGCATGGACCATTTGGAAGAGAACACGCCCATTCAAGATCAATCAGCGAAGTAATATGCCAATTATCATCCACGAAGATATTGCTCTGGTGGAGATCCGTTAGTGAAAGAACGAAAGGTCCGCGGCGCAGGTTTCGCTGAAAGAATAGTGGAAAGGCGGCTCGCATTCCCGTTAAAGCTGTCATTTGATTGAGGCCGTCTGATTTATCGTTTATTGCATTGGGCTGGTTTAGGAATCGGCTGTTATGCACATCAAGTGTATCCACAATATAGGAATCTGTTGTGAGGTATGTATAATCGCGGTGTATATTTGTCGGTATTTCCTCATTCTCTAAATCTTGAATCATCGAGGTTAAAGGGCGATTTGTCAATGATAGAAACCCACGGCTATCTATTGTAAAGGAACCAATCCGCGGCAACGGAACTCGTGAAAGATTCAGTAGAATGCGTGCGAGGTCACGATAGAGCGTCTTCCGTAATTTCAAGTCATTTGACTTGTCGTACCAAGTGTCGGATAGCATTTGCCCCTGTTTTGGTTCAATATATTCTATTAACATATAACCGAGTGGTGCTGTGGATGTCAGAGCGGGAGCTTGATGTTGAACATAACGAGAGGGTATTGCGATCTCGTACGGTATAAACCTGCAAATCCATAAGAGTAGCCGTCGACGTAAACTGTGATACTGCCTCGTAAAGAATGGCAAAAAATCGAGTTTAGTAAACTAAGTTTACCAGCAAATTATAAGCAAACAAGCAAAGAAACTGAATATTTTTGAGCCGAGAGAAAAAAAAGTCCCGCGACCTACGGAGTCGCCGCTTGACAGCGAAAAGCCGTAAAGCCGGGGGATTGGTATTTGAGGGTGAGTTTCTTCCAGCCAGGCATAAGTGCCAGCTTCGCATCTGATCTTCTCATCCACATTGCCCGGGTTAAAGGCTTCGCCAACCTTATACGGGAGTGGGAGTCGAAAGAGGACGCGGCTCCCCGGCTGCTTTCTTGCCGTCCAACCTCTGAGCTTGACTGGAACGCATAGATTGAAGCTTCCGTGAATCCATTCTTTTGGGTCGGCTACGTCGCATGACGATGGCTTGATGTTTAGATGTGCTGCGACTACAGCCTTGATCCAGTCGCGTCTGTCCTCGATAGACGCGAAAAAAGGTATTCTCTTGGTCAAAATACTTGAGCCTGTGAAGGATGTTCACCTCCTTACACTTGGCCGAGGAGTAAGTGATGTCCCGCCGGAGAAGGGGCCGTTTCACCATTATATCAAGTCAAGTGGAAAGATGATGTTTCTGCTGAAGGCTCACAGTTGGAGATCTTGCCTTGTCGTGTGAAGTGCCCAATCGGGTTAGTTAGAGTTTCCCACCCCCTGAATTCTCGAGCAAAACAGCTTCAAGGCACCAGTGATTTTATATCGACTCTGTAACATTGACTTGGAATGTTAAAACCAGTTCTCATTCTTGGACTTGATCTTAAATACATTGCTTCCCATATCAAATGGCTCTACCCTACAATTAACTACTCCAACAAACCCCAACCATGATAGTGTTATATACCTTTGTGCATATGTGCCCCAAACGCCGCTGATTATGATCTCCATCATCTCACTCTCCCCATAATAGTCTCCGCTCCTCGCTCCACCGACAGCTCTGCAGCCTTGGCTTTGACTCCGCTGACCATTGACCGTTCAAAATCGTCCCTTGACCTCAGTACGGCCTCAACCCAGGAAAGCTGCAAGTCCCAGTATTCTTTCTTAAAATCCTCATATACAGTCACAACTTCGACTTTGTCCGCTTCAAGTAGCCTGACCAACCAATCGACCAGTCTCCATCGGTCTTTGATCGTGCTGGCAAAGCTTTCGGGGTATTGTTGGAAAAATGCAAAGATAGTGAGGATGTCGTCTTTAAATTTATCTGTAAAGGGGTCCTGTCGGCGGAATTTTGCGCCGCGGTTACGAACACATGAGAGATAGTGCACAAGGAGTTCGTCGGACAGTTCTTCAATGAGAATGTCACGAAGGGACGGGTGGATCATGGAGAGGTAGTCCGACATGTAATCCTCAAAGGTAGATATCATACGCTTCATCGCAAATTCACCATACCATTTTTGCGTAAAGAAGTCGGGGAGGGTGGTACGAAAGTCAACGGAAAAGATTAAATCAATGAATAGGGCGATACAATTGGTGCTGAAATCGACGTAACCATCCCGAAGAGCATTGAGCTCTAGATCCGCGCGTGTAATCAAGTACTTCTCTGTGACCAACGGCTCGAAATCTCGTCTGAAGCGTGTGAGGTAGCCCACTTGACCGGAGGCATCATTATCGTCAATACATGCAATCTGGTCGTTCGCAACGGCAATAAGCCAATCTTGTAATTGCTGGAAGCCTTTGTTGTCTGAAATATCGCCGTTCGGGGATTTATATTTAGCGCATTCTTCGGAAAGCATGGTCTGCCAGACGGACTGCCGATTTTTTAAAGCACGGAACATTGCGTCAACAACACCTTCGGCAACATCCGTCCTTTGTGAAGCGCCAGCTGCAAGAAGTTGTTCATAAAGCATACGCCACAAGTCTCCGAGGGTTTTTATGCGGAAGTAACCATCTGGATTTGTATCCAGGGCTTCGGCATCTCTTTCGAGGAAGGATTTTTTATCCGTAACAAACATACGCTCCATCCACTCGTCAAGTGCTTTGATAATTAGATTTCTCCAATCTCGAACCAGTTCGCCTTCTCGGTCATCTATCACGTTTGGAACGAGGTCAGCCTGTTTCCAGCCAAGTTTCGCCATTTTCGTGTAATATTTCTCGCTCCAGTGGATAATAGCAAGCATATTCGCGGCAGGAAGTTGGTCATCATCGACAAATTGAATCAGCCAATCGTGCATCATCCGGTGGTAAATATCGGTATAAGTTTTGTAAATATTCCACTTCTTAGGCATGAGAGATTGCATCCCTTCTCGCACTGTAAATAAATCGTTAAAAAACCATTTGAAACTTTTCTCCAACTTATCGGGATCGTCCAGGAAAATTTCCTTGGTAGATTCAAATTGGCCCTGGGCATAAAATTCGATAGCTTTCAAGAAATTCTCTTTATATCCTCTGATCGTTTTTGGGCCAATATTCATGGATTTGAACCGGCTGGCCAAGTATTCATGATCCTTTTGCGCTTCCTGCAACGCTTTGACTTTGGCATCATTCTTCTCTTCACTGTGGATCACCACGGCAAGTCTGACCACCATGCTTCGGTTATCTGATTGCACCAACTGAATGAGATTCATGCAAGCAGTACCCAAATGGTCATCAAACCATTCAATGACAGGGTCAAGGCCCTGGAACCATTCGACCAGTGTCGCCTCACTGCTTCTGTCTGGGGATTTCGAGATCTGATCCATGGCTTCATCCCGAAAGTCTCTCAGTCGTGTAATCGCCATATGTGCATTTAGTAGATTAGGTTGGTTTTCTAGATCTTCATCATCTTCCTGTAGCAGCCTTTCAATTTCGGCCAAATCGCTGTGGAAACTCTCGAGACCTTGTTTCATCATCAATGTCGCTTCAAAATTCCGGTGCATCCGAGCTAATTTGTCGATTTGCGCAAAGTCACCCACAGCTGCTTGCGATTCAGCACACAATCTGTCAATATCGCGTAGCTCAGCTCTCGTATCCATCACTAGCTTCTGGCTCTCCTTGAGCTGGTTAATACTCCGCTGCACCGTTTCGAGTTGATCTCTTAGGCCATCTCGAAGTTGCGCATCTATCGCAGCCTTCTTTCTCGTATATTCCGCCTTCAGAGCGGGAATCTTATCTAGATCCTCGGGATGCCGTAGTAGATCTTCCAGTCGAGGCAGCGCGAAGCCACCATCTTCCTTGCTTTCGCCAGGCATGGTTTTGTTGGTTTGCAGCACAATCGGCGCAGCAGGGGGTGTTATCGTGGGACGGGGGGAAGAACTAAAGATACGGTCGAAGAGGGAAGCATTGGCTGACGAAGCGACCGTATCGGGAGACGAAACGACTGAAATACCGTCAGCTTTTTCTACTGGTTTCGGAGTGGGCTCCGGCTCGCAGGCTTCGTCCGTAGGCGTTAATGCATCAGGTGTCGGTTCTTCAATAATAGTATTATCATCGCATGTGTGACTGGGTTGGTTAGAAGGTGACGGCTCGGGTTGTTCCGCAGGGCCGAATCTGAGACGGGCGCTGGGCCGTATAGACTTGGACAAGTAGCGTGACAAGGAGAATTTGGAGGAGTAGCTGGTGGCCGCGGGCTTTGACGGAGAGAGTTCTGTTTCTGAGCCAGTCTCAGCATGCGCAATTGGCGCTTCAATTGATCGCTCTGCAGGATTACCTTCTGGTGTGGACTCCAGAGGACGTTTCCCGTCACTCAACAATGCGCCTTTGTTCTTGGCAGTGGGCGAGACCGGGTCGTTCTCCTTTCGACGCTTGCTGAGGGACTTGCGAAGCTTGCCGGGGCCCCGAAAGGACCGCTTCTTGCCCTCCGACGGCGGACTCTGGTCGTGCTGGAGGCTGCTGCTGATGGCCAGCTCAAAGGCCGCTCTCCTCTGCGCCACAGACGGAATGGTGCCTGGCAGGAGGCTTCTCCGCTGCGGCTTGGCGTCATTAGTCATCGCGGTGTGGCTTGTCGCGGAAGCCGGTGGAGAAACCGATTTTCCGGACGCGGGCGCCGAATTGAATTTATCGCGGTCGTTGCGCTCGCTCATCACGGCGAAGGTCAGAGAGCGAGAGAGAGAGACTCGAGTTGCGTCGAGAGAAGATCCAAACGAATTGCTCGGTTCCGAATAGTCAACTGGACTGCCAATTTCCATCCCAACTCCCGCTGGAGCAATCCGTCGATCCACGTCACACCGTGCAGCACCACCAACGGGACGATTGCCGTGCTGGGAAGAAAAAGCGAGTGCCGGAGAGCACAAGGGGATTCAATTGGAAGGACTCGGAAAAAGAACAGTGTTGCTCAATCATATCAATCCTAAAGGCTGCACATTTTGATTTTTTGCTCTGCAGAATAGCCACTGTTTTGATCTTCACTTGTGATCTCTGAGCACCAGCTTCAAAGCAAGCCCTGGAGGAAACGGCCTTCTGGAAGTTCTTCACAACAGAAACCAAGCTCAACGGAGGGAGGGTGTGTTTCCCAAAGAGAATTTCTTCCCAGCGTGACCCAAACAAAAAGAACCAGTGCGACGCGTGCACACCCCCCGCAGGTTCCTCTCGCTGCAATAACACAATACCAACCCAAACAACACAAAGACGCCCCCAAACCGTCAAAGGCCAGACCCGTTTCTGCGCTTCCCACCTACCGGCCCTTCCCTTCCTCTTCCTCCCCCCAAACCCGCCCCCTTTTCCACCCCCGATTCACAAGAAAAAGAGGCAAGACATTCCACAATGACATTCTTCCGCATCACCCTCATCCGCTCCGCCATCGGCCTCCCCCGCCGCACCACCGGCGTCCTCAAAGCCCTCGGCCTCAAAAAGCGCATGGCCACCGTTTTCCACCCAGTCTCCCAGGACGTCGCTGGCCAGATCATGAAAGTCAAGGAGCTCGTCGCCGTGCAGGAAGTCGACCAGCCGCTCACCAAGCAGCAATTGAACTGGGCGCGAAAGCCGGATCCGGGATACTACGTCGAGAAGAGGGCTGCGGAGGTGTGGAGGGAGAAGAGGGAATTATAGCCCGTCCCTTTTCTTTTGTCTTTATGAAAGATCTTGAGAACGGGGGAGCCTTGCAGTCGAGGGCATGATGTCGATACCCAGTATACCTTCTGCCCTATTTGGTCAACCTCGAGGTCGACGGCACGAAGATCATGCTATCGTGGTGGAAGTTCGTGTGGAGCGCATGAGTCTCCGCTGGTGGCTGAACGCGAGGGGTCCGGTTTTCAACCCTTGTTGCATCTTACTGTATTTTAGTGGTGGTCGGCTCGCTTTATCTAAAACTTGGCCTGCTTCTCTGTATAATACTTCTTTGGCGTGCGAACAATCTACAGTTTTTGTTTCTCAGCCTACCTTTCAAACATTGTTGGCAAGAAAAGGGAATCAAAGTCCAGTAAAAATACATATCATTGATAGCTGTGTAGGGATGTAGGTAGACAACGCCCGTGAGAATGCATCCTATCCATCTTTTTTAACAATTTCAACAGACCTGCCTCTCTGACTCCATAACCTGGCCTCCGAAACTTCATTTAAAGCTCACCACGTTAGGAAAGATAAAGAGTATCAAGAAACCCTTCCGCAAGTCGGCTAACGATACTTTTATCCGGAATACTTCCAGCAACACCGTAAAGCGCAGACGTATCGCCGCGCTCCTTTTCCACCTTCTGTCCCAGCCGTCGTCGCTCATCAGCCTTTGCGCGCTCTAATTCGACGACTTCCACTAGATCGGTGGTGAGCTTATCCACAGCATTCGCAGTCGGAATAGTAAATGCAACGTGCATGGCTGGCGGGTTCTGAAGAGCGTTGAGATGCCACCCCTTGGCGGACATGGCATCTGCAATATCATAGATGTCAATCTCCGCAGTTGTGGCCGCAAATGCGACGACGCTCACCATCGGCTCCCCAACTACCTTCAGGTCGCGGGAAAGAACCGGGTCTTCGCGGATGGACGCTTCGAACTTCTTAGCAGCGCCAACAATCTGGTGGCAGCTGTCCTTATATCCGGATTCACCAATCGCCATCAGACTTGCCCAACAGCCGGCGATCAAGGCGCCAGGGCGGGAACCAGCGATTGATGGAGATGCATAGACTCCACCTGACCATTCTGGCAGAATGAAATATTGGTAACTGCGTAAAGTACGATTGCGATACAAGACCACAGAGTTGCCTTTGGGAGCAAAGCCATACTTGTGAGTATCGATACTGATACTTGTGACTCCCGGAAGACGGAAATCAAAGCCTCCTTGTTCCTCATACGGGGAGGCATAACCGGCCTTCTTCAAGAAAGCAATGACAAATGATCCGAGGCAGCAGTCAACATGTAAAGGTATCTTATACGAGACGGCAAGGCGGGACAAAGCAGGGATATCGTCAACAATTCCATGAGGGAAATTAGGCGCGGATCCGACTAAGAGGATGGTATTAGGATTGATTAGGCGGCGGACAGACGGGATATGAATAGTGTGTTTTGGGCCAGGGCAAGGAACCGAATGAAGTTTGATGCCAAAGTATTGCGACGCTTTATTAAAAGCCGCATGGGCAGTATTCGGAATAATCCTGGCAAAAACAGTCAGCGATGTATCAGGGTGGTAGAGAACTCTTTTATCTCACATCTCTGGCTCAGTGACTCCCCGTTCAGCATAAGCCTTCTGACGAGCCGATAAGCATGCCATGAGAATGGATTCTGTTCCACCACTTGTTGTCACACCGGCACCACCTTTGGGCGCATTGAACAGTGCAAGCACCTAGACTAATTAGTCCTTTGAAATACGGCAATAGCACAAAAGAACCGTACCATCGCTACAACTTCAGCCTCCATTTTCCTCACACCTGGAAAGACGTCCGGATGGATAGGATTTGCCACGGCGAACTGTCCCCACGCAGCTGTTTGCAGCTTCAACAGGTCGTCGCCGCCGTGATACACGGCACCGCTGACCCGTCCGTCTTCCCACATGGTGTGCTCCATTCCGGACAGCTTGTCCAGCTCCGCGCGAACTTGTTCGGCCGTCCATCCCTGCTTCGGAAGACTGTTGTACTTGATAGTCCCGGGTCCTTGGGGAGCGAGTTTTGTTTCTAATTTGGAGATTGCAGACGAGACTTGTTTGTCCACCTGGCCACGAACACCAGGGGATCGTAAGAACAAAGAATATAGCAAGAGCTGGACCTTGTGGTAGACATTGCTGATGGTCCCGACGACACCGTGACCGCGGACCGTATAGAAAGATTTCCGGGCTAATCGGAGGAGGAAGACGACAAACACAAGGTTACGGATTCTAGTGCAATGGACTGTTAGCCAAATGTTGAATTGCTCTGAGGACAGTCGGCAGTATTAGCAAGTAGCCTACATATTCAAATTCGAGAGGGTAAACAGCACATCTGAAGACGCCCGTGTGGCCGTCATGACCTTCTGCAAGGTCATTGGGATATTTGGATGCATCGTGCCGAAGCCCAACTAGGAACAATAAGGACGGAAGGTCATACAAGGAGTAAAAATGATGAACACCAAAGGAGTGTGGAACAGATGGAGACAAGAGGCGGGAGGACAGTCGATATAAACGGGGAAAAGGCAACGAAACTATTAGTTATGGATTCCAGGTGATGCAACACCGTGGGGGAGGGGAGCTCAAACCAACCAATGCACTCCTTCCGGCGGATCACCCCAGTCACGGATATTCAGACAGAAGGCACAAGCCGCTAGGGTGCGTGAAATCCTCTAGAAGCATGCAACTTGATGGGCGCAAGGGAGTGTGCTTGGAGCTTGCCAATGGATGGGTGCAGCCGATCAAGCTCCCAGGTTTGCCTTAAGTTAGTGACCGGGTTTGCTCGGCCCCTCGCAGCCGGCATGTGATGGTTTGGTTCTAGAAGGCTACGGATGCTGCGAATAAGAGAACAACGATATTGCTGCAGGAGGAAGTTGTTTATAGTACGAACTCGAGTATTGCACTGGACTCCAATGAGTAGAAATGCTATATTTTCAAGGGATTCCTGCGCGGAACATGCTTCAGGGAAAGCCGTTGGGCTCGCATCTTGCTAAAGTTGCTATCTAGGCTCGTATTCGGGTTTGTAGTGTCTCTCGCATTCGGCTCAGTGCCATGGAGTGCTGTTGTCAAGATCTGGAGAATGGAGATGGAGAAGCCGCTGGTCTCGTCATTATTGGGCAGATACAGATGGGGATTTGCGTCAAAGGCCGGGTATAAGAGCCAGAACATGTTTTAGCCAAGTGCTCCTAAACCATCATCGCTTGTATCGGAAAGAAATGCTTTAAAAGTACATCATGAAAAAGTGTAAACCAAACCGGCCATCTAAGAGAAGAGTAGAAAATGTATCATTAGAACAAGTGGCCCCTTCATGAGTTCCCACGAGCCAGTCCCCTTTAGCCGGTCACTTTGTAAATGGACTCCGCAAGTCGGGCGACATTGCTTGTGGTGATGCCTGCGACGGAAATGCGGCCGTCAAGGGTAGCGTACACAGCGTGCTGCAAGGATATTGTTAGCCAAATCCTCCCTCGTTCTACTCAAGGGGTAGAGTCAGGGTGCTGCTTACATTCTTGGCCAGTTCCTGCATCTGTTCGGGTTTAAGGCCGGTATAGGCAAACATGCCAATCTAGAGACAACTGAAAATCAGCAATCAGTTTGACATACATAAAGCGAGAGGGCTGACCTGGTTGGTAATATGGCTCCAATCATGCTTGCTTCCCAACTTTTCCAAATTTTTCCGGAGAAGCGCTCTCATCTCGATGATACGATCGGCCATGCCCTTGACTTCGCCGAGCCACTGTTGGTTCAAAGCAGGGTCGTTCATGATGGTAGAGGCGATACG